CCACCTATCTTGTACATCACTCCCCAAAAGTCGTATGAAATATGAAAGAGCGTGCAGTCGAAAAGTATCAAGTCAATGCTTCCACAATCCCGAAGTCTTCTGTTGCACGACGTATCGAACGACATACAATCGGCGAGGGGAATGCTAGGCTTGCCACAAGTATGTCCGTCACCGGTTGAAGGAGTACATAGGTCGAAGAGAGCACCTACATTCATTGAGGTACTATTTGGGGCCATAAAGTCACTGAAGTGTGTGTCTTCGATCCCGAATTCATGGAGGATGATGCAGACACTTGAGGCTGTTGGCTGCAGAGAGGTGACGTGCTAGCCAAGAAGAAGGAATGCTAGACCAGGACTTGATCCCACTAAAACTCCCACACGATTTAGCGGATACACCACACATGACCTCTACATATGAGGAGACTCATGAGAAATACACGGCGACTGTGAGTCCTGTTGTGGATCGATCAGTCATGCACGGCTGAAAAGTGGGAATTGGTGCCATCTCCTCCGTGCATAGGAGCGAAGTAGGTTTTCACTAGCGCAGGTCAATCTCCATGGAAAGGAATGATCCCCCGAAACCTTCGCTGGCTCGATTGATTGTTTGATTCCCACGACTCTTCTTTCTTAGGGACCTCTGAAGAGATAACTGTATTTGCTCCTCAAACTGCAGCATTCCGTACATTCTTCGATGTAGATACATGTAGATACGCTCTGTGCGAAACCTGTGTCCTTCGAAGCGCATGGGGCGCGTAAAATCATTGTCCTGTGCAGACTACATACGTACAGATATAAGTGTTGAACTATTGCCATACATGACGGAGACATTTGGCCAAGAAGGAGATATACCACCGTCTCCGCTCCAAGGCCAGCGGCGACTCAGCTGCTTTCGGCTCCTTTCCCGATACTCCACGCTTAATGGAAAGACGGAACTGAGTCGTACTCCTCTAGCGCCGACCTTCTTCTTGCGGACCCAGCGCAGCGCCACAAATTGGGTGAAACCTCACAAGCAGTGCAGTTCCAGAGCACAGAGGAGAGAGTGGGGTGACCAGGCCTCCGAGACAAAAGATGGCTGGCTCGGCACTTGTGCCTATTCCTTCAGAGAAAGCAGTGAGTGCAGGAGACAAAGACAGGAGAAGAGCGGTCAAGAACGATCGCTCGACCCGGATTCTCCTTCTTTGCACACCCCAACAAGCCGGCCCGCACGATCACTCATGCAGATCCTTCGGACCGTCCGGCTTACGTCCGGCATGGCTTAGAACGCCTCGAAAGGTTAAAAAGGTAAAGAAGGATCTAGGACGTTTCTTGCTTCTTCGGTCATTTTAGGTGTTCGGAGATAAACCACCCATAAAAGACCCTGATCCTGAGCTCAGGGCCGTTTTTGGCGGAGGCGAAACTGGTGCATTATGCATCCACCCCGTATCTTTTTTTCTCCTTGGGCATGGAAGCATTTTGGCGTGGTTGAGATGCATGAGTTGTGTCATCATGCACGTTTGCAATAGGCGGACAGGGTATCAAGGGTGTAATGCAGGTGAGAACGTCAGCGTGGCGCGTGAAAGAGCTCCGATGATGATGCCACTCTGACTCGCGCCGAGGTGTCTCGTTGGTTGGGTTACATTCGTTTGGCTGGGCCCCCCTGCCCCCCTGCGTACCCTGGTGTATCTTCCCCTGCTTCTGGGCTTCACTCTCTTGGGAGCCTGGAACGAGCTCTCTTCGCGGGTACCGAGTGCCAATTGTACCGATGTCTGCGTTCAACTGTTAAGCTATGCGCACTTGCAGTCACATCCTTGACCCGCTCTATGAGGCCTGGTCGCCTTTCAGAATCATCCGATTGCATACGTACATACTACCAAACATCTGAAACTCGTACAAATTAGTCCCATCTACCGACTCCAAGCTTCTGCAGAAGACTACGCGGAGCCTTCCTTCCTTCCGTCATCACGGTATTTTTCTCAAGTACTCAACGAGCCAATATTTGTGTCCGTCTACCGTATATCAACAATCGATTATGGATTATCACCCGTTTTCCAGCTCCTTGCAGCTCTATCAATCGCTTGCGCGGGTGCGCGACCCACATGGGCAACACATGGTGCCACCCCGGAAATGTACATGCGACTAGATAAGAAGTTCGTGTCAATCGAAATGAACGGGAAGAACGATTCTTGGAGCATTTCATTTATAGGGGCCCAGGAGGGGGGGAGGGGGGGCAGGGGATGATAGCGTTGGATGTGAGCGGGGGAGCTGACCATGCACTGTGCATCAGGTGATACAGATGGCTCACGTGGGCGAAAGACGGAGACCAGTTCAATAAGCCAGGGCTGAAGATGAGGGCAAGGGTTCATGAAGCTGGTGAGGGATGGAAAGTCCGGCCCACAGGATCTTCTATGGGGGTGAAGGAGAACGGAGAACGGAGTACGTACATAGGTACGTTGCAGGTATCTGGCAAAAGCAGTCACAGAGACGCTTTTACACCTACTTCCTGCAACGTTCTGCCTACCCCGGGCACGTCTACCGAAACAGGAAGCGAAACCCCTGTTCTCTCAGATCTGAAGTCGGGTTGTGGTAGCGCCTGAATTTGTCAACTTGCTGTAGCCCAAGAAGATGCAAGATAAAGGCCTTCAGAAAACGCATTTGTACGGCAGCCCATGGAGCTTTGAGAGGGAAGCATTGGAGGAAGCAAGAGATGTTCACGCTCACACGCTCAAGCACTTGCATTTATCTATATCTTTCGGTCTTCCGACTTTTGGAGGAGTACATACGAAGCTACGTAAAGTAGATCGCTATCAAGACACCGAAAGTCACATGACCAAGTACCCGCCTCCCATCGCCAGATACCGAAGACGATACCGAATGGTCAACCGAGGGCCACAAACTCAAAGACGGTACATTCACAAGACGCCAAACCCGAAAGAGTGGATCAGAACGTTCTGCCATTCTGTCGAGACAGTACTCTGCCGGTGGGTAAGACAGAATGACTCAAAGGTCAAAGGCCGACGGAAAGACCAACTTCTGAAACATTTCCATGAACCAATCCATTATCTTATGCCGAGAGCTGTGGTTCAACGTGCTCGGAGTCGGGGAGTCGGGAATGACTGCGCGTAAGGGGTGAAGGGTTGCAAGCCACAAGAGCTCAGATGCGTGGGAGAGCGCCAGTGTACATACCACATGCATATGCCGGACCGTAACTCCATAGCAATAGCAGACCGGCAGGCATCGCAGCAGCAGCCTTGAAGCTTGAACAGCAAGAGCAGAAGCAGCAGGAGGAACCGGGCTTTGCTTTTCCTGGTACAGGTTTGGATCTTGGCTGCGGTCAAGGAAGGACAAAGAAGGAAAAGAACGGCACTGCGCTACGTATCCGTGGGCAGGTACCCAGGCCTACATAGGGCAAGGATTGTCACGCCCTGTCGGACATACTCTGTCCAGATGTGGGGCAGGGGTATGGTGAAGAGCGGTATGGGAAGCGACTGGGGGAGCATGTATGGGGGCGGAGAGTAGCGCAAAAAGAGGGCGGGCGTCATATCCTGACACCCATGCAGTATTCTCGGTTCCCGGAAGAAGAAGGTGAGGTAAGATCCTCAACCATTCGTTCGGATTGAAAAAAAGACTCCAAAGGAAAAAAGCCGAAGAACCTGGAAGGGCGCGAAGGGCGGAAACCTGAATTTCAGGTCTTATGTCAATTGGCACGGTTCCTGAGCAGCGCTCGTCGAACTCGGCAATTATAGCATCCCTGTAGACCGCGGATCTTCAACTTTCAATTGAACACTCTCCGCCCCGTCCACAGTCTCCCGGGCACTATGGAGAGAAGGAGACTAGAGGAGTGATCGGCGGACGCAGCGGCCGGAAGCTCATGTCTGGCACAGATGGACGAACCCTTAGCTCCGTGCCATTTTTCCTTGACCCAACGCCATTCCGCCGCAACCCAGAACTCTGGGTCACTGATCAGCTTGCGTGTTCCCAATGAGGATATCCATGTCCCAGGCTGAAACTTGAGAGTCCCTGTCGCTTTGCTATCTTTCTTTGTTCTTCGTCTCTTGCACACACGGTTACATATGATCATCAGTCGATAGTATCTCGCACCAAGACTCGACCTCCACCCCTCCGGCTTATTCAACTTGTCTATAGTACTATACCCCTCAGCACAAGGCGCCCTCTCGCTATCTCGCTACCAGCTTCGGTATCAGCCTCACCATAGATTGGCCAGAGCTCCATCTTGTGTGACCCCATCTCCACTGTCAGTCCTACCTTGTTCGAGTGAATTCTTGTTTTCTTTGGTTCCACTGGCGAGCCGCGAGATTAGATGTCGGAGGGACAAGGTCGAGGCCGGAGTCGATGCCCAAGTCAACAGCATTTTTCTGGGGGTGTGTGCCCTACTCTCTGCGCCATGGCCGGCTTGGGCGGGAGTGTGATAGGCAGAAGAGAAGAGAAGTGGGGAATACTAGAAAGCTGGCGGTCGGGGATGGTGGTTGTGTCTGTGCGGTGTGTACCTGGTTGTGTATGGTGTTGATGATCGCTCTGCTTTTCTTATTGTTCGTCAAACACTGACATCCAACAGCGCCTGCATCCGTAGTCCTCAAACATCCCCATCCACCTTTTCTATTGTTCTCCAGGAAAAAGTCGCCAGGCTCGGTTACCCGCCCATCAAAACTATCTTCCAGGTTTATCTCCTGTGCACCATCACCGCCTCCACCCACAGTTCAATACCCAGCTGTACCGACTGGCCTCTTGTACCCACAGAGACGTCCCTGCGGTCACCTGTGAGTGCATCCAGAACCTTTTCACCCAACTTGAGCCTCGCTGACCGTCGTGTCCCCGCCTGCCCCGCCCGCCACTTGCAGCAATCTGTCCCTGTACACATACCCAGCAGGCTCGTGTTTCATTTGGTATCTACCTGCTGAACGTACATCTGCTTCTGCTCGTGCCATCATAATCGCCACCCGTGCCGAGTTGTATATCTCTACCATCTGTCAGTTCCTCTCCCCATCTTCTCTCCACCAGCCCATCATGTCGCCCAAGACCTCTGCACCCAAGCGCACCAGCCAGACCGCCCAAGGCTTTGATCCTGACACTTTCCTCCAGTCCTGTGCTAGCTTGATGTCCGAACGTCAAACACGCGCCAGCTCCCACGTCTCTGCACCCATTCCCATCCCCGCCTCTGAGCATACTCCGCCATACTCTGGCGGCGAAGAGAGCGATCGACAACCACCAGCCGCCCCGGGCAAGCCCAAACAGCACCCACGCCGATACTTTCCCGAGCCCAACCAGAAGAACGCATTGCACCACATCATGGCTGAGAGCAAGAACAGCAACTCTGCCCGCGAGCTTGTTTCGCCATCGCCTGAGGCTCGGTCGCCAGAAGCCTCGGGGTCTGCGCTCGTCCCCGCTACCTCGTCTGCTCCTGCTCCCTCTCCCAAGGCTACGCCCATGAGGCCGTCAACTTCTGACTCTTCCCCTCCCTCTCCACCCTATACCAACATGCCCCCCCCACACACGTACCCTTCCTCCTACCCGCAGACTCCCTCCTCCTCTCAATGGACGGCCCACGACCCCACACTCGCCCTCCTTCCTCCTCCTCTTCCCATCCACGGCGCACCCGCTGCTCATAGTGTTACTTCACCCGAATATCAATCCACCGACGCCGAGCGCGAGCACGGCTCGACGACGGACGACGACGGGCCTTCTTCTGGTGCGGGACAGAATACCAAGACGGAGAAGGAGGAGGTGGTCATTCCCAGGCCGCCGAATGCGTGGATCATCTACCGTTCAGAGATACTCACGCGCTTCAAGAAGGGGGAGAAGATTCCGGGTTACAGAAAAGCGAGGGATGACTTGGGGTTGGCGCCTTTACCAGATTCTGATAATGAGTGCAAGCCTTGCCTTGTTGAACGCTACGTCGAATCGTCAGCTAATGTGCTTTGTAGCTGAAATGCGGGAAGGCAAAGCCGGCAAGGGCTTGCCCCAGGCTGACGTCAGCAAAGTCATCAGTTATCTCTGGAAACACGAAACAAAGGAAAACAAGTCCCACTACGAACGCCAAGCAGCTCTCCGAAAAGAAGAAGTGAGTAACTCGGCGTACCTCAAACTCAGATCCTGCATGCTGACGCGTTTTGCAGCACGCGCTGAAATACCCCAACTACAAATTCAAGCCTGTCAGTAGAAATCTCAAGATCAAAGCGCGCGAAGACGCCAAGCGAGAGAAGGAACTGGAAAAGCGAAGGAAGAAGGAAGAGAGACAATCTGAAAAGAGCCGTAGCCGTGAGTCTCCACAAAAATGTCTCGGACGGTTCCGCGAAGGGGCTGACGCTTATTCTGTGATAGGCGCGAGACGATATATTGGTCAGACTACCCGGGGCCACTCGAGGCACTCGCCGATGTCTCCATACGATGCATCAGGTCGATATCATCCTCATAATGCCCAAGCTGGACCGGGGCCGTCGTCGGCGGCGGGCAGGTACTTGGTGTATGGCGAGCCTTATCCCAGCAGTCATGAGGAAGTCTCCCCGCCGAGCTCTTACTTTGGTTCCAGCGTCGAGTGTGCGTCTTTTTTCTATCTGGATGAGGATGAAGCTGATAAAGATGTAGCGTCGAGCGGGTACATGATGCCCCAACCTGAGGACGTATACAGACCGTTCCCTTTACCACCCTACGCTATGCCCGCTATGGCCCGCCCCGAAGGCGTCGAACCCCCCCTCGCGCCGGCGCCTGGGATTGCCATCGCCCAGGAATACATGTGGCACCACGCTCCCCCTCCTCCTCCTCCTCCTGCCCACTCGGCTCCCACACCTGCCTCCGCGTCCGCGCCCTTGGGTGCGGTGCCAGAGATGCTCGCACCACCTATGGAACCCCAATCGTCATCCGACTCTCTCGCGCAGCTACTTTCGCCCAGGACGATGCCGAGGGATGAAGAGGAGGATGCTTTCCAGCGAGCGTTGTTGTCTCTCGATGCGGAGAGTATGGATGCGCTCCAGAGACCGATGGCGGTTTTGGAGATGGACGAGATCCCGGCGCTGGACGATGCGTTCTTTGAAGGAACTGATGATATCGATGCGTTGGCGGCGAAGTGGCATGAGCTTGGGCCGGAGGGGGGTGATGAGTTTGAGCGCACGAGTGGGCTGGTGATGGATGAGAGAAATCTGGATCCCATGCCAGCTGGTAAGTTTGGCGATACATATGCTCGGGTGGTGGCTGACTATGAGTGTAGTGTTTTACGAGATGCTTCCTCCAGACAACGGCTTCTATCCCACCCTTCCCGAACTCAGCGGCGCCTTCACCGACCCCGCCACTGCCTCCTTCGACGTCGCCCTTCCCCCCGAGGACCCTTCCTTGCCCCAATCCGCTCCAGCCCCCGAAACATACGGCTTGGTCCCCCAAATCCAGCCCGACGACTCTATCAGCTTCGGCTCTCTTTTCGAGCAGCACCCCGAGTATTACCGCTCGGACGAGTACCCGGCAGGCCCGACGTTGGCGGGGGAGATGCCAATGTCGCCGTCGGACGCTTTGGCGGAGGCTACACCGCGGGAAACGACGTTTGCTGGTGCGGGGCATGATACCAACCGCATGCCTTCCTTCTCCCACACTTTGCGCACGGTGTCTACTACGAGCCCCGCTCCCCGACTCGCGTCCCTCTCCGATTTCCCCCTCACCCCCAACTCGCTCGACCATATCGGTCTTCCCTTTGTCGATCGATCAACGTCGTTCGCTGGGGCGCAGTTTATGGGTATGAACTATGGGTCCATGGGCATGGGGATGGGAGACGATTTTGGGGAGGATGATTGGTATGGGGATGAGATGCGGAAGGATGAGATGGCGGCGAGGGAGAGCGTGTTTGTGACGAGGAGGGATAGTGAGATGTCGGCGGTTGATGCTAGGGCTGGGGCTGGTATCCCTTCGCCGCCTCCTTCGCAACGCTAGGCTTCTCTTACTCTATCTCTTGCTCTAGTTTTATTTCTACTTCTTTTCGGGCTTTGGGACATTTCATCTTTACTCAAATTATCTCAAGTTATCAAAAACATATTTGTAACATAGACATTACTCTCGCCCTCTTGTTTGTTCGTGCCCTACTGCCACTCTATAGACATCACATTGACCCATTCTTGCTGAACCATCCTATATCGATATATTCTCCATCTCCGCTCCGCTGTCCTCTACTCTTGCCTCTAGTGCTACCATCGTGTTTCTGGCTTTTTCATATTGATTGATTGGGCTTTTATCGTGTTTATAAAGTGTTGGTCGAGTGGAAAAGCTACATGTATGAATATGGAATGGATATTGCAGCGAAAGCACACATAGAGAGCGGGTCGATGGATCTCAACAGGTTTATTAGTCATGAGCAGCAAGCCCTTCTCGACGCTCATGGCTGCACCCTTGGCGACTTCGATCACCTCTATCGAGAGAGTCCCTGCAAGGTCCCGAAGTCCGAGCACGCAAGACAGCACAACTCCGCCGATAAGCAAGCCAAGCTGGACCCCGGCGGATTTAACAACAGTCGTCACATGGCACCAGCACCGAGTTTCTATCAGATAAGCGCGCTCTCCTCGCTCCCGAGTCCCCGAGCAGCGAGTAGGCGAGGGAGGGAGCACATGGTGGCGTACTTCGGCTTTGGCCGAGAAAAAGGAAAGAGATGAAATACGCAATTGACGGGATCCTCATTCGCTCTTCCCTTTTTCATCCATCTACAAGTGGCCACGAGACAGATGTTTGGCAAGCTCACCTCCGCCATCGGCCTCACCGCCGGCCCCCTCCCGCCAGACCACCACGCCCCCGCCCGAGCCAAATCCCACGCCGCCCTCGCCCACCAGCTCAGCGCCGCCCACGTCCCCGTCTCCGACACCGACTGCGCTGCTTGCGACCTCCCCTGTCCTTCTTCCCCTTCGTCTTCGTCCTCTTCGGGTGAGGGTGCGGGGGTGGTGGTAGAAGCGTATGGCGGGAAAGAGTATGAAGAGTATGTGGGGGAGAGGTATGGGGAGATTGAAGGGCTGCCGAAGGGGTTTGATACGGACTGGGAGAGTGATCTCTTTGGGAGTGCGAAGGGCGGGAAGGGGAGGATAGCGGTGATATCTACAGGGAAGAGTGATTGGGAGAGGGACCATACAGTGCGTCCTACAGACCTCGCCTTGGGCAAAAGCTGACTGAGAAGTAGGATGAAAAGGGATCTCTGGCACAATACCTCAGCAAAGTCATCGACTCTGCCCCTGCTATCAAAGCCCCCAAGGGTCCCGACCCTTCTCTCCCATATATAACCCCCTCCGCCTTCCCCCCGCCTTCCAAACCCTTCTCCCACCCCATCGCACCCCCTCCGTCTCTCTACTCCTCCTCCCTCATCTCCCAGTCCGACGACCCGTCCGACCAATCTGTCTTGGTCTTTCCAGATTGGAAAGTCGTGCACGAAGTGGAACAGTCTAAAGCCGGGGCGCAAGAGCTGTTTGATAAGGTCCTGAACGGCGAGCTGGGCCGCGCGGGGAAGGGCGGGACGGATGATGGTGGGGTGGGCAGGAAGCGAAGCTACGTGCTGCCATACCGCGCTGTCGTCCTCCTCTGCTCGCACAAGAAGAGAGACAAGCGCTGCCACATAGCAGCCCCCCTCTTGCGCTCTGCCCTGCACACATGTCTCCAGACGCACGATATAGCAGTGGACGATACGGGGTCGTCCTTGATCAACCTGGAGGGCCCGCCTTTGGAAGAGGTGGAAGGAGGGGAGGAGGAGAGGGAGCTGGAAGTGGGCAGAAGGATCGGGGAGATTGAGGCTGTACATGGAGGGGAGGGAGGGGAGGTTGGGATATTCAATATCAATCATTTGGGAGGACATCGTTATGCCGGGGTCATGCTCGTGAGTTATCATCTCTTTGCCACTTTTGGTTTGTGACTGGTGCTGATGTACGGTTCAGATCGTCTTCCCCTCAGGTGCATACATTTCCTACGGCCGCGTAACACCCCAAGAGATCCCCCGGGTCGTGGAAGATACAATCCTCCAAGGCAAGATCGTGCCCGGTCTACTACGAAACGCTGTCGGTGTTGAGCGTGACGGCAAAGGTGCGGGCGGGTTCTTGAGCTGGTAAATGGTACAAGGGTAGAAATAGATATAGCATGTATTTGTACAACTACATGACAAGCTTGTACTTTACAAGGGTTTCACTGGGAGGTGGTTTGAGAGATAGAATGGAGGTTCTTATACTCGGCTTCTATCACTCTAACGAAATCCGCTGCCGTATGCCCATCCTACCCCCCCCATCAGCTCTTACCCCCAGCCAAGTCAAAGCAAAGAAAGAAGACTCACATCACACCCCTTCCATATACCACCATCCACCACACAAGTCCGCCTCCCACCGCTTACGAGCGTACTAGCAATATCAATCGTACAGCTCGTCTTCACCCCAGCCTCTTCCGTCTTCTTCACGTTATCCCTCAACAATTTTGTAGCTTCTTTCGTCAAGTACAGGCCGTCCTCCCCTTTCTGGGCATCGCCTTGCTCGGATTCGGAGCCAACGATGCACGATTCGACTCTATCCCACGCGCCTGAGGCTTTCGCGCACCGCTCGACTTCTGCAATCTCGCCGACACGCTCAGGCCAGTCGGAGGGGAAATTCATACACTCTACCCCTCCGAACCACTCTTCCACCCCTTTACCTCCCCCTTGCCCTGAGAGGTGTTGGATGAGACAGAGTTGATGGGCGTTGCCGACACATTCCTTCGGGCCGTGTTTACACTCCACACCCCATGGCGACGGCGACGACAAACTCGAGGAGGAGGAAGGGGAAGAGGAAGAGGAGTTGAGGGAACCGATGAATTGGAGGGAGAGGTTGATTTTGGAAGGGACAGAGGGGGAGCGGAGGACGGAGCCGAATGTGTTTTCGCACAGTCTCTGTCCAGACTCTCTGTCAGCTCCAGATCCTTGGGGTGGTGGGGTGGGGGGGTGTAGGGGGAGGGTGGGAGGGGACTTACGGCGTCGGGACAGCGGGACATGACGTAGAGTGTCACATTCACCCTCTCTCTATCCTCTTCTCCAGCAAAGAGACGCGGGGTATGCCCAAAAGGGAGCTGGTCGGGCGTGTCCAATAGAGAGCCGACCGAGCCGTCGGACGTCCCGGATGGAGGCAGAAGGGCGGCGGAGGTGACGGCCAGGGTGGTGAGGGCAGAGAGTGAGGTAAAGGCGAGTCTCATACTCGGTTTCGTTGTTCTTTGGGGATGTTAGAGGAGATAGGCGCAGAGAGGACAGGTATTGGAGAGACTCGAAGGCCGACGGTGGCAACAACAACAGCAGCGGCGACCACCGCCTCTACTACGTCACGCCTCCACTCTTCTTGGCCCGCTTTCGTCGCTTGCTTGGGTTTCGTTTGTTCGTTTGCCATCGTCTTTTCATCTTGCCATTCCACATCAGCCGAACACCTCCATCAGATACTACATATTTGTCATCTACTACCAATCGAATAAGCAAAAGAACATCGGAGAATGGCTGGTGGGTCTTTGTCCAAGCTGCCTCGTGCAAGAACGAATCACTGATGTGCTGTGCAGTTTGTATTCCCCTTGTTTGTACGCCTCAAACTCTGGTATAGCAGAAAGCTCCAAGCTGACACCTGATTCTTGATGTCTACAGGCGGGTTTCCAAACAAGGTACGTTCAGCCAACGATCGCAGAGCTGGTGGCAAGAGTGCTAACGCTTGGTTGGCTGTGTAGTTCAAACAGGATGCGCCCGAACCAAGTGGACGTATGTGTCCCAGATGTCATAACGGTACGCCACCCCCTTATATTTCTTTCTCATACTGAAGCTGATCGATCCCATAGCCTCCGTCGGTACGCCTCACACCCCCAAATGCCGCCACAAGTCGGTTTCGCTGATTGTGTGATCTCGTAGTGGGCGGTGCAACTCGAACATGGTTTGAATTCTTCTGGATCCCTCTGATCCCTTTTGTGAAGCATGAAATCTGGCTTTGCTCCATCTGCCGTACGTCTCTCCCCCCTTCCCCTTCCCCTCTCCACCTCGAGTCCGAACATCCGGCTGGTAATCGTTGAATGGAAGCTGACTGTGGGGTGATAGGCTGGGAAATGCGTAAAGGCGATGGATATGATCCTCAACCGCCGAATGGGTATAATGGACGTCCGCCGCCGCCAAATGGAAAGTAGTTTTTCTTGGGGCAAGTCTTGGCGAGCGGGGCGTCAAGCGGAGTGGGAAAGTACCGGGAAGAGTAGGATGGGGGTAGTGTTGTATAGTAAGAAGGGTTGACATACACGGAGCTCAAGATAATTGTAGTGCCGATGAAAACAGAAAAGGCGTGAATATAGATACTCCCCAAGAGGGAGCTGCATACCAAAGTTGAACGACCTCCATCCGCGCGGAGCTAACGGGTCCTTTGGGTTGTGTATTTGGTTGCGGTATGTGCCAGGAACGATTACTTGGACATCTGCTGCCATTTACAAGATGGACAGATTCTCGACGTTGTCATTACCACCATCCGCTTTATCAGGACCTGATCTGTAGTATACCGAACAAGAAGAAGGACTGTATCGACGACAGACTCTATCAAACCACTATCGTACTAACACGTACTTGGGACACGACCATCGCCTACCGACGTCGCTTGCCCTGTCAATCCTTCGCCATCTCCGTCCCCCCTCTCGTCCGCCTCACCTGCACCATCGCTCGACTTCCTCGAGCCATCTCTGGCGTTGGCTCATTACTCTTTCCGGCATCAAAGGTACGTCCTTTGCCTCATTCCGTTCATTTTTCCCAAACCGGCCGCATCCCGCATCAGACCCAAGGCCCCGCCGTCATACTCCCTCCGGTTGCTCAGTTGAGAGAGAGGACGGCGTGGTCTTTGGAGGGAGTTGCCGTATTGGGAGAAGGGGCCTGGATACTGAGCCGAAGGATTTGACGGTTGACAATCTTCCGAGTGATTCTCATATACCCAGGAATCCTTCTTCCCTCTCTTTTGCTTTTCCCACTTCTCTTTCACTGACTCTCTCAAACACCAGTCCCTCGTCATCTACCCCTCACCTGAGACTCTCTCCTTCAAAGAGCACCATGCCCCTCCCACACCTCCCTCTCCTACTCTCCCTCCCTCTTCTCTCTCTACCAGCTCTAGCCGACCACAAACTCGACCTAACCCGTATGGGCGCAGCCTACACCGGTCTCCCATTATACAGGTCCGGCGCGGGGACGAATGTCTTGCAGATCGGGGTGGGTACGCCGGAGGTCGTTGTCAATCTTACTGCTTGTGAGTCTACTGTCTATTGGGATGGGAATCGGGAAAGGAGATGGATGAGCTGATGGTGGATGATGTGATGTAGCGACGAATGTGGAGTTTATGATGGTTACTACTGATGAGTGTGATGATTGTACGCAAGACAGCGCAACGTAAGCCATCGTGACTATTCATGGCACAAAATTGACGATATCCAGATACTCGATAGAAGACTCATCTTCCGTTTCCGTAAGCTCTCCTGTCCCGCTCTGTGCACAGCTAACCGCCTCTCCCAGACTATCCAACAAGCCCTCATACACACATTCATCTACCCCATCGGCTCCACCAACACCCTCTCCCTCGCTGGCGAGCTCGCCTCTGAAATTCTCTCTGATGAACGGCAAGATACCGATACCACCCGCCCCATCGCTCTGGTCTCGGATGTACAAGAGGACGATGAAGAAGGGAGACTGAGGGGGACGGCGGTGGAGTTGAGTGATGGGACGAGTGGGTTTTGGGGTATGGGCGTTTTTCAGGCAAGTCATCTTCCCACACCTTCAATCCTTCAATAAGGCAAGGTCTGATGCAAAGTACTTGTGTAGGATAATAAGAATAGGTCGATGATACCGAATATGATACTCGTCAATGGCGACGGCGCTCCCTCACAGGAAGTATCATTCACAGTGGGCTTTGATATAGCGAATAGGTCGACGTCGGATACGGAGACTGCGGGGACGGTGCATTGGGGAGGTGTGCCGAATGGAAGCTGGACGGGCGATTTGTAGGTCTTCAGCCTTACTTTCAGTTGATGTGGTGGAGTCTGATGAGCGGATGTAGTAATTGGATTGAAGCGAATCGGTCTGTTGCTGGGAGCTGGGGCTTCGGGCTGGATAGGATGAGGGTGGAGGATGAGGTGATTGACTTGAGCGGTAACTACTACGTGAGCCCCCGCCTCCTTAGCCAAAGACCAAAAGCTAATACAGTGTCTCCAGGCTTCAATCGACCCCGCCTTCGACGCAATCTACCTCCCAACCTCCATCGCCGAAAAGTTCTTCTCCAAAGTCCCCGACGCCTCTCGCGACTCTTCCGACCGTACCCGCTGGAACATTCCCTGCGACATCAACATCTCCCTCACCCTCACCATCGCAGACACGACTTATGGTATCGCGTCGTCTCAGCTGGTGCAGACGCGGGGTGAGGCGACGGGGAGGTCGTGTTGGAGCTCGGTGGTGGCGTGGGGGAATGGGAGTGTGCCGGAGGCGCAGGGGGAGGTGAGGCTGGGGACTCCTTTCATGTCGAATGTTTATTCGTGAGTCACAACTTCTTCTTGAAGCGGCCCTGTGCCTTTGGGTTCTGGTGCCCGAAGGATGAGGACAAAGGAATCAAGAAGAAGGGAAGAAGGCTGACCAGGGTTCATCTATCAAGCGTGCTTTATTATACCGACGGGGCCCAGTACATCGGTCTGGCAGGTAAACCCAACAGCGTGAACGCCCACAATCTCGCCTCATCCAACCCTGGCAGTCACCCCAACATGAAACTCGCCGGCATCCGTAAGCCCCCTCCCTCCCTCCCCTCTCGCTGACGCTAACGTTCCACAGTAATCGGCGTCTTCCTAGGCCTCCTCCTCCTCCTCGTCTGTATCTGTTACTCCCGCAACCGCAATTCATTCCAATCCATGTGGTATCGCGCGGTCCGCCGACAACAGCGCGCTGAGATGAACGCCATGGTGCGTGGGGCGACGCTACCGCCGCCGATGATGGGGCCGGTGGGGCCGATGGCGCATATGGGCCCGCCGATGGGTGTTGGGGTGGGGATGATGCCCGCGATGGGGGTTGGGATGGGGCCGGGGATGGCGGCAGGGATGGGGCCTATGGGACCTATGGGACATATGGGGCCGATGGGTGGGATGGGACCGATGGGACCGATGCCGATGGGTGGGCCGCCGGGAAGTCATATGGGCATGGGCATGGGCATGGGCATGGGAATGCCCCCGAACGCCAACCCCGCATTATACCAGTCCGTCCCTCCCCCTTACCAACAACCTCCTCCTGCTTCAAACCAAAACCCCCAAACCCAACCTTTGTTGGCCGCCCACGCAAGGGACGAGATGGATCGTGAGAGAGATCTGGAAAAGTCTCCGGATATGGCGGATAGGGATAGGCAGCAGCAGCAGCAGGGGTATTATTCGCCGGGGTTGGTGGAGACTTCGCCGCCGACGTCGGCGTGGAGGATGAGATCGCCTGCGCCTGCGCCTGCTCCAAACCCTGCGCGCGCTTCGTTGATAGCCAAGTCGGGTTCGCAGAGATCGCTCAGGCCGAAAAGAGATTCGGGCGGGATGGGGTATGGGGCGGCGCCGTTGCCGGGGTCTGGGAATTCCGGGAATAGGAGAGCGTCGGGGAGGGTGGCGAGGACGGCGTCGGGGATGTCGGTGGGGAAGACTTGGGATGAGTTTGGGAATGGCGCAGCAGCAGGGCAGGGAGGTAGTGGGGCGGGAGGATTCGCGGCGAGGAATGAGTTTAGGCATTCTCGTCAGCCGAGTCAGACTCGTCCGAGGGAGTCTTACGACGAACCTCAACGCCAATCCTCGCCCCGATCTCAACTTCAGTCTCCACCCCGATCTCAACAACACCAAAATCAAAATTACGCTGCCTTCCCTGGGTCGTCGCCCATACCCGGTGAAGACCATATCTCCCCCGAACAGCTTCATGCGCCTCATCATGCGCAGAATTGGCCTCTGATACCGACTCAGGGGCATCAACAGCAATTTGCAGATTCGCCGTCGTCTGACGAGAAGAAACGGGGTATCTGGCAATGGCGCGCTGGCTCAGCGACGGGAAATGCGGGCAAAGGCTCCTATAAAGCTGTGAGCCCGAACATGGGGGCAGGTGGGAATGGGAATGGGGGAGGGAAGAGGAGTAGTTGGTTCGGAGGGAGGAGCGGGGGGTGGAGAGAGGCAGAGAAGGAGAGAGATCGTGTGCCGGTTGAAGGACAATGGGCTTGAAGACGTGATATATCATTCAACAGTGTATAATCTAATCAAAACATCTGCTGTATATCTAAGGACATTTCAAGAGTACAATAGAGTATTATATAGACCTGTGGTATGCAAACACAACATGCATCTTCGTCTCCGAGACAGCCTTTAGTATGTGTCAAGACCCGACTCACACTTAGACAGTAGACCTGTATCTAGTTCAGTTACGAGATGCGACGTTGGCCTTTGTGTCGATGTCGAGTGTCGATGTCGATGAGGATGTCGATGTAATTCTACAGAGTAGCATGGTGTTGACGAAGAGGGAGACGGGCGCTTCGAGGAGTACAGCGAAGAAGCTTGTGACGATGAGGCTTGTTTTGAACGTCCCCCTACCACTCAGAGGCGAGCCCCCAGCTCTCGCAGAGAACATCCTTGCCCCCAACAACGCGCTCTCACCGTCGCAAGCTTCTTTGCTATACTCCTCGAAGCGCCCGTCTCCCTCTTCGTCAACACCATGCTCTTCTTTGTCAACAACATCCTCCTCTTCGACTGCTGAAGCCTTGACTTTTTCTTTTCCTTTTCCGGATAAGGGCAAAGAGGCAGGGGATGGCGAGGGAGGGTAGAAATGGCTACGGGAGTAGCGAGAGAGGATCGTCGGCGGGGGCCTGTGGTGCATCGGCCGGGGGCTGTGGGGGCGCATATAGCTGCCTCTTAATTATGATGCCCAGGTCGTCGTCCTTGTTCAAAGGTCAGCAACGCTTCGCAAAATTTCCAGCTGTAATTCACTTGTGCGGACTCAATGACCACTGAGATCTTTGAAACAAACTGGAGACACGTCAGCCAATCCACGCAGTCTGTGCCACTACTCACAGGCGGTACCAGTACTGGGATATCTCTGCAGGTATGTTGGGGGGGGTGGGGATGGTACCACTGTGTATCATGATAATAGAAGATAGAGATGTAAAGCAAAGAGAGAGATACAATTTCGGGGGCGTAATCATATCTGCTTGGAGACGGTGTGTGGACTCGGGAGGAGGAGGCAAATGTGGCAGTGGAGGCGCATCACTCAACCAGGTATTACTACGCAGTGTCAAAACAGCGTGCGTTGTCTTTCCATACTCTAAAGTACTTGTCGAGTTCAGTCCAACTGAGTTCGAGTCTTTCTTGAACGTTGCTTCCCAAAAGCTTTGTACGCAAAAAAGACCAATTCAAGATCGCTGAGGAGCTCAGAGTTGGACGCAGAACTACCTGCGTATATACCTTTTCCGAGCCCTGTACTTGTACCATTGTACGCCATTTTATCGCGAACATGAACAGAAGAAGCAATTAGGTGTTGTTGGGCGAGCACGACAAGTGATGAGTGGGTTGACGATATATGGAATCAGCACTTCGAAAAGTGATGACAGGGAAGATTCGACAGCTTGATTCCGCGGTGACGCTTCGCAAAATCGCATCTCTTTGTTTGTACCACATCTAACATCCGCGATCCAAATGTCTCTTCCCTACGACGCCACCCCTCCCCCCCAGTCACCTCCCCCGGCACCTCAGGATGATCCCATGGACGGCCCCGCCGGCCTTGACCTAGCACTCGACGACTATGCGCCTCCTGTCCCCTCCCACGTCCAAGATCTCATGGCCCGCATGTCAAGAAACAAGGTCTACTTGGTCGAAGAGTCGCCGGCGATACTGCATGTGGATGCAATGAAGGAAAGAGTGAGGAGGGATCCGAAAGTCAAGGGATTGATGCAGTTGCTCGAGGAACAAGATCCGTCAGTGTGGCTGGGTATGTTTTGACTTTTCCGTCTCTGGCTCGAGGCTCACTCTTGGTAGAAACGTACAACACGGAAGATGTCCAAATCAAAGACAATGCTCTTTTCCTGCAATCAGAGCTCATCCAGCACCTCTCCACGTCCAAACTCTTCTCTTGGGCTTCATCCCTCGGCGCAACTCCCCTAGGCAAGTTTCTCCCTTCGTCCTTCTCTCTGGTAGCTAATGCCTTCTAGGTATTGAGTGGCTGAATGACACTTCCCTCCACGTCCTCTTCGAAACCTCCGCCGAAGCGCTCCTTGCTCTCTCATTGCTTTCCAAAACAGGGTTCGACCCCGTAGAAGGGGATGACCCTCTAATGGAACGATCCGCCCACTCCTTCCCTATCCACCTCCTACCCCAAGCCCTTCAAGAGCCGATCGAGAAACGCACTATCCCCGCCGAATCCTCATCCGAGGACGCTGCTGTCAACCGCAGAGGCCGAGGTATGTTCGCCGGCGACGGCGAGCGAGCTATGGCCTCTGAACTATCATACGAGCTCGCCCCAGGCGTCAACCCCCTTGCGCGTATAGCCATCCGCATCGCCTTCCAGCAAGACGCCAACCTAAAAGGCCGTAGAGATAATTCCAAGTGGTATGCCACCTACGGCCGCGATGCCGGAAAGGAAAGTTTGGCTCAGCCGAGGAGGGTTGGGAAAGGCCGGTCGGAGACGAGGTGGGAGTCGGCGCCTGATGCTTATGAAAGCGGGGGGCATGATTTGCTGCAGAGAGTGGGCAGGGAGCGCAAGCCGTATGATCGACCGGAGCCGAGAGGGGATAGAAGGGGTAGGGGCAGGCCGACGCAGGATGACCTGGATAGGCAGCTTGATAACCTGCGTTCTGGTGGAGGTGGAAGTATGGATGTTGATGGAGGTGGGGCTTCGGTGAATGGGCAAGAGGATGAGGGGATTGTGAGGAAGGGGCGAGGGTTCAGAAGCGGAGGAGGTGGAGGAAGGGGTGGAGGACGAAGGGAGAGACCGAGGCCTGGAAAAGAGGACCTTGATAAGGGTGAGTAGCCTTGATGTGATGTGGATCTTCGCTGACTCTGGATGAAGAGCTGGAAGATATGTTTGCTGCCTCTAGGGACTCGGCGGCTTAGCCGGCTACTCCATCGCACCGGCATGTTTCATGTACTACTATCATCATGGGCTGCCACAAGTGACAATGGAACATGGTACTCGTCGTGTGGTCAATCAGCTGGCGGGATGACTGTCGCAGTCATTGGGATACAATGACATACTCACCCTTGATAGCTTTCTACAAATAGCCCAAGTTTGGACGATTTGCCGAAATCCTGAAAGGAACTGTACACCTGGCAATCATCGATCTATTCTGAGCACCGCATCGAACAGGGTATATTTCGAGACCAGTTCTCCTCCGTCTTTGTCTTACCCATCTCATCTCTCTTCTCAACATCACAACACACAGAGCCCGCACTCTCCCACAGCCCCTCAATCAAGCTTTCCCATGTCTTCCACCTCAGCCTACGATCAGCAATCATCTCCCCGAACCCTCGACTCCCGTAATGGCTCAACCTTCCGCGGTAACACTGACACCCAAAACACCGCTCACCTAGCTTCCCTTCCCCGCTCCTACTTTCGCTCAACCCCAAGTATCAACCTCGGAATCGACGACAACCTTTCCATCACCACCTTCATCGACGACCTCGATACCCGCTCTAACACAAAATCACATAGACCATTTGACAAACGTTCATTCTGGATCGGTCTCGGCTTAGGGGCTCTGCTGTTTACGGCAGCTGCGACGCCGTATTTTGCCCTGTCGACGACCAAGGCGCATTGTGATATAAGAGTGGAGCTAGAGGCGGATTCGTGGATGAACAAGTGTGGGGTTGTTGGGAGGTCTTTGGGTGGCAGCGTAGGGAGAGATGTGGATGAGGTTGATGATGATGTTGAGGTGGTTGAGCCTGTGATGGATGAGGAAGTGGGAGAAGAGGTGGGGGAAGTGTTGAGATCTTTGGGGTTGGATGAGCCGTATACTGAAGATGAGGGAGCCTCGTAATCACGGCTGTTTGACCGGCTTGGGTCAATGCATGTCACAATGAGTACCAGATTGGGCACCTCGGGTGTTGCCATTGTTCAAGAGTCTATGTCCGACACTTGTCAAATTCTCCGACAGGGGCACTCGTGGTAGTTGGCGAAACTTCTATGTAAGACGTTCCATGAGTGAAAGAATGCTGAAAGGAAGCTGGAGGCGCAAGATGTTTGAAGCGCCATCCTTGGTCTTGTAGCTACTTTCAACATCGTCGGTGGTTCTTGCTTATGATACTTTGCCACTCCCTGTCTGTCTTCATCTCAACTCCCACTCATATCTTCACAACACCTCACAACACGACACACAATGCCTTCTCAATCTGACCACAACTCTGGCTACCCCTACACATGCGCCGATGATTACGACTTTACGACTTACTCGGGTAATACAGCTCAAAACCAAACCAATGGGTCTACCACCATCCCGTCGATTTACGTCAACCCCTCTGACGCCAATCGTGACTAAGGCGCCAATTTCGGTAATACTACAGCTACTACTAGAGCCACGACCGATCGGAACTGGACTCAGGCGCCCGGGGCTGGTGAAGCCAAACCTCCTTCCAAACGCGGCGTCAGCAGATGTTCGTTCACCTCCGGATTCACCCCCGCATATCTCCTCTTCACTGTCTGCACCAACCCTTACCTCACCCGTTCCACTTGGGAATCTGCTTGCGAATCACGAGTCACAAACGCAGAGAACGAGTGGAAAGACAAGTATGGCCAACTCTTACATGATTGGAATGACTTGGTGGGATCGTATGAACAGTGTGAGGCTGAGGTGGAGGGATTGAGGAATGATAGTATAACTGTTGATAGTCGGCACGGGAGCCGGGACCGCAAGAGATGGTCTGATCCGGATGAGAGGTTTGAACAAGCGTTGAATGACCTGGAGATTGTGGCGGGGGATGATGACGAGGTGTAGCCCTTCTCAGTCTGTTATTATAGGGAAGTCTGAGGATCATCTGAATTTCTTTCATTTACATGAATCGAGATTGATGGTGACGGATGTACTAGTGCTGGATCCTGTCAAGACGATTGAGCATTGTCGATGTTGACTGACAGCTTATAGCACACTAATCACGATATCGATGCTCGGCGCCCGGCCGTTGATGTTTGCCCGCACCAAATTGCATCCCGTCCCCACGTATATAAAGCTCACATTTCACAGCTCTTCACATGACATCGTTTTGGTCCCCCAGACTTCAAAGGAGTGACAAGTCCAGACATTGAACAAAATTCGCGCGACCTTTGATATTTTCACGCTCAGCATCGACAGCTTCTATTACGACCTACTTATCTAGCTGATCGCCCTGCTGTCTGTCTGCAATCCAGCTACTCTCACAGTACCACAACTTCTTGCAAGTATGTCCGACCGCAACTAAAGCCACTGCCCATCTCAGCGCGAACCCACTGAAGCCTCGACAAGCCTGTCGTTGCCCATCAGCATCACCCTCGGTCATGAACGCCAGACCCCTGTCCCTCATATCTCGCGCCTCTTAACTTCTTACCATGACGGCTCCATACCTTACACCGCTTTTGAGATAGAAGGCACTATACCCGCTACCAATGGTTCAGGTGCTCCCGGCGATCCGGCCCTCCTCCAGATCGGCATCAATGGGTACACCGATCACGTTCGGCCATCTAAGCGCACTGGCTACCGTAGCCATTTGTGTTGCCCACCTTGGTGGTCCTGGACCTCTATGCTAGCGGGCATAACGGTTGGCAGCGCGATCGCAACCGGCATCACCATGCCGTTTGTAATACGCCCGGATTGGAATCAGCGATGTGTGACGCTTGTCGATGATACCGCTAACGAGTGGATTCAAAAGTACAATGTATTGAGCACACTTTGGGGCAGTGTGATACCGAAGTCGAAGAATTCAAGAATGGAAGTCTCAGTGTTGCACATTTGGGCCAGGATAGGTCAATCACAGGCGAGATTGACGTGCAGGAGGAAGTGAACGGAGGAGCGCTGCAAGCTGCCTACACAACGGACGGCGAGGAGGGTGGTGGTGATGATGATATTCAAGCTTGACCCTAAAAGTTATTTTTGCGCACATATACTTTATGTACGTATCCGTACATATAATACTGAGAGGAATGTATGTGTGCTCATACGATTGCAAGAGGCGGTTTTGATTCTCGCAAGAAGCGATGTGTACTTTCGATCGTCAACATCTGTTGCTGATCCTTTGTGGATTAAAAGGTCAGCTCGAACTCTTCATGGTCGCGTGGAAATCCTGGGAGCTACTTTGTAGTATTGGAATAGTCCAGCACGTACTTTGATTGTGATCGATCAAAAGAAGATCTCAGAATAGGACATGCGCCTCGACAAACACGATCGTTGACCGACGACCCTTTGATGGCTGACGTTCTGCAGATTGCGGCGCCTTGTGTCTTTGTGTTACATTTGTGAAATGTCACTGTTTATAATCTATGGACAGCAGAACCCTTCCGCCCATTTGAGAGTTTTAACGATCGTAAATCGCTTGCCTCATACACAAAGATGTCCACCCCGAGCCGCAACCCAAACAATTCTGCATTCGATCAGGAGGAGGGTCGCACTGCGCCCAACGTCAGTCATCATCCTTCCGACCGCCTCCGTGATCCTCCAGCAGTAGCCAGTACCTCTCGCCGATCGCCTTGGACCACTTTCGAGGTCGATGACACTGCTGCAACCGGGCAGGCTGGCACTGCTGGCAATTCCGGCGCCGACACCGCCAGACGTTCTATCATCTCTAACTTGCAGACTAGAGCCAGAAATAGGCCTGGCACTTACATGCTCTACTCCTTTAGCGCAGGAATACTTCTGACAGCAGCCGTGTGGAACACTGTATATGCTGTAAACTTATCTGAATCAGTCAGAACTGATGTGTGTAACGACCAGATCGAGGACGTGGCCAGCGCTTGGAACCGGAGTTATACTAGCGTGGAAGCTGCCTTGAAACAGAGCGAAGAGACGATTGAAGGTCTTCGCAACGGAAGCATACCTATTGACGTAGCTAGCGGTGAGGGGCGAAGTGAAGGGCGAGATGCTTACGAGGAAAAGGACTTGGTAGCGAGGGTGCTGGAAAGGTAGCAGGACGAGGTAGAGTAACTTCGATGAGCATATGAATTTTACTGCAAAGGTCTTCATGTTGAAATGCAAGACAGACAGGCGCGTCGCCCACCAGCGAAGCAAAACCACATAAGAAACGCCGCCGGATGTCATCGCTGCTTCTCGAATGACTTGTGATTCCGTCTACAGTGTATATGCATGACCAAAGTTGATCGGATGGCTGGCCATCAACGGAGCACATCAATCCACCCCTAGCTTTGTATTACCCTCATTGCCCCATCCCGAAGAATCAGCTTCGGCGTGACAGGCCAGCGAAAGCACCGGGCCGGTCCTCCCTTGACCTCTCCAATTCCTCCAAGCGACTATGAGTACGACGAGAGACACAATTCGCATATGAGATTGTCCCCCAAGTTGCGTAAACAATCCATGAAAGAGTATGCAAGATAATTGATTAGAACAAATCACAAATAAGATTTTGTGATCTATTCAGATTTCCAGATGGCTGGAGAGAAGAGACAGACGTTGGTGAGACGGAAAGAGTGATGATTCACGAAAAGATATCATAGATGAAGAGAGCGAAAAGACTTCAGAATGAGTTTGAGTTGATTTGGACCACGACATACGAAAGAAAGAAGAGAGAGATGAACATTTGGGGGTATAACTGAGATATTTCAAAGCAAAGATGGGGGAGATTCTTAAACACAAAACAGGTGGCGTGCGTCGAGCATCGTTACGGCCTTGCCGGGTTTACTTGGCTCCAGGCGCATACTCTTCCTGACCAGGAGGATGAGGTATGTCAAGTTTACTTCGCACATTGTGAAAGACCTTCAAGAACTACCATCCCCCCTGTCAGTTTCTGCTCACATGAGCAGGGAGTGGAGAGGACGTACCTTGGTCCTGGCGCCTTGCGCGCTAACACCCTTGTCTTGCAGATCTTGGTCTGTCAGCTGTACCATATCACGCCAGTTGGACTTTTCGAATGTTGTCGTGTATTTCTAAAAAAACCCACCTCATCAGCTCTCCCTCGCGCCATCCAAAAAGAAGAAAAAAAGAGGAAGGAGGAAGAACTCACGTGCAGCCTCAAGACTCTCAACCACCCAGCCACATCCTCCAAAACCCTCTCATCCACATCCTCCGGGCCCGCCACCCCCGCACCCCCTCCGGCCCCACCTCCACCACCCTGCTGCCCCGGAGCAGGCGAGTTGGCCTTCATCGGGTTGGGCGAGCGCCTTCCTTGACCGCCTTGGGGTCTTTGCGCGGCGAGGCCGTGTCTGCCGGGATTGAGGTTGTTGGATAGGGCGGGGGAAGAGGCTGAGAATGGCGAGTAAGGCCCGCCTTGCGCTTGGGCCTGCGCGGCAGCGAGCTGTTGTTGCATAGCCAACATCTGTGCCGCTTGCGCCGCATTCAGTCCTCCAATCCCACCCATCCCCAGTCCGCCATACCCGCCCAACCCAATATGGTCTGCGCCCATCCCCAAGCCTGCCGAGTTGAGGCCGAATTGGTCGATGAGCGGCGATCGGGCGCCAAACTGGTTGGGGAGTAGACCTTGGGGCTGGCCGGGCTGGGGGGCGCGGGGGTGGACGACCTCGCCGTCGTCGTTGTACTGGCTCGAGACTTGTCGGCTGGTCTGGCCGGAGGAAAGACCGGAGGGACGGCGGTATTTGCGGGGGTCTTCGAGAGGGAGGTAGCCAGGGTTCTGGAGTTGGAGGGTAGCCATGTTGAGCGCCTGGGACAAGTCGGCGACGGAAGAAGGTGTACCGAGTTTGTTGCCTTCGCCGAAAGCACCGGCCATGGGGGTGTTGACCATACTGGCCCAGCTGGGGTTGTGGAACGGGCTCGACATGGGCGACTGTTCCCCAATACCCAATCCCACACCAGCCCCAGCGCCAGAAGCACGCGGAGAACGCGGGTACGAGGTACGGTCTCGATTGGACGCAAGCGACTCGAGAGATTCACGCGGCTTGCCGGAAAAGTCGGTAGACTTTGGTCGAGGCTCAGGGGTGGGCGATTTGCTTCGGCTTCGACCGGACACGTCGCTCTCCAAGCCGGGGGACGAGCCGCGTTCCATGACTTGGTCGAGCTGGCCGGCCTGCCACCTGTCGTGGGGCTGCAACGTGCCGGGCGCAGAGATCCTGTTCTGCCTCGCCTTGGCCTTGGCGTCTTCGGGTGCGAGGTACTGGCCAGCACCAGGCGACCCGGGGAAACCGCTGCCTCCACCGGCAGAAGGCGACTTGAGGTTCAGAGAAGAAAGCTTGGACTCCATCTGAGAGGCGATACCGGCTGTCGCTGGGGGAGCTGGGGAGAGAAGGGCAGTCATTGGGTCAGACTGGGACATGTGGTGGAGGACGGAGATGAAGAATCGGATTTGCACTGGGGTGGCTTGCTGGAGAAGAGAGTAGAGAGCGGCAGTTCGCTCGGCTTCGGACAAGACTCGGAACCCTTCAGGACGTCAGCAGAGTTCGTTGAGGAGTTATGCAGCGTACATTGCTCGATGGCACCAAGCTCTTCGGTAAAGTTTTGATCAGTGCTGGCAGCAGCCATCTCTTCGAGAGTATTTTCCCAGCTGGCAAGATGCTTGAACCACTGGTCGATTTGCTCCGCTACGAGCCGTCAGATCTCATTCCCCCGTCAGATCCCACTCACCCTCGGGCGTCCTGTTCATCTCCCTAGGAGGAAGGTATTCGCTACTCGGCCTCGGGCCGGTAGCAGCACTGACCGCGCGTCCAGCACCAATACTTGGCCTGGGGCTCAAGCTCTCCCTGTGACCCATGCCCATCGCGACGCTGGAACTGACATGTCGCGGGTGGCTCGCTCCGGAAGGACTCGCCAAACCGCCCGCTGCCGAGCCTTGTCCAGAGCCCACTCCGAGGCCGCCGAAACCCTTCTGGGTGCCCGAAGTGGGGGGGCCGAGGGATTGGCGGGTGAGTTTGGCGGGGTTGTGGAGGTTGACGGGGGGTTCGGGGGAGGGGGAGGGAGAGGGAGAGCGGTGGGGGCGGAGCGTTTGGGATGCCATGTTGGGTGAGATTATAGGAGGTGACCAGCCGAGTTGACGGACCTGCACCTGCGATCTTATCGTTGTTCAGTGGAGAGTATCTTGCTGCGTCGTCGTCACCTACGAGTAGTGGTCTGTGCGGACAATAGAGGCGGTGTCGGCGAATGCAATGGTAGAGCAGATGGCGGGGTAGAGCAGTTCCAGAGAGAGCAGATGGGATACAGCGTCAGCATTGTCCGTGTATGCACCCCGCCACCCTCCTGCACCCCGCCGCTCCTTTCATAGCAGGCAGACGCGTTCGCCACGCAGCGCGCTCCATTATGCTCCGCTCTCCACTCTTCACAAACAGGGGATGACTCACGGTAGAGAGCGTGGGGAAGCTGGGGATATGGGCAGAGAGAGTCCTGCTCGGGATGCAAGAGAGAATGGAAAAACAACAACGAGACAGCCACGACGCGTACGAAAACACCACACGGGGAGGCTAAATAGGCACAACCACTCTCCTCGCGCGCCTAGTGTCGTTCAACTTCCCGTCCGGGCGTATGTACTCCTGCTCCACAACAACTTTATCACTGCGCTGGCAGTCAGAGGTAGGTAGTGATAGGTAGAGTGCAGAAGCTACTTTTCAGGGTGAATCAGTATGTAAAACCGCTGCCGAGGCCGAGCATGATGCTCGAAACAGCACCTCTAGGCAGGCTTCAGGTTGGGATGCGAGATCCTGGAATTACCTCAATGTAAGGACTCGTCAGTATGACATGGCTCAACCAGCCAAATGAGCAACCCATCAACCTCGAGCAGCGCTGCTTTAAAGATTTATGATGACCTCTTATTACATGTTCCTATACATCAAGATACGTACCATATCACTCACACCTCACACTAACAACCACATCCCCAGGCTTATCCCCCCACTCCCCCAAACTCGACACCCACTTCCCCTGTATATCCATCCCATCCCTCATCGGCAGCACCAACACCGGAACCAAACTCAACTGGCCCACATCCTTGTCTTTGTACAATCTCAGCACGACTTTGGCGGCTTTGTATATTGCTTTTTCGACGTCGTCTCGGGTTTTGAGATGGACGAGCTGGCCGTGCGGGTGGGAGAGCATGAGGGGGAGGAGGGAGGAGAGGAAGCGGGTTGGTATGTCGGCTGCTATTTGGGAAAGGGGGATGATACCATCTTTGTGTCGAACGAGAGGGCTAGGATCCTTCTCTGTACGTGCTTCATCGCCAAGCTCCGTCTTGTCCTCCACCAATGATCCCTTGTCAACATGACCAAGCGGACACCCATCAACCTTATCCTCATACCTCTCAAAATCCGGCCCCTTCCCTCCCTTTACCTAACTCACTCCACCACAACCCTCTTCCCTTCTCTTCCCTCTCTCCCGGGCACCGGTACCAACAGAGTCGGTACGATACTCTGTATCCCTCTGTCCCTCGACTCTCTGTCTTGCTGTTTTCCTAGTACTCTTAAAATCGCGTTGAAGAGGGGTGCTTCCAGCTGGGCCCGGGCCTGGGCGTTCAAAGGTTGGCCGTTGGGGAGGGGAGGGAGGGTGGAGAGTGTTTGGTGCGTTATGGTTTGTGCTTCTTCTTTCATCTTTCTGTTGAGGTCGACTTGTCCTTCTTGGGTGAGGTTGGGGGCTGGGCTTTGGGCGGTGCGAGGGGGTTTGGGAGGTTGCTTGTTCTTCTGGTTGTTTGAGAGTTGTTCAATGTAGATATGACAACAAGCATCAACCCTCTCCTCATACACTCCGCCTCCTTCGCCTCTTTCTTCTTCTTCTTCTCCTTCTCCTTATTCTCCTTCTTCTTCCTGATCATGCCTATATCCACCCCCACCTCCTTCCCTTCCCTCATCATCCCCCGAAGCGGAGCAAAAGCTCTGACCATGACGATTATAGTTCACTGGAAAACCACGATCCGCAGACTTGCGGTGTATAAAGTTCGGGTAGAGAGATGTATAAGGGTTCGACAACGTATCGCAAGACGACATGACAACCAGTTGGCTACAGTCAGGTCGATATATGAGAACTGTAGATGTTTCTACCTGAGAGGTATAACGTTGCCGGCTTTAGACTTGGGCGGGGTCGAATTTCCCGTTGACTTTGGGCAAGGCTAAGGAGGCCAAGGCAACAAACGGTACGATGGGAAAGCGCATAAAGGTTTACGTTAGGGCGTGAGCGGTTTGGGAATGGTCGGTCATAAAGGATCTAGTCGGACTCGACCCCATGTTGATCTTTGACTGCTGAGAATTGAACCTCAATTTCGAAATCCATGGATGAACAACAGACTCACCACAACTCTTTCGGATTCCCACGCCTTTTAGCTGTTTAGCTGGGGGCCAAGCGAGATATAACGTGTATTCATATGTACGCAACATGAACAACCAACTCTATAGAAACTAGAGCATAGAAATGAGGATAAGAGATGCAAGACCCAAGATGAGAAGAAACGAAAGGATAAAACGAAAAATGAGAAACGTCTTTACTCTAATAAAGCTGATACGAAAGTTTGATGATGATGATCTCTCCCAATCCGGATGGGCCAACATACCGGGCCATTCTTCTACACATAATGAACTCTATAGATGTAACTCTCCTCTCTCTCTCTACCCTCTGCTCTCATTGTGTTTTTCTTTTGCCTTCCTTGGCGCCGATTTTGTATATCGTCTTTTCGTGTTTATTTGTGTTGGGTTTTGTCGTATGTCGGGATAGGATAAGAAAGAATACGCCGAGGGCGCGAGGAGCATGACCACCCCTCCCTCTTCGTAACCCCCCACCAGACGAAAAAATGATGGTGTCCGATTCCCATGATTCCCAAGAAAAGAAGAAATCAAGACCGCTCCGAAAGCTTTGTCGTCTTCTTCTTCTTCTCCTGAAACTCGACCCACCCATACCACGCGCCCCCCACCAGGGTGAGGAGGATACCGATAGAGTTGGTGGGTGTGATGGTGTAGCCAAAGAGGACGACGGCGAGCGCGATCGTTAGGACTTGTTTACAACTGTTCCTCTTCGTCAGCTCATGCGCTTCTCATTTCCTTTCAACACCAACACCAACACCAACACCAAAACCAACACCAAAACCAAAACCAAAACCAAAATAGTAGGAAGAGGACTCACTTGGCACTAACAGTCATCGTCAAAGCCCCCGCCTTCTTATTCGCCGTAAACGACACAATATTCAGCCCACACGCAATCACCCCATTCACGAGCAACGCCACAGCCTTGGTGCGGGTCATTTGGGTGGCACCGTAGGCGCGGACGTGTTCGAGCTCGCCGTTGTGCCAGGCGTAAAGGACGCATTGGATGAAGGCGAGGGGGGACATGCGCATGAGGAGGTCGAGGGGGTGCTGTTGGAGGGTTAGCGTGGGGGCGTAAGGGAGGGCAGAGGGAGGGGGACGTACGAGTTTAAGACGCCCGCCGGAGCCGGTTTGGATCAAGTTTGTGACTACCGTCTTTAACGCCGCCAAAAAAGTACCCAGCAGCGTGAGGATCAGACCCCAAGCAGTGAACGAGTAATCTCCATACGTCCTGAACCCTTCTTGTCAGCTCTTGTTCCCTCCGTCTGTCCGTATGGCTGTGGAAGGAGGGAGAAGAGTAAGAGGAGGGAAAGGGGGACTCACGCAAAGCCAACACCGGCAACAACAGGTAACAGCGAAACGAGCTTGATCAGGCTGAATCGGGTGCCCAAGAAGATGAGGGAGATGAAGATTGTAAAGAGCGGTGTTGAAGCGCGTACGACTTGGTGGAACTAAGCTCAATTCTGTCAGCCATCGCGCCCTTTTTCACATCCTACGCTCTAGTAGGGGCAGGGCAGGGGAGGAGAGGGAGAAGGAGAAGGAGAGGGGCTTACGGGGATAGAGACGAGCTGAAGCGACACGTTCGAAATAGCGATATTGACAGTATAAAGCACCGAAAACGCTGCGAGTATCAAGTTTTCCCTTTGCGTCAACCTTGCCGGGACCTACCACACCTCCATCAGCTCTTCCACCCCATCCAAACAAAAGAGAGAGAGAGGGGACATACAAAAGCACCTCGTTCAAGCGCTATATAACACCCAGCACTCCCCGATAACGCATGCAGCCCGGTCAACGTCTACATCTCAATCAGTTCAGATCTCTCCTTCTTGACAAAGATGAGAAAGGGGAAAAGACGTACGTAGGGGAACCGGAAACTCATCAACAACGCCTTGTTATACAACGTCAACCCCAGATTGAAGAAAAAGTACAGCCCAAGCCAGAACGTCGTGCTATCCGTAAACTTTACTTTTTCCTGATGCACCGTCGGGGACGAGCCCAAGTGCGAGTCTTCGCCCGTCAGCGGGAAGAGCGATTGATACTTTTCTTTGCTGCTGCTGCCGTTGTTGTGGTGGTTGTGGTGGTGGGAGCGGAGGGGGGTGGAGGAAGGGGAAGAGTATGGGTTGGAAGCGTCATACGCGTTTGCAGACGCGTAAGCCGAGGAGGCAGAGGAGGAAGAGGGCGGGTCGAGAGGGGAGGGAGCACCGGGGTCTTTCTGGGGGGAGATGACCCTGCCTCGGGCGGCTTCGCTTTGCATCGCACCGTATGCCGTACTAGACGCGAACCCCTGTGGAGACGATTCCTGCGCTTGGGGGTGCGAGTGCTGGCCGGAAGGGGAGAAGGAATGCGAGGCAGCCGGCCTGGGGGAGATCGTCCTCGGCCTCGGAGGCGTGCTTGTATAGGTAGGGTGCAAGCTGCTCTGCTTGTGCACCGGTACAGGCGCAGCGAACGGGGGGAGGTTGGCGTTGGCGTTGGAGAGGGCGGGTATTGGGCCGGGGTTGGAGTAGGAATGGGACATCGCGGTAGAAGTCAAAGATGCAGCCCCTCCTCCGCCCGACGCGTCAGGCACGCCGTCCTTGCCGTTGCCATCGTCGGAGAGAGACCTCTGCATCCCTTCGCCATAACCTTCCTTGGACTTGCCAGGGGGAGGGAAGGGGGAGAGTGCGGGTAGCAGGGGCGAGGGAGAGGATGGGGGGAAATGGATGCCCATGCCGGAGAGGGAGGTGGAGGAAGATGATCCTTCCAGAGGCGCGTCGGACGCGGTGGACATGATTAATGACTGGCCCTGTCGGTTGTCTGTGCGCAGAGGTGGCAGACTTGGGCTGTACGGCTGAGAGTTGGGAGTTGCGGACGGGGAGTGAAGAGGGTGTAGAGATGCAAGGATGCATGAAATCTATCGCGGAGGAACGCGACGCCAGATGCTACCAGATGTCTCAGGGTTCCACAGGCTTTCAGGCCAACCTTATCTTGAAACTTCGCAGTTGGGCAGCTTGGGATTCTGCTTTGAGCGCGTTTCGGCCTCGCAGAGTCGCAGGCGTGACGATCCGTCTGTTGACTTTCCGTGGTTATACTTGGGGAAAGATTGTTGCCTCGGGGGTAAACATGATATAAGAAGCAGAGTGGGTCAATCAACTAGGGACCGGCGACTAACCTTCATCACCTTGCCGCTCTTCAGATCCCTCTTGTGTCACTCCAAGGCCCATGGCTCATGGTTCCAAGCGGCCATCTGATCGACTGCTTGTTCATCACTTTATGCATACTAGCTGTTCTGAACATGGGGAAAACAAGCCCCCCGTCATCCAACGATTCTTCTATAAGCGGCTTCTCGTTCGAGTATGGGTGTGCAGTCCTTTCTTTAGAGTCCATGTTTGGGTACAAGCCGAGTATCCACCAACACCCGAGTAGTATCTTGATCCTCTCCGCCCATCTTCGTCCCATTTTCTCACCTTGATGAGAATAGCAGAGGCGGGAAGAACATTCACACGGGGTATCCTCTCGCATTGTAGGAGGCGCGGTAGGATGGATCTCGAAACTCTGTTCGATCTCCTTGTGTCACTTGTTGATTTGATGGCTTTGTTCGAATGCGCCTGATTCTCTGGACGATCGATTGTCCCCTCATGTGCTCATCTCTCCCACGAGCTGAGTACTGGTAGAGGTGACGAGACTGCCAATGATCCCTTTGGAATGAGCCTATGCATGATCTCGATAGATCTGTTGGGATCTGACTCGCCCATGCACGTAGGAAAGCGGCCCTCCCCGCATCTCTCACGCATTTATCGGACTTATCCCCTCCACCAACACATTTGCTCCCGCCCGCGTCCTTTCCGCCACACTCGCCCGCCGCATTTCCCCGTGGTTGGCTCTGTGGCTGTCGACTGTCTCTGAGGCGTGCTTCTTGGTTTGACCGTACTTCAAAAAACATCCATCAGGGCAGGTCACAGTCAGTCCCTCTACTCCCCCGTCTGTCTGCAGTAGTGCTGACCATAGTTCCTCTTTCCTCCGACTTTCCCCATCGCGATACTGCCATTTCTTGCAAAACCTCAAATTTCCACATCCCTCCATACTCGACGATATACGATACTACAGATGTCTTCCTTCTCCGCCCAGCCCATCGTCATTGACGGTAAGGGACACCTCCTCGGTCGTCTCGCTTCCATCGTCGCCAAGCAGGTTAGTTTCAGTCGAATCAAAGATTTAAGGAATTTGAGCTTGGAGATGAGACTAGATGGGTTAGGCAGAGTGGATCAATGGATTGCAAAGAATGAGAGGAGCAGGGGGATAGATGGATGGAAGGACAAAGAGGGTCAGGAGCTGACGTGCGACAAATAGCTCCTCTCTGGCCAAAAGGTCACCGTCGTCCGATGTGAGGAGATCAACATCTCTGGCTCCTTCTTCAGGAACAAGCTCAAGTACCACGACTACCTCCACAGTGCGTACCGCCCATTGCTTCTATCAACAAAGAACAACCCCTGACGATTCATTCAGAGCGACACATTGTCAACCCCAGGAAGTCTGGTCCCTTCCACTTCCGAGCCCCCTCCAGAATCCTCTTCAAGGCCATCCGCGGTATGATCCCCCACAAGCTCTCCCGAGGTGCCGCCGCCCTCAAGCGCCTCGAACTCTTTGAAGGCGTGCCCCCCGCGCAGGACAAGGTCAAGAAGATGGTTGTCCCCGCCGCCCTCCGAGTGCTCAGGTTGAAGCCCGGGAGGAAGTTTTGCACTTTGAAGAGGTTGAGTGCGGAGGTTGGGTGGAAGTATGGGGATGTTGTGGACAGGCTTGAGGAGAAGAGGAAGGTTAAGGGTCAGGCTTACCACGAGCGCAAGGTGTGTTTTCTTAATGTCTGTCTCTTGAATCTCAACTGACGTGGGTAAAGACTGCCGCTCTCAAGCTCCAGAACAAGGCCGCCGCCTCTGCCCCCAAGGCCGACAACCTCATCCAGTACGGTTACTAAATACAGTGACAGTGTCCAGATGTAGGGATTGACGAGGTGATGGTGGATGTTGGGCGCATTTATGCACTTTGATACAAAAAAAAAACGGACCGTGGCTGAGTCTTGGTCTTGATGCGAGTACTGACGAGATGTTGGGATTACATGGATTGGGTTGGGGATTTGGGATTGGAGAATTTGAGTGGGGATGTGGGCACGCACTGATGTATGGTCTTTTTGCTAATCTAACTTCTTGGCTGACGCTCAGAACCCATCAAGCATGTCTTTGCTCACTTGCTAGTTGCTACAGGTGGAATTACTATGCTGACTTGCCAGCGAGAATGGAAATGTTTCTCTTCACAGAAGCTCGCCTTTCCCACGCGCCACCTTCCCTGACCGACATGAGGTTTACCAGCACTTTTCCGGAGCAGATGCGTCCCCGGGTCCACTCTCAACCTTTGCCTGGGGAAGGCGGTGATGGTCACTACGAGGTGTATTAGTCTTTCCTACCATCCACGTGAGTTCTCTTGAGTGAGCTGTCCGATGTGGTACACTTGACCATGACTCATTTTCCCATCTTGCGTATATAGCCTGGGTTCATGTCCCACAAACACGACAGAGACGTGGCGTCTTGTGACTTGGAACCCTCAACTCGATGCTAGGAGTACTTGGAGGTCGCTTTGCAGGTTTGTAGCGTTCTTAAGTGGAAACAGTCGAGATGGAGTTGCAAATGTGAACAATGATGTCGATGGCCGAGCAATGGTATCAGCTCGTTGGGCCTATGCTGTTGATGAGTGGGATTTTGTGATATGTGAATGTAACAGCTCGTCCAGATGTCCAGGAAAGAGCTGTCAAAGCCTTGATCAACGACAAATGCATGTCTACTCCCCAAGTGAAGAAGGGTAATGATCATATACTCGTACCCTTGCCTTCGTTCGTCATCTTTCCCCTCTCTCGCGGGAAGTGCTCAAACGAGACACCACCACCGCAACCGCAATAGTTTTCTCTCGTAAAAAAAAAACCATGCTATGTCTACAGTACATGGATGCTACTGTAGGTGAATCCCCAGTTGATTCATATCAAATGGAAAAAAAGGGTACATGCAGCAACCGTGATTGTAAATGGGTGGCCATGAGAATATATGCAAGTGTAAAAGAGTAGAATCCGTCTGGGTAAAAGATGGGACAGTCGATAGAGTCCGTGGTCTCAACTCTACACTCGAGGCGCAATGGGTGAAAAGTACCGACGATCCTGCCGAGGCGAGCCTAGTCGAGAGCTCTAACGCGGTTGTTGGTGCCCGCTGGCATAGCTAGCGATATCAGAAAACGGCGGTAGCGTTTGCTGATTCGGCTGCGCATACGCAACAGGAGGCTATCATCCAACGTCAGTCATCAAACAATTCTCCCTCAAAATGAAAGAAGACTCACAACTCGGAACATGGGATTGATCTGTCCATCCCCCGGTTCACCCCCCTCCCCCTCCACCTCTCCCCAACTACTGATACTCGGCAAAGCTGTACCACCACCAGACATCGGCGGACGCCCAAGGCCCGAGCTTCCTGGATGTCTCGCGATACCCGCTCCGAGCGAGACGGCAGCACCCTTGGGATGACCGTAAGGACTCGTAGGTGCGCTCTCGTGGCCTTGCTCCAAGACTGTCGCGGGGTATCCGGCAGGTACTTCCAGCCCGTGCCCGTGGCCTTGCAGAGGCAGAGATCGTTGGGAAGCACTCGGTCCATGGAGAGATGCTTGGCTGGAACCATGGACTGGTACTTGGGCGAGGTAGCTATGACTGTGCGAGTGTGGAAGTCTACCCAGACTTGAAGTGGAAGAGGCCGCAGCACCCATATTGGCGCGTGCTTTAAAGTCGTTTGCAAGCTGAGACTCGACCGAGACGTTGGAACGGGATGTGAGCGGGTGGCTGCGGTTTGTGGGTGATTGGAACGGGGGAAGAGAGGTGGAAGAGGCCGAGGGAGCTCGGGAACCATGTCGGATGAGAGGGTCTTCCCATCCTGAGCGTGATCTTGATCTTCTCGGTCCAGGACTGGCTAGGATGAGCAAATGATATACAGCGTAACGAAACACTTACTCGCTGTCCACAGTACCGACAGTCAAAACACTTCTGCTTCTCAGTGACCCCGCTCCCAGTCCCATCCCGAAACTACTCATCGAATGATCATCATCATCATCCCTTCTTCTCGCCTTGTGCCTCGCCTCATCATCCCCACTGGCCATCCTCTCTTCATACTCTTTCAAAGCCCTCGCGCTCAGCCCGCTCCTTCCGCTCCTCCCGGAATGTCCACTATCGTGCGAATGCACACTAGCAAGAGAGTTGGACGCATGCGACCCTGCGTAATTGCGCGAAAGGTTCGCCGTCGATCCCAAGTTTGCTGTCGACCCCAAGTTGGCCGTCGAGCCCGTAAACGGCGCTTCCAGTCCCAACGTCCCGGACGAAAACTCAATCTCCCCCTTCGTCTTTGTCTGCGTCCTCGCTTCGATGAGCTGGTTTCGCTTTTGCATCACCGCCCGAGCTCGTTCTTTCTGCTTGAGAGCGGCAGCATCGCGCTGGGCGCGTGCGAGCTCCTTTGCTTGACGGTCGGCTTCCTTCTTTGCCTTCTTTGGGTCGTCTGGGTGGATGACAGATGCAGTCGACTGCATACCCAACGGGCTGGATCCCAGGGCCATGGAAGAAGCCGCCGCAGGAGCAAGGTGCACTTCACTCCTCTCCCCGGGCCTATGCCCGCTCTGCGTCCTCTTGAGCGACGACGTCCCACTATAATCATGCTCATCCACAGTCGACAGGTTCGCCGAGCTCTTATCGCCCCCAAACACCGAGCTGAGCCCCCACTTCTTCTTCTTACCCGTCACCCCAAGCTTTTCCGGCCTAGCACCGCCTATCGTAGGCTCAATAGGCGGAGGGATATGGACGGATGAAGAGGAGGGGCCGGCTTGTTGTGTGAGGTGCGGGTGGTGACTGTGGGTGGAGTGGATGGAGACGTTGGAAGGGGAGGTGAGGGAGTTGAGGGAGACTTGGGAAGGGTTTTGGAGATGGGCGCCGTGTTCGGCGGCGTAGCGTTGCTGCTGTTGGAGGTAGGCAGCGACATTGGCACTTGACCTCCCGTAACTCTGCTGTTGAGCTTGCGCTTGCGCCTGGGCTTGGGCTTGGGCTTGAGCCTGAGCCTGCATCTGCGCCTGCATCTGAGCCTGAGCCTGCGCCTGCATCTGAGCCTGAGCCTGCGCCTGCGTCATCCCCTGCTGCCCCTGCCCCTGCCCCTGCCCCTCCAACGAAACCGTCGACCCCCCAAACCGTATCAAACTCGCACTACTCCTCCCCCCCGCATCCCCACTCCCCTCAAACACCGACCCATCGTACATCGTGCTGCTCTGCCGGCGAGACGAGCTGCTCGGCGCCGTCCCCGTTCTCGTCCCCGTGCCGCCTTGCCCATGCCCGCCGTTGATATTCAGATCACCGACGTAATGGTGGAGATGCGCCGCATGCGCCTGCGCCCGACTCCCCGCCCGGGCCTTCTCCTTCTCCCTCGCAACACTCCCCGGCGACAGCGCCGGCCTATGCCCATAACTCGCCAAGTCGTCCGTCGGCAAATCGAGCTCTCTGAGCTGGTTGACCAGCGCCGAGCTGCTCGCATGCGGCGACGAGCCGTGCACGTGCTGCGGGAAGAACATGCGGTACTGGTGCATGTGCGCAGAAGAGACGGTCGAGTCGGGGGTCGAGAGCGGCGGAGGGAGGGTGCGGAGGTCGTCGTTGGCGAATGCCGGCCGGGGGAGGTCGGTGTGGGGCGTATGCGCGTGTGAGGGGGGTAGTTGTCTCGGCGGTTCGGGCTGGATGGGCGCGGTGCCGAGGTTTGGTTTGGGGATCGCATGGGGGGGAGGTTGGCCTGCGGAGAAGGGGATGTGGGGGAGAGGCGGCGTTTGTTGGAGGTGGGGCAGCGTTTCGTGAAAGTATGGGTGGTCGATACATTGGGCAGAAGTGAGGCGGTAGCGGGGGTTGTACCGTAGCAGCTCTGCTATGCAATCGACCAGTGATTGTGGGACATGTTCATTGAACAGGCTCCTGAATCGCACTGGCTTACGCTACACCCTCGTCAGCCCCATCCTCTCTTCTCTTCCGAGTAGATGAACTCACCTTGGGGAAGGAAAACCCAACATTCTTAGCCAACTTGATCCCCGAATTCCACGGTCCTCCACCCACCCCAATCCCCCGCTCATCCACCCCATACTCCCCGCTCGGGTCGCCCAGCGTATCGCAAATCCTATACACCTGATCAATCTCGCTCACCCCCGGGAAGAGCGGCTTCAGATTCAACATTTCCGCCAATATCGTGCCCAGCGCCCACATATCCACTGGTGCTCCGTAGTTTGAGGACCGGAGGAGGACCTCGGGCGCGCGGTACCAGCGGGTGGAGACGTATTCGGTGTAGGGCGGTTTCGAGTCGACGGCGCGGGCGAGCCCGAAATCGGCGAGTTTGACAATGACAGATACGTCCTTTTCATACTTGAGCTCTCCGCCCCGTCTCTCATTAATGGCAGCAAGCGTATCCGCAGTGAGATAGTCGGCGAGGCCGGTGGTAGTGACGAGCAAGTTTTCAGGCTTCATATCGCGATGGAAATAGCCGTGGCGGTGGATATGGTGCAGGCCCGAGGATATCTGATGAAAGCACGAGGCTACGAGGCCTGCGGCTAGGGGCCGACCTCGCCGTGATTTGGTGAGCTGGTAGAGGTTTCCTTCCATACACTCAAACACGAAATAGAGTTCGCGAGAGTTGGGGGAGATGAATGCGTCGTATAACGGGATGATGGCCGGGTGCGGGGGAATGTTCCGTAGTGACTGCAAGTATCCAGTTAGTGCAAGTCCTTGATGGTCGAGATCAGACTCACGGCGAGTTCTCCGAGGGTTTTCGCCTGGGTCCATCCATTCTCCCATACCCGCTTCATACGCTTCAACGCCACCAGCCTCTTCCCCGACCATTCCGGCCTCGCTCCAGCTCCGCACTGCATGGCTGATAGCGTGACATCGGGCTTGACGCCAGAATGCCAGTCGCATAGCCAGACTGTGCCGAATGAACCGTCTCCGAGGCATTTGAGTTCTGTATATTGTCGGTCTTGGCCTGCCATGATGTTTAGCGGAGCCCATTGAGTGAAATGAGTAAGCAGCTCACGTGGATCTTCCACACCGACCCGTCCATCCCCTTCAACGTCCTCCGACTCTTGCCGCCGTCTATCCAAAGCCCCGTTCCCGCCATTCCCATACACCGGCTGCTGATACATCTGCGCCTGCGCCTGTTGAGCCTGGGTTTGCGCTTGCTGCTGTTGCTGTTGCTGGAGGCGCTGGAGGGCGGCCTGCTGTTGGTGCTGGAACGACGCCGCGATGCTATCGGGCGTGGGCAGGTGGTACGAGCTGGTGGTCGTCTGGTTGCTGCCTTCGCGGTACAATGCGTGAGAGTGTGATGGTTCGCGGTAAATGTCAAAGTCGGACATGACGAGACGCTTTTTTTTTCTTCCCTTCCCACTACAGGTTGTGCCGTTGCTCAGAGCGAAGAGGGAGAGGAAGATAACTCTGAGGGAGGGTCAATGAGCGGGTTTCATGGGAGGGTGAGACAAGTTCAAGACCTCACCTCTGAGAATCTGAAAGCTAATTTCAGACAGTCGTGCGGAGACTTTCCAGGCCGATCGGTCGGCGATGGGACGGTGCTCGAGGCAGCACTCGTCCTATGTAGTTGCAGCGGGCCCGAGGCAGTGGTGGCGGGTGGCGAGGTATAGGACAGCACAAGTGCACGGAGAGCCGTATGATATATGTCGGCACGCCGTCAAGTCGGGGGCAGGGGCGGGGGCGGGGTGGGCGGGTGGCGGTGGGGATGTCGAGGGGGGGGGGGGGCCTCGTATATTCTTGAGAGGAAGGGAGAGGTGCGCGTTCAAGGAGGCGCTGCCCTCAAGGTATCATGGGGCGATGGGGGATGTGATGAGGATGAGAGATGGAGATGTGATTGACGCGTGACGGGGCTGTAATGTTGGACGCGCACGGGCCGCTGGGTGAGTGTACTGGGGGAGGGAGGGGAGGGAGGATGTTGACTTGTGGTTGTGGCGGTGGAAGAGTGAGTGGATTGGGATTCACGAAACGGTTGGAGGACAGGAACCGGCGACTCAGCCAGACACTATAAACGCCACCAGTCTGCGTGCATAACCAGGTAATCCCGCTCGCCCCTGTCGCCCCGGCATCACCCACACCCATGCATGCCCCCTCTCCCTGCACATGTATGTATCCACCTTGACCCCGGCTTCCCGCTGCTGCACCGAGAGCTGTGGACTTGCGTCTGTCTTTTACTCTTCTTCAACGTGAGGAACTGAAAAAAGCTTTATATGTGGCGATTACGATATGGATCTCTGCGGGTGCCCGAAGGGGTCATTCGGGCACCTCTCTCCCCCGAGCTGTCCCCCCCAAAGTACAGGCTGTACGGCGTCCATCATACGCATCCCTCCTCTCCCTCTTACCCCTCTCCAACGCTTGACTCTCGCGCCCCGAGGATACAAGGAAGGGGCAGAAAGATCTACCTTTCATCTGCCAGGGGCTTGGGAGGGCTTAGCGGCGATTATTTAGGCTCGTGCCTGTTCTATTCGAAGGAGGTGTTACGTTACAAGGTGGCCTCCTTCTTGCATATGCATCAACATGCCATCTGCCGTCTGGAGTCTGCAAGAAGAAGTCTGAGGAGAAGCGCAGGAAGGCGTGAGATGTTCGAATGACGCTCTAGCAAATGTATTTGAGAGTTGGCTTGGATCAGCCCAGAAAAGATCGCCAAGGTCGCCGCCGCCGGGGGCCGGGTCGGCGGGCGGTTCCCAGAAAATCATCATGCCTCGATGTGTGGGCGTAGGGTTCTCTTTTTATCTTGTGCCCTTATACAGATCGCTCATCTTCCACCACTCTACCACTCGTGTCTAACGCCCGACACCCTGGGCTCTGTGGCTGTAGACAGCTCGCAGGATCGCAGCTACTCTAGACCAAAGAGCTCGCAGTGATGAGCTGATGAGTGATGAGTGATGATCAAGTGATGATGATAGAATGTTGGCTCCTACGCCCGAGACAGGCTTCATGACAACGTTCAGTCATGCGGGAGTCGGCAGTGGATGGGGGTTTTACGCATTCCTCCCAGCTCCCAAGTATGTTCAGAGGCATCAGCTTCGCGGCTTTGGATATATACTCCGTAGTCCCATTCCCTCAAGCGCCGCAAGCCCAGTGCCCAGTGAGAGTGAGGTGGGAGGGGGAAGATCATCGTGGGATGCATCTCGTTGACCCGGCCGGCGGGGCTGCGTAAAGCCAACAGCTGTACTTGGGCATACCAGTGCCATAACATTCCAGGAAAACATCGGTTGCGGACAAATTATGCCAAGAACCCCCCCGCCATGCATTGTCGTGAAAGAGATCAGGTAAGAGGAACACACTTGGCTGGGGTCCGCTATTCCTGTCGGCTTTTGCGGGGCTGTATACCGTCCTGCATCATCACTTTTCTCCTCCTGTACTCGGAAGGACTTTTGTTGCACGGGCTGGTTTGTTTGATATATACGAACTACGCTCTCGCTGTTCCACCTTGAGGATAGTACAGTGAGTTGCTCGAGGATGGGCAACGATGGATGACGTTGACAGACATACTTTATATAGGGCATTTGATTCTCGGTCTTCTTTCCGCCTTACTCTTTCATGCATGTACTCTTAACAATCTGAAAACTTCAGAGCTATGCCCAACTCTCATCCTCTGTGTAGTCTCGAGGAGTCGCGCATCCTTGCTCATGCCTAGCAGAAAGCAGCCCGCCCCCTGGTGCAGGTGAACGGTGGACGACCTCCACCAGGCACATCTCCCTTCCGCGTCACTCCTTCTCTTTCAAGCTTTCTCTTCCGTTGCCCTTTTTCCTTTTCACTCAACCTTCCTTTCTTCGTTCCCTCCAGCACTCTCTCCCACTCCCCCAAAGCTGAAAGATGTCCAACGACAACCCTGAATCCTCCGCCCAAGCGCTCGAGCGATATATCCTCGCCCAGCTCGAAGGTCTATCCCTCTCTGCCCCTCAAGATGACGTACGTCCCCCGTCCCCCTTCCCCCTCCTCACCTTCACCCTTTCATGGAGTTTGCAAGAAGCTGATCAGAATGGTAGATCGAGATGATGGCCCGGTTCGTGGAAGAAGAAGGTCTGGAGCGGGAGGAGAAGGCTGAAGGTGTTAGGGGGATGTTGGAAGGTGTTGTTGATGGTGTATGTCCCCCTCTCCCTTCTTCTTCTTCTTCTTCTTCTCCTTGTACTGGAGCTTAGTTCTGTGGAAGAGGACAAGTGCTGATGGGTATATAGGGCGAGCTGCCGGAAGAAGGAGTCGACGAGATGCTCGACCGGGTCATTGATGAGCAGACTCGGTTGCATGAGCTGGATCTGGAGCGAGAGAGGGAAGAGGCTGAAACTAGTATGTTGCCCCTCTGCTCCTGGCCTCGTTACCCCTGAGCCGGGAGCCCGGAAGAACAAGAGCTGACAATAGAACGCCCCAAGACCGCTCCCCCTCTCCCGAAAAATTCGACGCCTCCAACATCCTCTCCACCCTCACCCCCGAAGAACTCGCCGCCGCCCGCCGCCAGGCCCTCCTCCGCCAATACGCCTACGTCGACGGCGAAGAAGGTCCCTCCGAATACCCCCTCCCCGGCGCTCCCGACGCCGAAGGCCGTGGGGGCGCGCCGCCCAAGGGCGAGAAGGCGCGCGAGCTCGAAGCGAAACGACAGGCAGCAGAGAGGCAGAGGATGATCCAAGAAGCTTTGTATAGAGATGGGAGGAAGAAGAAGCATAGGAAGAATGAGGAGGTGGATCTGTTGGCGCCGAATCTGAATAAGGAGAAGGCGCTTTATGTTATGGCGGCGCAGAGGGAGCAGCAGAAGAAGGCGAGTCAGGATAGGAAGGAGAGGGATAAGGCGGCGCTGGATAAGCAGAGGGCGGATCAGGCAAAGGCAAAGGCGGACAAGCAGAAGAAGGCCGCCAAGCAGGAGAGAAGGGCGTAGATGTCGTTTTTTGAGCATGGCATGTCATGTACATCATTAATGTCGTGATAGAGCTACAATATGAAGCGTGTCCCGAGATATACACATTTGGGGAGGGTATATAAAAATGCGGGGAATAGATGTCGTCAGGATTGTTTTGGAACCAAATAAGAGAATGCGTTTATGGCTGTTCTTCCAAGATGTCGGGCTGCCACCCTGCAGCTGCCACCAACTCTTCCCTCGGCAGCTCTCTCATCAGCCGCCTTAGCCTCAAGAGCTCCTCAGCCAAGTCTCTTTGATCCATCAGCTTTGCTCGGTTCATCAGGATAGAGCTCACTTTGCCCGAGCATTCGCCTTTTGGCACTCTTTCCCATTCTTCTCTGCCTCTGCTTTGAGACCGCTGATACGCTCTTCAATGTGTTCGGTGAGTTGGGCGCATTTGGAGAGGGCGTCTCTGGCGACGTTTTCTGTCTCTGCCCGTTCGGTACTGCAAGGTGTCTCAGCTATATCCCCCGCACAGTCGGAATAAACTCACGCCTGAGTTTCTACAAGCTTCAACACCTCTTCGCGTTTTCTCGCCTACACTCCCGTCAGCAAAACCCACATAAAACCCATAAAACCCGACTCACATCCTCCTCCCTCCTCGCCCTCTCCGCCTCCTCCGCCCTCTTCATCTCCTCCCTCACCCCCTTGACATCCCTCGCCCAAAGATCTTTCAAACTCTGCACGCCGTCTTTCAGACTCTGCGCTTCTCGTTCTGCCTTCATTTCGCGCGTTTTGGCTTCTTGCAGTTGGGCAGTCATGTCGGCAAGAGACTTTTTGGTGGATTGTTCGAGGGTTTTGCGGGTGGAGGATATTTCTTTGAAGGATGATTCGGCCGTGCGGGCTCGTTCGAGGACCTCTACATCAAGTATTAGTGACAGCAATGAAGATCAGAGAGAAGACGTACCCTGGAGTAACCGCTCTTTCCTGGCAATCACATTATTCAGCCCCTCATTCTCTACCCTCATCCTCTCCTTCGTCTCTTGCAAATCCTCCTTCTGCCTCGTCAACTGCTCCACCCTCCTCTGCCCTGCTCTCACCTCACTCTTGACTCTTTCCAAGTGCGTCTTTGTATTCAACAGTTCAGTCTGGAGCGAATCGATGACTTTGGTGGATGCTGAGCCAGAGGTTTTGCGAGAGGAAGGAGATGGGGAGGGCGAAAAGGCGCGGCCGAGGCCGGAGGAGGTGGAGGGGGCTGGAGGGGAGAAGGGAAATGGGTTGGGGGAGGGAGAGTCGACGGCGAGGTATGGCGAGCGGGTGGTATATCTGTCGCTCAGAGGGGAATGGGGCCCGGGGGAAGGAGAGGATACATTGCGCCGGGAGGAGTTGGAGATTGGTGGGGTCGGATGAAGCGCGGTAGCGTGGGCGACCACTGCTTGAGGTATGCCTAGAAAGCGCAGCTTGGTCAGAAGGGAATGGAGGAAAGGGTTGAGAGAGGGGCTTACGGCTTCGTCCGTCTTTTGGAGTGTCTGCGTGGACTTTGAGATCATAGGATCCGTTGGAATGCGGCAGACCCCTCGAAGACGGTCTTGAAGATGGTCTTGAAGATGGTCTTGACCCTGGTCCACTACTTTTTCCCGTTGGCGCTGCCAATCAAGTCAGCCCCGCACTCGTGAAACGTCTCCTGTGACTCACGTTCATAATCCAGAGGGCTGTCTCTGCCCCCACGCTTCTCTTCCTCTACGAAGCTCGCAGCCAAGGGCGTGCCCACAGATACGTCTGGTAATGTCGGAGATGTAGCTCGGCTCGCTTCTGCTTGCAATAGTCTGAGCTTTGTAGAGTCGAGATCCGCTTTCAGCGATTGAATCTGAGCTTTCAGATGTGCTAGAGTTTGGGAAGCATACCATGGTCAGCCGCATGGACTGATCACTACGTGAAGCGATACGCACCAGGATCATCCTCCAACACCTCACTGATACTCCCCGCTTTGCTTCCCTGCCGGGTACGAATATGTGCCCCTCTTCCTGCCCCCGCCCCTTGTCCAGTACCAAAACCATTGACCAAACTCAGCCTCCGGCCGCCTACGCCCAGAATCGGTGTTCCGGGAGCGGGGCTCGCGCGACCCATGGCGCCCCCGAGAGGCGACGTTGGGCTCTGAGGGTGGGAATTTAGGGAGGAGGTGGATCGAGAGTGGGGAAGGGGGCGATTGACTGGGATTTTGGAGGGTGTATCGGCGGACATGCTGGTGATAGGTGGTGACCAGGCGCGTGGAGAGGCGGGAGGCGAGGGCCGCAGCGCTCACAGAGGGGGGATGGGGGATTGGGAGAGCAATGGGGTAGGGCCCAAGGAGCAAGAGCAGCAAGGAATAGAGAGATACGAAGAAAGTCAAAATGATAGCAGAACATAGCGCTGTCATTAGAGTGGAATTGTTTACGCGTCCATACAGTCACGTGACTTCCTCCATGTTGAATGATTCGAGTGAAGAAGAAAGCCGGTAAGTCGGGGCAGCATTGTGTGGGCATGATACGATACACTGTATGATGTCGATAACAGTTCGTAATATCCGTTTGATTTGCTATTTCTGTGCCTCTACGCCTCTACACCTCTTGGCCGATCTTTGTCAAGGGGCTATGCCGACCGACGGGTCAACTACTCCTGAACCGATACTCCTTTCTTTTTCATCCTTTATCCTCCACTCCCGCACCCAGTATCATGCTTTCTTACATCCGTTATAATGTCGGACTTTGGGAACCGAAGTATGAATGGTACGTAAGAAGGTGGTCTATGTCTGCACCTGGCAACCTTACTTTGTACTCTTAACGTGTGAGTCGCCCTTGGCGAGAACATATAAACCTACTGGTACCCATCGGCTGTTGTTCTATTCCGGTATCTAACGAAGGCTGTAAATTACGGTATCATCCGCTATAGAGCCTTGAAAAGTGAAAAAGAAAAGTAAGTGAGACAACACGAAGAGATACCACTATCGCTGACATCATACAGCCACTCATACAATGTCCTTCTTCCCGCCAACTCCGTACCCAAACAGCACTACATTCAGTACCCACCGAGCTGTCCGTCCTCCTCCGCCCCGCGATAATTACTTCCAAGAAGATCCCTGCTATCCTCCTCCTGGTGTCTGCCCCAACCCGAATCCACCCCCTGTCCAGCACACATTCACAGGTCAAGATCCCACAGACGCTCAAACCTGTGCCCAGGATACCGAAGGCTCGACCCATCATCGTTTCTCGCGGCCGATACAAATGTCGGACTACCAGATGCACCCGTCCCGGGGTATCACGTACGCCTCTACCACGCCTGTCCCCGCGCATTCTCCGCCGGGGTACGCTGCGCCAAACTCTCCTCCTGATTACAAGCCATTTCCTTCATCTCACGACACCAGACTCCTCCTTGCTCCTCCTCCTTCCTTTCACCAAGCTACCTGTCCTCACTCTCAGGCTGTGACGTACGCGGCTATCCTTCCACAGCACTCTTGTCCTCACTGTTTCGACGAAGGGTCCTCGGACCCAGGGTCTCAGCCGGCTGATAAGGTTGCGATTGGGCTTGTCATCTTGAACATAGTCATTTGGGGCATGGCGTTCTATGGGTATTGGACAGAATGGAACGGTGCCCCGCCCTGGAGCGGCTGGACTGGTGGGGCGAGCTGTGTGGGCGGACAGGGAGCGTCTGGATGGGGCAAGATCTGTTGGGGAGAAGAATGTAGATGGGCATTTGTTGATTGTTGAGCAAGCGAGTGTTGTATAGATCATCCGTCGGAGTGTAAGCATAGGCCAGCGTTGTGACAACATGCATTATGATTAGTGTATATGGTTAGTCGTACAACATGGGACACGAGATACAATTCAGCTGTGATGCTTCTTAGATTTGAGTTCTTCGATCTTCTTCAACCTGCAACGCCGTCAGAACCATCTCCTGTCGATAGAAGGACAAAAGACTCACCGCCACTCACATCCCTCCTCAAACTCACACCATCCACACCTCCTCGCTTCCGTAATCTCCACGCCCTTCGGCTCCCGCTCTCCCATCCAGAACTGGAGGACACTCTCCAAATGCGAGGCGAGCCCCTCCGGCGAGTGGGTAAAAGTGTGCTTGCCGATGATCGATCCGGAGGAAGGATTGGCGTCTTCAACGTCGTCCGAATCTGGAGCTGGGGCCTGGTTCGGAGCTGGGATTGACGGCGGGAGGGACGAGGCGAGGGATTGAGAATTGGGAAAAGACGTGACTCTTGCCCTCGGCGAAGCCACACTCACGTCCCCGTCCTCTTCTCCACCGATCCCCACCTCAATGGAATCAACGAACCTTTCGTCCTCATCTGCCGTAAAGTACTCGCTCTTGCTACTCATTTCCTCATCGTCGATTGGGTGCTTCTTGGAGGCAGCTGCGCCTAGCGTAAATGACGCGGGCGGCAGAGGCTGATTGGGACTCAAGGTGGTGTTCTCGAATGGGTCGAGCAGAGGGTTCTCTCCTTGGTCTGGTGAGGATTCTGCGGGTACCGAAGCGTCTAGCTCTGAGGTTGACTCCCCAGATAGCTTCAGACTCTCGGCGATAGCCAGCCGCACCAGTCTCTCCTCCTCCGCTTCCCTCATCTTCCCCTCCCTCTCTTCCCTTCTCGAACCACTTCCTCCCGTCAAGCCACCCTTCCGTCTCTTCCTCTCTCTCCCCTTCCCCTTCCCCTTCTTCTTCCCGCCAGCACGGCGGTAAACAAGTTCGAGTCTGTCGTCCGTCCTGCCCAAGTTGCGCCATTCATCCCCAGCAGGCTTGTCTTTCGCCTGCGGCTTCGTGGGGGTCGAGGACGGTGTGGCAGAAGATGTCGGCGAACGAGGAGGGGCGGGACATCCCAGTCCAAGCTCGACAACGTACTTCTCCCAGACTGCCAGATAGTCTTCCAAACACCCACCTTTCTTGACCCCGAACCGCAAATTGTTACCTGCAATAACTGCCCTACTGTCCTGCATGAAATGATCTGAAAAGAGGGCCGTCGGAGAGAGGTCAAGATGCGCAAAGAGTAATGGGTAGGAAAATGCTTTCGAAGGGTGGATCTGGGTTGGTAGGACATCGAGCGGCTTGGGGCCCTGTCCCTCATCGCCATCCACAGTGCCGTCTATCTCAGAAGTGTTTTGACGAAAAGGAGCTAGAAGGATAGCGTCGAGCATCTCTTTGTACATCATCACCTGCAGCCTGCCCGCTTGAGAATCGTCTTCTCGGGGCAGAAATCCGCTGGTGCGTGTCTTGGAATCAGAGATGAAGAGCTTGTGTGTCCTTGCTTTGAGACCGTCTGTGGGGGAAGAGGAAGGGGCAGGGCGAGGCTTGGTAGGGGAGAAGAAGGAGGATAGTGATGTTTGACGATTCGGGGAAGGCGGTTTTGAGGGTGCCTTTCCTTTCGTGGGCTTTAGAGGTCTGCGAATGATTTCATCCTATTCCTTTTGAGTTGGAGAATGAGAGGGGTCAGATGGGGAGCTCACGATGATCCCTAGCACCATCACACCGTTCACGAACCCCACCACAGGAAACTCTCGACATTTCCCGATCGTCAAGAGGGCTTCCACCGCCGAGAACATGTTCAAGAACCTGTAAAGATGTCATCAGCACCTTACCACTTCTCACAGCCCCCCTTGAGCCCTCCATGCTTCGAGAAGGATCAAAGAAAAGGCTCACCTCAACCCCCAAACATCCTCCCGACTGACCGTCCCAACAACGACCTCCTCCGGATGTATCTCCCTCTCCAACCTCTTATGTATCTCTCCTCCACGCTTCATCACCCGCTCCTTACCCTCCGTACGAACAGTATCGACAGTGATAAGTTTCCCGGAGGTTGAGGTGATTGTGGAGGGACGCTGGGCGACGGGGAGGTAGGGGAGAGTTCGGAGACGGCTGGGAGGAAGGGTCAGTTTTGGTTGGAGGTGGTTGGTGTATGTGGAGGACGTACTAGTCATACTGTGAAATCTGTCAGTTTATACTTTATCTTAGCAATGTCACATAGGCTCACTTACCTGGGTCTCACACCACAACGGCCCAACCAAGTCAGATACACTCAAATAGCCTTTCCGTCTGAATTGGAAAAACGGCGCGAGCTGTTGCTGTTGCTGTTGCTCCTGCTCCTCTCCCTCTCCGTCCTCAGCTCCTTGTGTCTGATCCGCAACTTCAACCTCGACCGGATGAGAAACTGAGGAACCTCTGCCATCAACTTGACCAGGGGTTGAGAATATACCACCCCGCGCAAGAGTCGAAGTAGACACCGCACCCCCAGAAGGAGGAAAGAGATCTTCCATATCCCCCGCCAGCTTCTTACCCCCTCCCCACTCAATCTCTTTAGCCTGTTGAGGCGCAACCAAACTCTGCGCTCTATACCCTCTCCCCACCCGATCGAGCACTTCCTCCAAAGCTTCGTCTATAACAATATCCGATCCGAAATCGTCATACTCTTCGTCTTCTGCTTCATCCTTGGCTTCATCCTTGAGGATTGTCGGATCTGCGTGGTGGCCTTGATCGATGGGCGATGTGAAAAGAGTCGGTTCGGAAGGTAGGTTGACCGACTCGAGAGGCTTGGGGGAGGGTCGAGTAGCGGCTCCGATCGGTCCATCAGTCTTCTTCGCGGAGGACGATCCCGGACCAGTCTCTGCCTCAAACATATCGCCGTCTCGTAGCGTCTCTTGCGTATCCGTATGTATCGAAGGGCCTCAAGAAAGCAGTCCCATTGTCGATAAGAGGTTTGGGTGGTGGCAAGAAAACAGTCGAGGGGATAGAAGGAAATGTTGAAAACAGGAGATGGCAATGTGTTTGGTTTTGGAGGCGATCGACCTCCACCGGGTGACATCAACCACTCCAGTCGCGTCCATTTCGTTGCTCCAGGCTCCACGTACGTATGGACGATGTAGAATCGTATGTATGCTTTCGAGTCTTGTACTCTCTCGGCTACGAGACAGCACACAAGGGTCCGAACAAAGCAGGTCAGCCCCTAGACCGATTTGTATCTTTAGTGAACCAGCCACGCCTGCAACGATAATCAAATTGACCAAACTCGGTGCATCCAACTCTACGATACCAGAACCATGGCCAGAGTCTAAAGAGATAATCGACAAAGGAAGAGGTATATATAGAGGTAGGAATGTAGGGTGTAAGGAATAAGGATTCTGTATGTGCGAGGTAGGAATGTAGGGGGTTTTTACTTGGGGTTGTATAAACGATGCGTTTATCCGGAACCACCCTGCGAAATTGTAAGCAATGGTCAAAAAAGAGAAGGGGAAGACGTACAGAGTAGACCTTGCCGAACATGAGCTCCTGGGCCTTGTCGTAGAGAGACAAGACACCAGCACCGGCAACACCACGGAGAATGTTGGCACCGGCACCCTTGAAGAGAGACTTGATACCCTCCTTGGCGACGATCTGAGAAGCGGCGTCGAACATGGACTTGTAGTGGACGGTACCACCGGAAGTCATCATCATTCGTCGTCGGATAGTGTCCAAGGGGTAAGAAGCGAGACCGGCAGAGGTGGTGACGGCCCAACCAAGAGCGAAGGAAGCGGCGAAGTTGCCCTCAAGAGGACCAACGAGGATGACAGGCTTGATAGAGTCGTAGAGACCGAAGTAGAGACCTCGGTAGACAATGATACCAGCGACGGAGGGAACGAAACCTCGGTAGAGACCGGCAATACCGTCGGAAGCGAGGGTCTTCTTGTAGACGTCGACCAAACCGTTGAACTGACGCTCACCACCCTTCTTGGAGGACTTGGCGTCGTTGGCAAGACGGGTACGGGCGTAGTCGAGAGAGTAGACGAAGAGAAGAGAAGAAGCACCAGCGGCACCACCCTATTGATGGTGTGAGTAAAAAGTTGTTTTGACGGTTAAAAAAAGACATACGGAGGCGATGTTACCAGCGAACCACTTCCAGTAGCCCTCGTTCTTCTTGAAGCCGAAGAGAGACTTGAAGTAGTCCTTGAAGGCGAAGTTCAAAGCCTGGGTAGGGAAGTATCGGATGACGTTGGCGGTGTTACCTCGCCAGAAAGAGGTAAGACCCTCGTCGGCGTAGGTCCTGGCGAAGCAGTCACCAATACCCTTGTAGGGGGACGCGAGACGGCCCTGCTTGATCCTAGTACACAAGTCAGCATGGGATCGATGACGTGGCCATGAGAAAAAAAACACTCACATCTCGTCCTGGTTCTGGACAAGGAGCTTGATACGCTCGATGGGGGCAGCAGCGGTCTTGGAGACCGCGGCGGAAACACCACCCATCATGAAGTCGGTAAGGAAAGCCTTGGTGTCCTTGGGTTTCTTAATGTCGGCCATTTTGAACTGTAGAGGGTCAGTGCGAGGCCGAAAAAAAGTGTAGCGCGTGCGCAAAGCAGCAGTTGGTTGGCGAGGGGGTGTAGGGTGGGCACAAGAAGGGCGTCGAGAAAGAAACATGGCCGTAAGGCCAAGTGCCGACTTTTCTTCACCGGTCCCACGACCGGACTCCACATGCGCTCCAAGCCCCGGTCCCCTCCCCGCCCATCGCCATCCAGTTGCGCACGCAGAGAAGGGCCAACTCACCTCGTTAACCTCGTTTCTACCTCGTACACAGATAAGAAAAGAGTGGGGAGATGGAGAGGAGAAAGACAGATAAAAAGGCTGAGAATGCCACCGCGGAGCGCCCCCAGTGTCTCTGCCGGCACGCGGCGGTACGCGGCGAATTCGCAAGTGGCGCTGTAATTACGGCTTTTCGCGGGCACATCTCCGAAGCTCTCTCGGGTCAATTCGGGAATCCGCCGGGCGTCTGCATGCGGTCATTGCATGGGGGGTGTAGGCGTGTTGGGTGGGGCTGGATGCATCAGAAGGGTCAATGCTGGTATACCAAGGAATACTTGGTGGTCAAGGGCGATAGGGGCGGTCGCGGGCAAGCTGGATATCGTTACTATAGGCTTTCGGCCGGGCCCTCCGCCGGCGGTTGGCTGACGAGACCCTCAACGCTCTCAACGAGTTTGCTGGAACGACGATCATTGTCTGTTACCCCAGCAGGCATGCAATCCCATTATAGATGTGTATTCAAATCCCCTCTAGCTCCGGAGTGCTCTTCACATCCCGCATCTTAATCTCCAAATCCTCATCGCCATCCTCCAACGAGATGTAGAAATTATAATGTCGCGAAAATCCAAAACGTTGCCGGACAGGCTCTTAACACAATTGTCCCTTTTGACTGCTATCATAACGTTTCTACGAACACTTTTTGTTCTTGTCAGAAAGACCTTGTATCATCGAACTTTTCTTTGTTAATCAAGCTCATCTTCCCATTGTTCTCATTGTTCTCATTCTTCAAGTTGGCCCTCATACTCATACTGATTCGAATGGATAGAGCTCTCTATCAATATGGCAATATTCCTCTCCTTCCCGAACTCCAATATCGAACTTGCTCGGACTGATAAGTTTGAGTACGCGCCCCCTCCCCTGATCGGCAATGATATCGACAGCTTTACCCAGTGTACCTCGAGGTCCTCTACATGAGCAAGTAGGTTTCTGTTCTGTTGTACATTCACTTCAGTATGCTTATGCTCGTTGTTGCAGGCCTTATGAGGAGTGAAACGCAAGTATCACGATGAAGAGAAAGACTCTCCTCTTCTCAACCCTACACTCCAGCCTAAGCGTATAAGAATTTCGCTCGACGCACACCTGCCGACCCCACCTCCTTCCTCCTCATTGCTACCCTTGGCGCCTCAGCCTGACAAACCCCTACCGCCACTGCCTCTCGATATTCTGCACTACATCATCACTCCTGCAGACGGGGACTCTTCGAACCAATGCAGGAGTCTCGAAGGTGTTTCATGCAGAGTCAAGGAAGCTGCTATTCGTCGCCGCCACGGCTTCGTCTCCGCATGGATAATCGCTGTTTTTGGATGAATCAGCAATGATGGATTGTTGAAAGGCAATGACAAAGCTCACCTCTGTATTCATGGGGTAAAAAGCGGTATCTATCCCCGACCCAGTGACTGAAGGCATCGAAGAGATCGACCACTTCATGGAAAATGGAAGAATAGACACAGATTCCACTATAGTCAGTGATCGTTGCCTTGCTCTCGCTGCCCAAAGAGGGGGAATCGGAGCAGTTTTCTACATACAGGGTCTCGGGCTGAGCAAAGAATGGTCGAACCAGCCAAGACCAAGGCTGTCTGGCCCCTACTTCCCTTATGACAAAGCAGGACGAGGCGGTGATCACTGATTGATGGTGCTTAGCGCTTAGTGATGACCATTGTACAAAGATGATAACTCACCCATGTCAGACTTGACCTGTTCCCTGAACAGCTTGAACAAGGCGCCCAAGCGTGCAAGGAAACCCAGCTGTAGAAGCTGGCCTCCAAAGGCGTTGTCTTCTTCTGATGGATCTTGGTGCAAGGCCCGAGTAGCCCAGTAGAATTTCCCGTTCCAAGACAACTAATGACGAAATCAGTAAAGACATCGTCTTCGCTTGCAGGTTGCAAACGCACCTTGTAAGTAGCAAGTTGTCCTTTCACCATGAATGGAGCCTTGCTTCGATCCTCTCCGAGCACCGATGACATAACACCAAAGTCGCTTCTCCCTGTAGTCAAGACCTGGGGGGGATTGGCCGAGACGGGGAGTTCGGCATCGTAGATGTTACCTGACACGTCGTCGATCCAGAGGGGTAGAAAGACCGTATACACCTCCTTGCCTTTTGCCTGGACCCGCGCCTGGCTGACCTCGATCTCAACAAACTCGTCTGGACCAATAAGCTGGTTGTTGTCGTACGCTATGTTGACGAACTCACCTTTGCCATCAAAGAGCCATTTTTTACCGACAATCTCCGCAGTTGGGAGATGTAGATCATCCGCTGCGATCAAGGTCTCACCATTGTCCAGCATGGAGAGGCTGTGATCCGTAGACAGAGAACTCGATATGTTCGTCTGCCTCGAACAGTTGATCGAAGGGGCACCGCAGAGCAGCTGGTGAGTAAGACGTCTTGGTCGCCTTGATACCCCCCGTGACGGCGAGGAATAGCAGCTTCCTTGACTCTGCATGAGACATCTTCGAGACTCCTGAAATGGTTCAAAGAGTCCCATCGTCTGCAAGAGTGTTGATGTAGTGCAGGATCTCGAGAGGCAGTGGCGGTAGGGGCTTGTCAGGCTGAGGCGCTGATGTCGGGCAAGCTGGCTGCAGGTCGCCTGCTGCCGAGAGAGGCAAGGAGTGCGGATCAAAAAGAACAGTTGACATGGTGAGAGTGCTTGACGAGACGGTGAAGGGTGACAGTGCGCAAGACACCCATCAGGCTCCCTGTGGCCTGTGCATATCTGCATAACACAAAGAAAGACACTGGTCATGGGCGGGGGAACCAAATCTCCGGCACGCCTGCTTTCAACCAGCCCGATGCACGCCTGCTGGCTCGGCGCATGGGGGGGTGGGAAGGGCTTGTGTCAAGCCAGTGCACGCCTGTAACGACAGACAGTCACGGGGTGGACCAACGCCGACAAAGACATCAGAGGCGATGGGAGCCGAACCAAATAGATGAAGCGCCGAACGTGGCACTCGCCATGTACGGTGGCTATGGAGAGACAGGCCAGGAGAATGGCATACTGGAGTATTCATTCATAAGGAAATCGAGCTAGATAGTCATGGTACGCCCTACTCGTAGTGTACATTGCACTAGTGTGTAGCTGCTAGGTCCGGGTCAACTTGGCTGCTGGCTGGCTTGGTGATGTTGAAAGACCAAGTTGCTGAGGAGCTGGACAATCTACGTACACCGCATCTGACCACCAACATCTCCCAACCACGGCGCGCTCAAACAACTCAACTTCAGTATCCTATTTCTTTCTCTCCTGCCACAATGCCACACTGCTGCCAGTTGAATGTGGGACCCTCACGTCATACCAACATGAGCGGTCGTGACCGACGGCCTCGGCGCGTTCCTGCAAAAAAGTTGACGTGTACGTTCCGACTCCACTTCTCCATCTTCCTTCTGTCTTTTGTCAACCATCCCTGAAACTTGTTGTCTGCATTACCCTTACAGCCACAATTCACCCTTTCAAGGGATATAAAAAAGGCCGCTCGTCTAGGCGAGGCACAGCCTTCGTTCATCCGACATCGCGGAGGCGTGCGGTCAACTCTGCGGTATGGCAGTGCCGCTTACGACTAGACTCCTTAGCCAATCTAAATACAACCTCACCAACAGTCTCACAATGCCTTTTCTCTCTACTGCTCATCGTATCCTGACAAATATGATGTAGCTCTGAGCTTTTGTGCGTGCATAGACTATGAGTATGTTTCTACTTTTGATCTCTAAGAAAACGTATATTGACAAGAAGGACTCTGACGGGGCATACAGTACTGTACAGTACAAATACAACAGCAGAAGCCGAGAAGCAAGATCATTGCGAAGACTTGTGGTTATGTGTTATGGAATGATAAGGTACAGTCGGCTTGGAGCACGATGGAAAAGGCAAGAATGTTGAACAACGGTATGTGCAAAGATCCCAAGAGGGAAGGAGAGCGAAATCAAAGAAGGGTTAAAGACCAAGAAGGAGGGAGAGGCAAGGGTCATAGCAGCAAGCTGACAACACCCAGACAGGCTACAGCCCATCCAGCGCCCACGGCGACTCTCCCCGCACCCGAAGTCTGGTTTCCCTTGGAAGTTCCGCCCCCCTTACTCCCAGTCCCTCCATTGGACGTCTCCAAGCTCCCCGCATCTACCGTCGCATCCCCGCTCCCAACGACACTCGTAGCGTACGTCGACGTCGCGTCTGCCGCCACATTTGATTCTTCCAGAACATCGTTGGAGAAGAAGACGAGTGCGATGGAGGGGGCAAAGACGGGGATGGTACACGTGTTGGCAGTTTGGTCGCAGGTGATTTGGTATGTTGTTTGGTCACCCGACAAACGACCGTCGGCGGCATAGGACCCGCCGAGAGTTTGGTTCGCCCAGTAGATGTCGTACTGCTCGCTCACGGTATCCGCTTGCAGGTACCTCACATACACTTCGGACGGACTACCCTGATTCTGAACATTGATGACAACGTCCAAGTCGCTCGCACCCGTCGAATCATCGATAAAGTTGAACAGCACCATCCTCGCAAGGGCGTCGTCCTCGTAGATGCCGTAGACGGGGTGGTAGATGTAGTTGGCGTCGACTTCGGCGAGAGGGGTGAGGTCGACGACGCGCGAGTTGTTGGACTTGCCGAAGGCTTCGGCGATGACGAGGGTGGGGTAGTAGACGCTTCCGGGGGTCCATTGGTGGGTACTCGACAAGTTGGAAGAGGGAGGAGTGAAGGGCTATGACATGTAAGCTTTGTCATCGTGTGGAGAAGGGAGGGCTTACGTTGTAGTAGACGTTCTGCCCACCAACGTGCATGAGGGCGGCAGAAAAGTTGCCGTACGCCATCTGCAGCGCATAATCCGTCATCCTATCCTCATCAGCTTTGATCCGGGCTCCTCGGAGGGATATACTCACCACATGGCCGCACCAAAGCTATCACTCAATCCCGCAAACCCACCACAACTTGCCGTGTTCATCTCCAACATGACATACTCCTTGCCCTTGTCCTGTACCGTCGCCGAGTCTGCCAAATACGCGCCCACAAGCGCTTGAGCAGAGGTATGGTTCAGAAAGTCGGAAAAGATGTCTTGCGCATTAATGACGTTGCCGTTGACCTGACAGTTGTTGGTGGGGTAATGTTGGACGGTGACGGCGGATAGACGGTCGACGTTGTCGTCGAGCCATCCGGCGGAGAGGAGGTCGGAGAATTCAAATCCGGCGACTTCGCAGCAGAGCGAGGGGCCGAGGAACATGGAGGAGTCGAGGAGGGAGCCGTTGGCGATGATGGAGGCGAGGGTGGCGTCGTACTCAGAGACATAGTCGGCGACGGTGTACCCCGCTTCACGATGGTTGTGGTCGACATACCTGTCCGAGGTCAGTGCCCAATCTAAGAAGGAAGGAAAGCCGCTTACAAGTCTGGTTCGTTACCCACGCTTAGACCGAGCAAGCTATCGCCAAGAATTTCTTGGGCCCAGGTAGCCGCCAAAGGGATGTTGTCAATCTGCAAATCGACGTCCGTCTCGTTGAACGCGAGACCGAAATACCAGTCGACACCGACGAGCGATGAGATATTCGACATGATGTAGAACAGCTCGGGAGAGTAGTTGATGATGGGCGTGTCGGTCTGCACATGTGTTGTCAGCTGACTGTGGTGGTTCTTTGCGCAGTACTCACGACGCCAGAGGAGACCTTGATCTTTTCCATCGCCGCGCCCTCATCGAGCCCATCGACAAAGATGGTACTGCCTTCTTGACTGTTACCGCCCACTCTCACAATCGCGCCTGCGCCCGCACGGTTCTGGATGTTGGCCATGAAATTCAGAAACGGTACTTTGAGAGTTCCGCTCCGGGCGCCCATAATGGAGGTCGCGACTGACAACTCTATCGAGAACCCGAGAAAGTTGCCTTTTTGTGGGATGGACAGGGCGAGGTTTTCAGCGACAACACCGTCGCCGTTGGAGGGGATGGACATGGTGATGGATGTGACGGCGGGGGAAGGGGGAGTGGGGGCGGTAAGAGTGGTGGGGTCGTAGGCTGCGAGACCGGTGTAGGTCTCACCAGCGGCGAGGGAGGTGGTGGTGGCGGTGGTAGAGGCTCCGGTATAAAGAGTGACTGCGCCATCTGCCCGGGCGGGGGGCAGGGCAAGGAAACCGAGGAGCGGAAGGAGGGCGAGAGAGGGGAACATGGCGAATGGATGAAAAGAAGAAGAAGATGCGGAATGTTTACTCTCTAAAAGGAGTGCGCGTGATGGGCCTCGTGGGGCTTGCCTGTGTGGGAGATCAGATGGATCGTTTGGCGAAAGGGGCCTGAGCGTACGACGGCGGGAGATTGGATCTGGATGGCCGGAGGATGGAAGGGTAGGAGCGCGGAGGATATAGCAGGCGAGATCTGGGGGCTGGGGGATGGGTGGGCTGGTGGCTAGTGGGTGGTGGCAGGGGGGTTAAGGAGTGAGGGGAGTTGGTGCGTGGTGGATTATACAAGAATATGGATGGATGGAAGAGAAAGAAGAGATGCGACTGGCCCCACTGCGACCTGGTGGCTGTCGGCTGAGCGTCAAACAACCACGCCCAGATTCCGACGCACTGTTTGGCTCTGCTCGTCCGATCGTCACAGGGACCGGGAATTATCCATCTCGCTCTTCCGGGTCCTGGCCCCGCTGCTGCTGCCTCGCCAAGCATCCATGCAGTCTGCTGCTCTTCCCTCCCATGCATGCTCTCACTGGGATGCATAGACACCCCCTGCTGCCTGCTGCATCGTGACTTGGGACAGACACCCCATTACACCATTTGGGCTCATTGGCAGTGGCGGGAGGGATGGATAATGCGTAATTCAGGTGCAAAAATACAGGGAAAAATCCGGTACCCCGGGAAGCTTGTTCGTGTTGTTTGATCTCTTCTTGTGCACCAAACAAGAGCTGCGCTCTTGGAGCTTTCGGCTTCTGGTCCTCCCGTCTCATACTCTACGTGAGTCTACGTGCATACCTGCTAAAGTATTTAATGGATCCAGTGAACATGGGCAGTCATCTTTCTCTGGTTTCTTTGATTTCTATGGCAAGCTTCGAGCACATCACAAGCTGCTGTCCCTGCATGCTGCATCCCCTCGAGGGCGGAGGACCGAGCAACACTCCCCCCTTGCTCAGCTCTGCGCTCTGGGCGTGCTCAGGCCTTAGCTGCCCTCTTTCCTCTTTCCTCTTTCGCTCTCTTTCTCGCAGCATGCAGCTGCAGCCCGTCGGCCGGAAAAGGGAAAGCAGATATTATTAAAGCCAATAAGGAACACAAGGCCAAGCATTTTACCAGAACTGCGCATCCAGGGGCCAGGAGCCTTGTCGGACCGGGATCTGGCCACTTTTCCAGCCTCAGCCCTCAGCCTTTTTCGGCCCTTGGCTCTTGACCCCCTTCAAAAATCAAAGATGACCGCCGGCTTGGACTCGGATTCCCGCCACAGTGCACCAAGCCACCAAGTACATATCTGCTTGTGGCCCTTGTGGCCCGTGTGGGTTCTGTGAAGCTTGTTACTGGGTTGCGGGTTGTGGCCGTTGTGGATAGTTTGGATCCCGAAAGCCGAATTGGTCTTCTTGAGCTTGTTTAGCTTGAGAATGAGATGTGGGGTGTGGGGTGTCGAGCTGGGTAGCGGGTACCGGCTTCCGGCGGAGGGGTCATGGTCTGCATGCACTCTGCAGTCTGGTCTGCAGTCTGCAGTCTTCTTGGTTCATGCTGTGCATCCTCTACTAGCTGCCATGCGTGCGTATGCGTACTCACTCGCTGAACAGAGATCATCAACGTATTATTGCGTCGCGTCAATTCGATGAACAAACAACAGACAGTCAAACAAACAACTCAGGTCTCACAAACTCTGAAAGTCAGATCTTGCGATTATGGTTATTTCTGCTCATTCTCAATCCAGCCCGAAGATCTTGATGATATCAAAAACTGGGGAATGGGGTAATGGGGAATGGGGAGTGGGGGACGATGACGAGTGAGTGACGAACTGACAACTGATCTGTGAGTTGTGGCGACTTCCCGACCGACCTTTGTGGTACCGGGCTGTAAGTATGTACTACCAAGTACCATGTGTCTACGTTGTTTTACCTCCACGAAGCAGTGCGTGCATGACTGGCAATGGAAAGGTGACAGTCATGATACCAGCAACCAGCAAGTACTCTATAGTACTCGCATCGAGTAGCCATATCATGAAAGTCAGTTGCGGAAACACGAACCCACCAACAAATTTTTCGATGCTTCAACGTCATCCCCGTCTTTCCTCATTCTCCTCTCATCCTTTCCGCCCTTCCACAGGAAGAGCTTTCCACTAGCTCCACCGAACCGATAAAATGCTGCATGTAAAGCGTTGATATATCTCATCACCGATTCAATCTCGACACCATTCGCCTTCCCGTACAATTCGACCTATCGGTGAGTCCAGGTCACGAACGTTGAATCCCACTAACGATCCCCAAGTCCAGATACCAAAGCAAATGTCAACCCATACCATCACAGCTCCCATTCCGACCTACGCCCACAGGACCCTCCACCGCTCCTGCCCCGCCCCCGCCCCCGCCTCCGTCCCGCATGACCATGACCATGACAACCCATCTCCCCCCGCCCGACCTGTCCACCGTCCACGTACGACCAGATCTGGTGGAAGGGAAGGAGGACAAGAACGGTGGTTCGAATTCCATCCTCTGCACCATCCCGCTCCGAGGCGTGTGTCGGACTTTGCAGTGCATTTGCAGGATGTTATTGATATGATTGATAAAGACCCAGGAGAGAGCGAGGGAGTAGGGGAGAGGGAGAGGGAGGGGGAGGGGAAGAAGATGTCGGATTTTGAGACGCCGGCTGGTTCGCCGGCTTCGTCGCCCGTGTTTCGCACGTCTTCGTCTTCGTCGTTCGGTTTTGTGAGCCGGCCGTCTCAGCTTGGCTTGACGTCTGTCGTGTCGGAGGAGGAGGAAGCGGGTGGGGTTGAAGAGGGTGTTCCCGCTGAGAGGAAAGATGATGATGTTGCTAAGCATGCGGATACCGAACCCGAGGCAGTGACCGACGGCGGAAAGGCCGTCCAACCTTTCAAGAATTCCGCGCCCAGGGTTCCATCCCCGCCTCGTCTCTCAGCGTTCAGACGCCGAGCCGCCACTCTACCCTCAACTCCCCAATTCCTCGCATCCCGCCAAACCCAAACCCAAATCCACCGTCCCCACGCCCCACCCCCCCTCTGTCCTCTCCCAACCCGTCCCATATTCAAGCAGGAAGCCTTCAAAACCGCCGAAGACAAGGTCCACAACTATATCAAACATTATCAGACGCGTCCATGGACGGAAATGGAAGAAGCGCCGGATTATTTCTTGTTTGGGTGGAGGAATGAGGTGATTGCGAGTTGGAATAGGTTTTATAGTAAGGAGAATGAGGCGAAGAGGAGGGCGGTGAGGGGGAGTGTGAGTTTGCCTGGTTAGCGTTTTCATAGCGAAAGTCAGCGGATGTATGCCTTTGAATGTGATGACTTTGGAGGACTGGTAGCATCTCCGTATGACTAGCCCTGGCTATACGGCGGCAGTCCACCCCTATCATACCCCGGCGGTGCCCCCTGTCCTTCAGGACCCGCCCCAGGCGCCGACACCACATCACCACCTTCCCCAGCCCCAGCCATCGGCCCACTAGCCGCCACACCCCCTACAGCATTCGCCGCCTGGCTCGCATCAAAGCTCGGCGGTGCATGTTGCGATTCATGTGGTGGAGGTGGGGTCGCAGGCAAAGGCGGGGAGTGTAGGGGATGGGCGTTGGTGGGGAGGGTTTGGGTGGAGAATTGTTGGAATGTGCGGGAAGGGGGTTGGGAGTGGGGAGAGTTGAAGGATGGGAGGGCGGGTAGAGAGGGTTCGTCGATACCTGGTGGGAGGTCGTCCTGTTTGGGGTTAGCCTCAAGCACGAGGGAACTTGAATATTACGCACCTGGAGATCGACGACTCGTGTACCGTCACCGAGTCCGAGATGTTCCATCAACTCTACAGCGCCTCCCGCTTGTCCAGCCCCGTCCAGCCCCAGACGAGCGACTACGTCTTCCACCACGCCGTTCACCTGGACGAGCTCGCCTGGTTGGAGTGGGTCCATGGAGCCGCGGGCGTGTAACGAGGCGGCGAGGGAAGGAGGAGGCTGGGAGAACGTTTCATAGCCGTCATACTAGTCAATGTCAGCAATGCTCAGAAAGTATGCAGAATGACTACTCACCTCGACCCAGGTAGCGAGTTCACCTGAGAGCCCATCTCTACCCACTCTCAACTCTTCCCTCGCAGGCTCCACAGCAGCAGGAGTAACATCGTTCGACTCCCTCTCCTTGCCCGTATCTCTATGCGGGAGTACCACGCTCACACTGCCTCGCCTCCTCTCTTCTTGCGCTTGAGACTCCAAGAATGTCGGAAGCCCGCTCGGACCGGAACCTGCCGCTTCTGGCTCTTGCTCGACTAGCGGAGGTGGGTATGAGGCTGATGGGCCAGCTTGCGAGGGACGACGTCCAGGCTCGAATGGAGGTGGGAGATCATCCCCGGGTAGGTCTTCTGCCCTGGTGGTCCCTTGGGCACCGACGATATCCCGCCCTTTAAGCCTGTACGCTTCTCTAGCTCGCTGCTGTTCCACTTCGGGATCGAGAATGGGCGAAGGAGGCTCAGAGATGGTATCAGGGAAAGTGGACGAAGAGGCAGAAGGCGGCTGGTAGATCTTGGGCAAGATGACGATGGGGTGCTCGATCGTCCACCCATCGTCCTCGCTCTCGGAACTGGCCGGGCCTGATGGACCTGCACTGCCCCCATCACCCAGCCCGACTCTGACGCGCACACCGAATTGGACCTCGTGCCATCCTGCGCGCTGATTGATCTCGCCCCACGTCCGTTCTGCCAGATGGCCGGTTTGAGCTGTTGGGATAGTGAACAGCAGGCGCGGGGCGGGGAGAGGGGGAGGACCGGGGTAGCGCAGGGATTTGCCAGAGGAGTGGAGGAGGGTGTAGTGCTGCTCGGGAGCAGGAGGGGTGGAAGATGAGGATTGCGAGGAATGGATGGTGACCAAGCGGTAGAATTCGACCCGTATTCTGCGCATACGCCTCAGAATGCCCTTGGCTTCCTGCTCTGCACTTGTCGAGCCCTTCTGATCTCCTGCTTGCTCACTAGCAGACAAGGTAGACGGTTTGATCTCGACTCCAAGGTGCACCAGGTCACCGAGGTGAGGGGTATCCGACGACAAGAGAAGGCGGGTCGTGATGCCCTTCTTGGTCTGCACATGCTCTACCTCCTTCTTGGAGAGTGGATAGGTCGCAAAGAGGGTCTGGGGCGTTCCCTCGACAGGTATTGTAGCCTCGACTTGTTGCCCCGTCGACAGGGAAAGGATAACCAAGAGCGTGTACCGCACTTCGCCTTTGGAGAAAGCTGACAGATTCAGCGTTCCAGGTAGTATCTCGCCATCTGGGTCTGCCGTGGAGCTGTCTACCCAGTCGGGCGGGGGGATGGTGGCTGGGAGAGGGATAGCAAATCGGTGGCAGGTCGGGAATCTCGCTGTCGATGTACTTTCCTCGTCCAATGATGGTGGGGCCGGGTAGAGCGTCTGCTCGGGAAAGGGATAGAGGTCGATGGGGGGTGCTTCGGGCAGACCTGACTGGAGCTGCAGCTTGGCTCTCCTACAAGAGACAGTCAGCTCACGACTCCAAAGATAAAGGAAGAGCCTACAAGGCCTGTACACCGTGCTCCTCGCCAGCACCGAGGCCCTTGACAAAGACCTCTCCCTGGACAGATGGCCCGCAGAAGAATGAAGCGGCGTCGGGGAGGGGTACCACCAGGATCTGTGGAAGGGTAGGGGCATAGTCTGGGGGGTGGTCGGCCATGGCAAAAATGGAGATGAAAGAGGAGATGGGCGCAGTGGAGTCCACCAAATGACACGCACTCGCAAGGTGGAGGCAGGCGGCGTCGGTCGATGTCGAGCAAGATATTTTGTTTTGGTCAAGGGCTCTTGCAACAATTGTGCATCAAGGGTGAGTGAAGCATGGTGCCAGAGAGGAAAGAGTCAAGGGTTGTCTATCATATTGTATGTCTCCGACGAGACGATGCTCAGCGGTTGCCACCCTCCGGCCTCTTGCGAGATCGTTCGTCAACTACTCTTGACTCTGAGTGTCGTCTGCAGAGGAGTATTTGTATCGAGACTAGGGCAACCGGGTAACTAGGAGAGATGTGAAGACAAAAGTCGGAATGCGCCATCGAACGAACGCGGCAGGGAGAATCGAAAAGACATGTGCATAAAGTCCATATCTTCTTCTAACTTCTCTCCATATCCCTTCTGATCTATACACAATCTTCCTACCACGAATGGTTGACAAGAATGCCTATCAAAGCGTCAGTACTGACACCATTGGTGCGCTGCTTGGAGGTCGCCACTCACAACAACACTGGTAGCTGTCCAGCTAGTACAGGACCCACCAATCCGGATCATTGTCACTCTGAGGCATAGCATTGCTCGACCTTCTCACAGATCTGTCATCGATGGCCTCGCGAGTGTGAGGAGGCACGGGAGAAGAATGCGCAGGAGCTTCAACGCCAGGAGCGGAAAGGGTGTGGCGGCTGACAAGTATGGGAAAGAAGCGCGCCATGAACTTTGACCTCGACCAAGACCCCGATCCCGTGGTGGGAGAAGGAGACTTCTGTTGGGTCTCTAGGTACTGCATCTCGTCGAGTACGGTGGCGAGCTTGCCCTTGATGGGGGTAGGGCGAGACGCCACAGAAGAGTGGTCGGTCATGTTGTCGAGGATGACGATGTGAGACATGGTGAGATGAGGTGTATTTTGGGTTGGGTGTGTGATTTCTCATGGGGTGAGGGTCACTGGTCAAGTGAGAGAGTGGTTTGGATGTGGAGAGTGCATTGAGGAGAGATAGATACCGAATTGACATTGATAGGGCAGGTTTTGCGGAATTGCTGTAGCTTTCCGCCGTGGGCAGTGCTGTTTCCGCTACATCATGTATCGTCTGATGACGATTGGAAACTTCTCCCGAAGTCTCATGATGACGGCTTTCTATACGTCTCTGACAGCAGTGATGCTCGGATACATGATGTCTCGAGGATACGGCTTTGAGGTGTCGCACCGACTCATGAACTTCCACTTGAGGGACCGAAAGCCGGCTCTGCGTGGACTTCTGGGAGCTGGAGGCAGACGTTGGGACTGGGGAGCCTGCCGAGCGAGATGTATAATTGCACTTGACGTGTGGGGGATGTCCGTAGTCCATCATCTCAGCTTCCCCTGCCGCCTCTCCACCCCATCCTCAAACCTCATTTCATCCCGCGCCTCCCAACCCTCATCTTCTTCATCCCCATCCACCTCCGCCCCATGCCCACCTTCCTCCCACTCCCCCTCATCCGTCTTCCAATATCCCCTGCTCAAGCGAGACCTTTTCCCACCCGCGACGTTGGCGTTTTCGAAGGCCAGGGCAGCTTTGCGTTTCTTTTCAACTTTTTCGAGCTGGGCGTCTGTGGCGGGGATGGCTTTGACACGGCAGACTTCGACTTGGATGCCGAAGGAGAGGAGGACGTCGATCCAGATCTGTAACATCCATGAGCGTCTGAAGAGAATAGAGCTGATGTACACCGACCTTTTGAGTTTCAGACAGACTATCACCAGGGCCTTTGACTTCGACAAACCTCGCGTCTTTCGTCTCTGCGTTCCAAACACTGATAATCGATTAGTATGTGGCCTACTGATGATATGTAGACTCACATCAAGTCCGGCACACCACTCGCCCGATGTCTATACTCCTCCGCCAACATCCTACACACCCCACTCACTCCCCTTCCGCCCAGACACTGCAGAATCTCCACCAAATCCTCCTTGCCATACTCCCAGTTCACACCCACCGCCCAAGTAGATCGTTCTCTTTCCCTATCGTCGGTCTCCAAAAGCAGTTCGACGGCTTTCTTGCTGGAAGAAGCGATGAGGGCAAGGCGGGCTTCGAGGAGGGCGGAGCGCGAGGGCAGAAACGTATCTTCGCCGAGATCGAGAGGGGCGGTTTGGTAGGAGGTCTCAAAGGCGCCGGGGAGGGGATGGAACAGCACGGGCCAGAGTAAGAGGGTAAAGAGGGTGGTAAGTATAGAGGATTCGGAATGGTATCTGTCAAGTGTCAGCGAGTCTGCGAGTGAGCTTCGAGAAGGAAGCGTACCCTTTGTACCCCTTCTTCTCCCACCACTCCAAAACCCACTCTTCCACGCCGACTTCACCATCCTTGCCCATCCACAGACTCTTTCCAACTAATCTTGTCTCTCCACTGCTCTCGCCGTTTTCACTCTTCAGTCCACCGGAGTAGGTTCTCGGGATCCTGACTTGGCCCCGGTTCTCGGGTAGGCGTACAGCGTTGAGGTCGCGGGTCCCGCATTTTAGAAGCGAAGCATAAGAGATGTGGCGTTCGTCTGCGGGAAGGTTAAGCTTGTTCTCGAGTCTGGTCAGGCGGCGAGATAGAGCGGGTCGATAGACTGCGCTCATGTCAATACATGTTACATGAGAAAGAGCGAGACATACTGATATGGGTATCCTCATCCAGAAGCGCGTCTATGCAGACTTGTGTAGCTTCTCGCAGCTTCGCCTCCTTCTCTTTCGGTGTGGTGTTGTAATGATTCATGAGTACTAGAGCCAGACGGTCATACCACGCCCTATCGAGTCTTGTGTCAGTCCCGATACTATTGAGCATATAGCAGCTTACCCTCTTTTACCTCGCCGCCATCGCCGCTGAGCGATAAGGGCTTTCAATATCATACACTCGGTGTCATATTCATGTAAAACGCCGAGCGCTTCGGCACCCTACGGTTCAATGAGCTGGGATACAAGCGCCGACGTCTCCCGACTCACCTTGTAGACGATCCTCGTAAGGACGTGGGCTGTCTGAAATCTATCCCCAACCAGATTCTTCTCACGTCCCTCCTCATCACCTGGGCCGGACTCTTCAACCGCCACCATCCCCTTCCAGACATCCCAAACGCCCTCCCATATCCGTTTCACAATCGCCGCACCTTCTTTCCTTCCCAGCCACTGTCCTTGATTGAACGAGACAGACCCCGCTAGAGAAGCATTCGGGTTCTTCCGCTGTTGGTCCCAGCTCTCTCCCAGGGCATCAGTGACGGTAGCCTCCCATCCGACTGCCCTTTCCCAGACCAAGAGTTCTTCCCTCGTGTTCCAGATCTTGGATCGTGCAGGTTTACCGTAATCTGGGTAACGCCGCTTTTTGGAATTGACGAGGATGCTGGGGAGCATGAGACTAGCGCCCCCGGGCGCTATAGGCGGAGTACGGGAGAAGATCAGATTCACGCGGGCTATCAGGGCATGAAGTTCTGGCGTGAGGCGGATGAGAGAGGATCCCAGAATGTGTAGCAGTTGATTGCGAAGCAGAGTTTCGGTAGTTTGGGGTTTGCCGAAGGGTAACGCGGTCTGCTTTGTAGACTTTTTGGGGGTTTCTTTAGGTTTTCCGAATGGGAGAGTGGTCTGTTTCTCTTTGCCTTTGGTATTGTCCAGAGGCACAAACCCCAAAATGGTTTGTTTCTTTGCCAGGCCCTCCAAAGCTGCAATGCACCCGTCTCTCGAGCCCGTCTGATGGCTGGGAATCTTCTTCTCCCTGCACGCCTTTCGTAATTCGTCCAGTGGCATGCACGAGAGAAGGTCGGACAGGGAGAGATCTGACTCTGATAGTGCGAAGTGAGTGAGAGGTGGTGATGGTAGAGGTTGGAGAGAGAATGGAGAGATGTGCGGGCTGGGTGCTGGTGTAGGAGTCTGAGACGGTGATGGTTTTGCGCTCGCATTTCTGGATGCTTTCTTGGTACTGCCTCCTCGAGGTTCGACGCTGATCTCTTCATCATCGCTCACAATTTCCACCCGCCCGACTTTCGCCGCCCAAAGGCTCTCTTTGAGAGCTTCAGCCAGCTGTGGGTCTGCTTTCTCTTCTTCCGAAGTAAGACCAGACGAAAGATCTGACCAAGGTTTGGTAGAGGAAGGGCGTTTGCCGAGCGAAGGGCGTTGAGAGGCAGGGGTCTTGATAGAAAATGACGAGGACATAGCCCGCTTCAGGGGAGTAGACGAAGGGCGGCTGCTGGGCCCGGAATCTTCCCAGATTGGTTCGTCGCGGACAATATCCTGCGGCACCTTCAGCTCTTGACACAACGTCTTCATCCCTTTCTTCACACCATCTTCTCCTATTTCTTGTTCGTAGACAGCGGACAGAGACGGAAAGGTGTGTATCTTGCCGGGCACGCGGAGGAGAAGCCGGGTAAGGAGGTAATGCGGTTCATCTGTCCATAGGTCAGTGATTGAACTGCGCGAAAGAATACAGAGCCATTACATGGAAGATCAAGAATATACTTGAGAACCCACAGCTCCCTTGGACTGAACAAATATGATTCACTCTCCAGTACGGTATTGATCATCTCTTCTTTGATCAGCGGCTTTCCGAATGTCAAGATCAGAGGGAGCTCACCATCGAGTAGTCGAACATACATCGAGATACCCCGCTCTTGGCGTACAGTCTCCGCAGTTTCATTGCCATCTTGCACTATCTCCCCTGCACTCCCTTCATCGAAGTACTCTCCGGCGTGTTCCAGTCCCGCGGAGGGGACGAGGAAGCTGGGGGCAGGCGGACTGGACGCCATTTTGTCGCTGAAGCGGGTGTCTTTTGCTTGAAACCACAGGCTCGAGTTGTTCTAGTCGTCCATTGGGTTGCAGGAGAAGAGCCTGATTATGCCAGGCGATTGGCTCCTGATGCAGAGCCTTACGAATGCACAATTACTGATACACTAAAAATACTGGTCAAAATGGTCGGAAACGCGACTGACGCGCACATGAAGTAATCGCCTTGGCGGACATCCCCGCCCTGTACCAACGGGGTATGTACTTGTATTAAAGATCGTGGTTGTATCATATTGTCAGATTCTGTCCTTGAGAGCCAGCCCTTCATGGTATCATGCATACCGCAGGCCATGAGAAGACTGTTATATACAGGTGATAGTCGCAAATTTCCTGCGAATTTCGGTCTCCGCCGCATTGATGCAGCGCGGGGTATATATTCAAACCAGTACATACAACGCTGTATCGCACCTATGCATATCAGATTTGATGAGGACACCAATGAGCATCTCCTGTATTGGAAATGCATAGCTAGAAGCTGTTTAATCAATACTTGGTATGCCCGCCTCGCCTCTTGATCACCTCCTGCATTCTGGTCGGCATGCTCTCGATACATGCCTCGATGCTCTCCTGCGATATCTCCTGCCAGGCTTCCTGGGCCACCCTGGTAAGTTCTTCATAGTAGTTGCCCTTCTCCCACGACCCCTGATCATCTCTTTGAGGAGCTTCCAGCAATTCTCAATCGGGTTGAGATCAGGAGAGCAAGCAGGATGAGGAATGTAGGAGAAGCAGTTTGCATGGCCTGCCCCTCGCGCGACCTTGGCTGTATAATCCAGAGCATTATCCTTCAGGATGAAGGTGCTCTGCTCACCATCCACACGCGAGATTGCAGACTTCCAGAGGTTTTTGAGGTGTTTATTCACAATCTGCTCTTGGTAGAGCTGAGCAGTGAGTCCACCCCGCTTGCCCGTGCTTTTGCTGGTGTCGCTCTTCACAATGTTCTTCCCAGTACCCAGGGTCAAATATTTTGCCTCCTGGGAACCTCTGCGTCTTCTTGCTTTGGCGAGCACTCTGATTCACCTTGCACGCATCCTCCATGCGTTCTAGCTTTGCCTGAAGTAAAGAGTATTGTGCTGCCAGGGACTCCAACCCCTTGTGAGACTTCCACAGGGCCTCTGTCGGGTCAAGCTCGCCTCTTTTGACTGCAAGAGCCTTGGAATGTATCATCCTCACGCTCGGGGGGGTACAGGGGAGCTCTTTCTTCCCTTGGGGGGGTGGAGTAACTCGCTCATCCTTCGAAAACGACCAGCTTGACCTCCCGCCGTGGTATATGGCTCCCCAAACCATAACGGAGACCACAGACTGCCCAAATGCAGGCCTCAGATTCTCCAGCCACAATGCATCTCCCTCTGTCGCTGCCGATAAACCACAAGGGCCCATTGAGCTTTTCACCAGAGTCGTGTTCTTGGTAGCGCTTCATGACAAGCTGCAGCATCTTGGCTTGGTCTTTCCAATCCTCCGTCTTACAAGTGGGAGAAAAAAGCACTGGTTTTGCATGGTAACCAGCCTCGCTCAAGGAAGATATGGCGGCAACAGTTACTTCTCCTCCAGTGCATTCCCCTGCTGGACCCGCCTCGCAACCAGCTCTACCCCCTTTAGATCCCTGACAGCTCTCCCCAAAGTTCCACCATGCTTTCGGCAGAGGCCTAAGATGCCTTGTGCCCTGGAAGACCACCGGCCTCGGGGCTCTGCGGCAACCTCATCTATGACAATGGAGTTGTCATGTTTGATGACATTGTCCTTTGGAAAGACAGCAACGATGTTGGAATTGATATCGCTGGACCGGATAGAACCATTGGAGACGACGAGCTTGGGATGAGTATGCTTCCGACGGATTGTCCGAATGGTAGAAAGGCCGAGGGCACATGCCATGGCATTGGCAAGCTTGGGGCCGCCTAACCGCGAGTCTCGGTTTGGTCCAGGGTGAAGTGCTGTGCGGCGTTCTGGATGAGGCCGGAAGCGTTGAATACTCGAGCATCATGGCATGATCCGGGGAAATTGTACTGAGCGTACACGATCCGTTTATCGGCGTCGCAAACCGCTAGTACAGAATAGCCGTATCTTTTCCTACCGTCAGCGCTGTCTAGGAAAATATGTGACCACACTCACCTGGAAGGAGAGCTTGGAAAGAGGCCTGGCGACGCTGGATGATGTTCAGGCAGACGAAGGGGAAGGTGATGTCTGTTGAGAAGCGGCAGTCTTTGTATCTTTCAAGATTGGCAATGCCGTCAGCTGTGAAGCGAAAAGCGCAAGAGTGCAGGGAAGCTCACCTCAAGCAATGGGCAACATGCGCCCCAAAGGAGACTTTCTTTGGCCGAAGGGGAGCCAGGGACAGAGACAAGGGACGTGGCGTTGATGTGGTTACGGTGAATGCCGTTGGGAGACGGGCTCCATGTGGTGTGGTCGAGGGAGGCGAGGGCTTCGGGGGCGGCGAACGACCAAGGGGGGGGCGGATAGCGCCCGAAGTCCTGCACCAGTATCTTTTCGGCAGAGCGAAGGTCGTTCTCATAGCGGCGAAATGGGGCGCGAGAAAGGTCGGCGCCATAGACGCTGTCCATCTGGACCATCGAGAAAGGGTGTGCCATCGTCGTTGGGATCGGGTCACTTGTCAACACCAAGACTGCTTTTCGCCTTGGCGTCTCCCAGACCAACGAGTCTCCGAACAGCCCGCCTCAAAAGGAGCTGTTGCAGACCCATTGGAGGCCGGTAGGGAAAGGGGGGACAACGTTGGAACGAGAGAAGGGGCAGAGCGGGCGCCGGACTGGGTAGCAATCGGAGTGGCAGTGGGAGGGGCCATAGTAGAAGAAGAGCGGGAAGTGACGAGATGACCTGCTTCTGGAGGGAAGCACAAACCACGACGCATCAGATCCCGTCTGTACCCCTCCACGCGTGTGGAATGCCCCCGTCAGACGAGGCCAAATCCGCTGGGCCTTCGCCAGAAGAACACCAGCGAGCGGACCGGCAAATGCGACTTTCAACAAGCGGCGGATCCCGCTACTTACGTAAAGCGCTCATTTGGTCCCGTTTGAATGGACAATCTGCAGAAGCGGATTGGCGGGCGCTCATTACCTCTAGCATTTCCGTCCATCCATCCAAAACCACTATCAGCCATGTTCAGAGCCACCCGAGTCGCCTGCTCCGCCCTCCGGTATGTCCAAGACTGGCTCCAAGACGTGATCTTGGCAAGCAGCTGACAAGACGTCGGCAGCCCCTTGAAGACCTCTACGAATATCCATGGTCTCCCCGTCCACCAAAACCCCCTGCCCGCCCTCACCACCATCTACACCACCACCCTCGCTTCCCTGACACACCTCCCCTCCACATCAGTCTACCGCCAAGCTACGGAAGCGATCACCAAGCACCGAATGTCGATCGTCGAGCAGGCGCAAGGGAATGTGGAGGAGGCCGAGGAGAAGCTGGGCGGTAGGGTGGTGGAATGGGTTATTGAGGAGGCTGAAAGAGAGGCGGCTCTGGCAGCAAAGGTGGTTGAGTGGAAAGTGTAAGTGGGGACTTTGGGGATGGTGTCGGGACGTGCTGACAGGACAATAGTTGGGAACCTCTTGTCGAAGAACCTGCTCCTCAACAATGGCGATACTTTGAGCCCCTGAGCGACGACGCTTGATTCTTTTCTCTTTTCACGACTTTAGCATTGTATGGGGAGACTCCGTTGGAGCTGCATCGAGATGCATGATACCAAGACGATCAATCAGGGAGGCGACTGACATGCGCTGTATAACACTGCTCAAGGATGATATCTAATTCTGTAGGGTTTATCTCCGCCCTTCACCTTCACTCGAGTGTACGGATCCAGCTGCACGTCAAGATCCGTCCTGTGCCCTCTGTATCCTCTGTGACCACCGCTTTCGCCCCCGCCTCCAGCCTCGCTGTCTTCACTCCCACTCTCGCTATCGCTATTGCTTTCACTATCATTCCTAGCCCCTCCTTCTCTACGGCCTTCGTTCCCACCATCGCTGTCGCTGCTGTTCTCGTTGTGCATTGGAGAAGCGGGAGAGTCTGGCACGATGTCCGAGTCAGAGGTAGAGTCCGCTGAGGAGTCAGAGGACGTGTCTGAATCAGTACTCGTATCAGAGGCGGAGTCCGAGTCGGTTTGGGAACCAGCAGATACCGGAGCTCTGTCATCTGTCGATGTGGATGCGTCTGTTCTGGCAGTCGTGGGGGTTAGAGGATCTGAGCTATCTGAGGTGGAGGGTGAAGGAGGCGTTGAAGACGCGGAGAAGTCTGAGGTGGAAGGTGAAGGAGGCGTTGAAGACGCGGAGAAGTCTGTATCAGACTCGGCAGCAGTCTGTCCGTCTTTCTTCCGTTCATCTCTCCTGTCTTTGTCTTTTCTGTCTTTCTTCTTGGGATCCCTTTCACCTGACCCGCGTTGGTCGGTGCCATCCCCGCTTTGCCCATCCTCGCCACCCCCGGAGGTACGCTCGTCCCTGCCCGTATCCGTATCGCGTGCACGGTCCTTCTTATGCTTTTCCTTCTTGGGGTCTTTCTCCGTCTCTCTCCGAGAGTCTCCCGGCTCTTCCCCACCTCTTGTACCACTCCCCCCCGGGCCTTTAGCATCATCCTCCCTCTTTCCAGTTCCACTTCCAGGTCTACCTCCATCATCTTCCGACCCTGGCCGGTGGGGCCGGTCATCTTCCGGCCTTCGCGTTGAGCCTGCTGGATCTGGATCTAGAGTGGAGTGCTGGTGCTCGCGGTCGGATGAAGAGGAAGAGCCGGGTAGGGAGGGAAACGATGAGGGGGAGGTGGAAGCGACGAGCAGGCCGATGGCGATGAGTAGGATTAGGAGAGCTTCGCTGAGGGCTTTTTCGAAGAACATTGTTGGACGCTCTTGGCGACGGTTGCGGTATACGAGTACTTTTGGGAAAGGTAATCGAATCCAAGGTCGGCGTGGAGTTGAAATCGGATAGAGGGCATTTGTAGGCTCAACAAAGCTTCTCCTAGGACATTGTACGAGAGCTTAGTCTGTTGAGATGCGCGGGATAAAGGAAGGAGTCGTGAAAGTAGCAGGTGAAAGGTACTGCTGGTGCTCGTCGTTGGGTGTATCTATGCATCATGATATATTGGCGACAAAATGCGTGCATGCTGTATCAGTCCAGCTTGGCCTGCATTATCATTAGCAACGATCCCTGTGCCACCCCACCAAAGAACTCACATTACTAAAATCCATCTCGGGATGCTCCCTCTTAAACTTTTCCACCAACTCCTCCTTCTTGATCTGATCGCTCGTCTTGCCGCCCAAAGCCTTCTGGCGATTATCAAACATCATCTTCTCCACCATCCCTCTCGTGGCTGGGTCCAGGTCGGACAGCTGCGAGTTTTCGGGTTTGATCTTTTTGGTATCGATCTTGGGGTGGTGGGTGAGGATGTGCGGCCACCATTGGGATTTGCCGATGTGGGAGGAGAGTTTTTCGAGCTCGATTGTCAGGATGGAAGAGTCTGTTTTACCACGGTACCACGGGGTAAGCTGTGTACGAAGGGTGTGATGGGAGGGGGCGTACCGATGGTCCATGAACAGTCGTCAACGACTACGTCGGCAAACAGCTGACCTTGCAATATGGCGTCTTCCTCTTTTTTCAATTGTACCTATGATCCGAATGAGCCTCAGTGATTGCTTACATTAATGGAACTCGAGCAGAGTTTCCGGTGAACGAACCTTGAGTGTCGTCCTCTTGATCTCCACGATCAGGTCTTTCCCGCGAGTCCCTTCGGGCAAAGGAACCGTGACAGTAGCGGTACCAAGCTCTTGTGTCCATTTGTAAGGCAGTTCTGTGCCATATCGTCAGTCTCTACGCCCATATCTCAATCATATGAGTGTTATAGAAAGGACAAGGAACGTACCGGCTTGTTCGGCTTGCTCTCTTTGTCTTTCAGCGAAATCGAACGCAGTCCGCTCTTGGGGGGTCATCTGGTCATACGTCTTGTCAGACATCTTGTCGATAGTATGGTGGGTTGTTGAGGTGTTGATAATGGAATAGAACGAGTGGGACAAGAACAGATATGTACAGTCGACGAAAGATGGAGAGAGAGGAGGACCTCGACAGGCCGACGGGCGTCAGGCGGCCATCTCCGCGCACGGGATCAATTTGTTTGTCTCCTCTGCTTGAAATCAAAAAGTTCTCTATGGTCCATATAATCCTCAAATAGAATCGGACAGTGCCCCCATCACTCACTACAAGCCAAGATTGACCAACTATCATGTCCGACGCCTTCTCAACACATCCCGAGCACGCCCTCGACCATCCCGAACTCGAGGCCATCTTGGAACAGGCCAAAGCCGGGCCCAGCAGCGCGAGCTTGGGCGATGGAGCAGCGGGGATGAGCGTGGAAGATACCTTTGAAGTCGAAGAGAGTGTGAGGAGGATACTGGAAGGGGGCTACAAGACTGTAAGTCATGTCGAGGATGTGGTGCACACAGCTGACGAAGGAGCGTAGATTGGACTGCAGTTTCCTGATGAACTGCTGCCGACTTCGGTTTCAGTCTATCGGGCGATACAGACTCGGATAGGACACACTGGCGCACAAGCATACGTCCTGGCTGACAGTACATATGGCAAGTGAGTGTCACGGGGATCTCCAAAAAGTCGCAAGAGCTCATGCGCCGAGACAGCTGTTGTCCCGATATCCTGAGCTGTTTGCATTTGCCGGCGGATTTCTTGGTTCACTATGGCCATGCCTGCCTAACACCGTACGTATATGCCAACGTGTCATGGTAATGAGCTGATATGGATCTGAACGCAGGACCGACGCACTCCCGATACATTACGTCTTTCCCCGTAAGAAGCTCGACGTCGGGCATGCCTTCGGGGCATTGTCCAAGACCAGCGAGGAAGATGTGCAAGATGGGAAAAAGGGTGTGATCGTTGTCTGGGATGTGGCATATGACTGGCTTGCGAGTGAGTCATTGCCGCCAACGTGGGGACAGCGGGCTCATTTGAATACAGGTTCTATTGCGGAGACATTCACTAAAGAATCAACGATACCCATCACTTTCGCGCATATCAACAAGCCTACTGCTGCTCCTCCAAAGACCGATGAAAAGGGAAAAGCGCCTGCTTTGAGGAGTGTTGAGCCTCCTGAGGGTTTGGCGTTGACCGACTGCATACTGTGGTATATCGGGGAAGAGGGCAGGTCATCCATGAACCTCCAGATGACCCACGCCTACAACTCTGTACGTCATTTCAGTCGCTCTCTATCATCGCTGACCTTCTTCAGCTTTACTTGTACTCCCCAACATCCCAAACCACCTCCCCCCTCCACCGCACCACTTCCCGTCTCCTATCACGCCGCCTCTTCGCCCTCCACCAAGCCCTCTCCTCCGACGTCTTCGGCCTCATCGTCTCCAACATCGGCCTCTCCTCCTCCCGTCCCCTCCTCGCCCAACTCCGCGCCGACCTCAGACGCGCCCAGAAAAAGTCTTACACCCTCAGCGTGGGCAGGCTCAACCCCGCCAAACTGGCAAACTTTGTGGAGATAGAGTGTTTTGTGTTGGTGGGGTGTAATGAGGGTGGGGTGGTGGATTCGAAAGAGTTTTTGAGACCTATTATCACGCCTTGGGAGTTGAGCTTGGCTCTGCAAGGAGAGGGGCACGAGTGGGCGCCGGAAAAGTGGACGTTAGATCTGGGCAAGGTTCTGGAAGGTGAGTCCGTCTTCCCATCAGCGGGACTCTGGACTGATGAACCGACAGATGCGAAAGCCAAAGCCGATGAAGATGACGATAAATCCGAAACCCAATCCAACCACTCCACTTCTTCCGACGAAGCCCCCAAATTCTCCCTTATCACCGGTACCTACCGCACCAAGAAACGTTTCAATGACGAATCTGCGGGACCTGCTTCTACCAACCAGATTGAATCCGGCATTCAGGATCTTACGCTTCGGAATCAGACGTTTTCGTTGAGCAAGCTGGAGAGCGCGGGATCGAGCTTTTTGGCGTCGAGAGAGTTTAAGGGGTTGGAAGTGAGGTATGGGATGGATGAGCCTAGTTTGTTGGAGGAGGGGAGGAGTGGGGTGGCGAGGGGGTATACGGAGGAGAAGTAGGTAGCTTGACTAGAACATGTATACCGTGGTCAAGGTCATAAAGCGGCGCTCTACCCATGTATCATTCATCACGGTGTCTACGACTCTTAACAAGGATACGTGGTACGGGTAGCTTAGAGAGGTCCGTTCTACGCCTGAGAGTCTCGTGTCGCTTCCCAAATTACATCTGATACCGTTTCCTGATACCTCACCTCGACTCTTCGATGCAGATGTTTCAGTTCGCTCAGCACCAGTGCCCTCTTTTGCCAGTTTTCGTATGCAAGGTCGATCTCGGCAGGCAAGGTGCTTATGTCGAGATTGGCTCGTCGCAGACGTTCCTCGTTGGTTTTGTTTTTGGTTGACGAGTTGGACAAGATTCTTGAGATGGGATTCCGGGAATCTGCCGTTTGAACAGTACTAGGAGGAGAGAACGATGTTGTCCCCACGCCTGGCTGTTGGTAGGGCTCTTCAGGGCTCTGGCGAGAGAAAACTACGGTATCCAACGCTTCATCGCTCATTATGGTGAGGTTGTCTGTTGGTTCAGACGGCTCCTTATCGGGGCGCTTGCTGTCACTTTCTGTTGCGGAAGTGAAATCATGGATCAGGGCCTTTCGTCGATCAATATTCTCTTGAACTTCGGCGATTTCAGTCTCCACCAATGACCGCTCTTTCTCGATATCAAGAAGTTGCTTCAGATATCTATTCTGCGTCGACAAGGCTTGTTCAAGCTCAGAGCGGGTATCCTTATGTCTTCTATGGGCCGATAGAAGCCGACGACAGGTCATGGGGGAACGATCCCTTGTCCGCCTTGGGCTGCTCGAGTCTCGTCGGGGAAGCTGAGTTGGCGGTCGCGAATCTCGCCCAGCTTTTTCGTCCGTAGCGAACGACCACTCTTGTGAAGGGTACATGTTTGCGGTACGGGTTGTGGATGATCGTGATTATGCGGCCGGGTCTAGCTGCTTGTTGTTTCTTCATGGTATTATCGAGAAGATCGTGTTGTAGTTCGGACGATCAGCCAACCTTTGTCGTGAATTATATTTACACATGAAAACACAGACCACAGCGGTCCTTGAAATGCCGCCATTGTTGCATATCTAAAGTCAGCTCAGCGCCCTCGCCAGCACTCAGATACTATTCCATTGTCTCTTCCTTTTTTCAGGAGAGGCTATCTTTGTCGCTTCCTTTTTTCGGAGTCTCATAGCCGCCATCGGACTTATATAGGACAATGGCAGATTTGAAACACCCGGCGGAGTGGAAGAGAGGGAAAGTTGTTGCTGGACGAGCGAGGTGCAGACTGAAGCGTGAAGCACCACAGAGACCCATTTGGATGTACCACCGGAACAGTAAAAGGTCTACTCTACGTACTTCTGGCAGAGACAGAATGAAAGGTTTTCTATACGGGGTGTCATCCTGCTAGTATCGTGGCACGTGCAGCGATGGTCTGAAGTAGTTGATGACATGCATCATGCTGTTGGGTTTGTATCACCTTCTTCGGAGTATATGCTCCACCTCGATCCTTGTTTAACGATCTCCAGCTGAACCATCACCCTCTAAGCTTTTGTATTGCGTCCACAGCTGCATCAACTCTTGCACCCCAGCCTTTAACATTTCAACTTCGGCCGCAGTCTCGGTCTGTAGGGAGGATATCTCGTTGTTGATTTCTATCAGCAAGCTTTCATTAGTCTTGTTTCGATCTGATGATGTGAGGAGTCTGGATAAGGGATTGAGAGGGGCTTTGTGAGAGGAAGGTGTAGGGGAAGGAGTGCGTGACTCTAGACCGGCTTGTTGCGACCTTACTTTCACGGTCATCAAGGCCAAGCGATTAGATATCACTTCAAAATCTTCAGAACCATCATCTCTAACTACCTGTTCGCCGGCATGAGAGCTTTTGCCCCCCTCAAGCCCACGAGATTGGTGCCGTTCAATTCTGCTTTTCATCATCGTAACCTCAGTCTCAATCTCGGAACGCAAAGATTTCTTGTCATCGAGGTCCCTTTGATGACGGGCTTTCTTGGTCTCAGCGGCGTCGAGTTCAAGCCGGGTCTCTTTATGCCTGTCATGGGCAGACATGACTCTACTTGCTGTGGTGGCGAGCGCAGGGACGGGCTTAAGGAATGATTGATATGAGGATGATGCGTCGTCGTCCATTCTCAAATTTACCGCTGTAACAGTCTCTCAGGTGTCGATCGATGAAGGTAGGGATTAGGATAGCTAAGGATTCGTCTGACAGCTTAGATATATTGTGCATCGTACTTACTTCCGTAAGCGGAGCTTAGATGTAACAAGTCTTCCGATGAGTGGAGGATCGGGATTAGGAAGTAAGCCGTCCTTTGTTGTGCGTATACTTGCCGCCGCGATCGCATTTGTATAGCCGCCAGCTGGGCTTTTCCAACGGCGTTGTAGCTATCATGTTGGGTAGTCTCCTTTGGGGTACTTGACCTTCAAGTACATCACAGCAGCGCGGATATATCCTGAGAAGGCGCTACTAAGACATGGACAATGATGTAAGTCACTACAGCTTCCTCTTGTTGTTGCTACTACCGCTTACCGCCCACTTCTCTGCGAGGAGGACTCTGATCAATGCAAATGTCATGACACATAGAGCCAGGCAGGAGGGACTAAACCAGTAAGAGCTACAGATCATCACCGGCGACCACAATGGTACATGGAAGCAATACATCAGAGGGTAGGTCGTCGAAACGTCAGAAAGGAAAAGTCGGGCGAACAAAGTCAGAAGATGTGCATGTTGAGGTCCTGAGACCGACGGCGCAGTGCTGCCTCATAGAATCGGCATATTGGTAGCATAGAGAACATGACTACGGACGAATGTTGGATATGTATGGAAAGGTGGCGTTACGTAAGAGAGTAGTATCAACCATAACCAAAGTAGACTCCGACAGTGCAAATTGGGGCTCAACATCATACCACAGAGCCCCCCTTTAATATATCACTGGCGGAAGGCCTCGAAGCGAAGGCGCGATGTATCACGATACGGTACTATGTTCCCACGCCGCTTCGTTCTCCCTATCGACGTTGACTAGGTCTCCTCTGATGCTCCTCCCGCTGGCTGCCAGTGAACTATTCAGAACTGATTATCCCCCAGCTCTTTCATCTCTGTACACATTTGAGTCAACTCTTGGGACTTGGACACAAGCTCTTGGTTCTCCATATCGCCTTGCAATGGAGGATATACCGGCTCGAACTTGCTTCAACATACTTTCCGTGGTCTTGTTTCGATCCGATGAGGTGCGCAGCCTATGACATCTATAATGAATAGGCAAATCATGATTAAACTAATAGCATATAAGTATGAAAGTAGAGGAGCTTCAGGACTAGAAGGAGGAGAGCCCAAAGTTGGGGGAGCACATCAAGATCATCCAGAGGTCAGTTCGTCCAGACGTGAGGAGATTGTTTTGTAGTTCTCAAAAACACCCTTTACAACAACTGCCGCCCTCTCATTGCCATAATGGGCGGAGGGGCGTTTTCCTTTGCCTCGTCGATTCTCTCCCTCACCATCAATACTCTGGTCTCATAGTCCAGATGTAAAGCTCTTCTGGGATCCAGCACCTTTTGATGAAGGGCTTCATCGGGGTTGGCGACGTCTAGGTCGGATCGGGTTTCTTTATGCCTCCATGAGCGGAAATGAAGCGGCTTGCTGTAGAGTCAATAGAAGGAAAGTCAATGAGGAATGGAGAGGAGGAGGAGGAGTCAGTAGAAGGAGGGCACGAAACATGTGGATATCACTCAACAATGATGAGATGAAAAGTGGTCGGCTGTAATGGCTGAAACGACTCCTCTTCTCTTTTCTCTGACTGACAGTATCGTTATATCCGTCATTTGATATCTGTCCCATGACGAAGGCTCATAGTCGGGCACATATGACGTGACTTTCGGATCCCATGCAATCTCCATGTTGTACGATATGTACCTTACTACGGGCCGATAACAGCATATTACCGGAAAGAAAAGTGTCACTACCACATCTTACCCTGTGACGGTGGCATGTATACTCAAAGAAATGATGCATACTGGTGTCGAGCTGTCACGATCACCGTCAATGCAAGTCAAACTTCCTTCTCATGATCCATCATCCCTGTTTCGCTTCTTTTTCCGGGAAATCCGCCTCCGTCGAGCCAGTTGAAACCTTACCGTTTTCCCCCAGCCTTCTTATCTGGGTCCATAGCTGAGTCAGCTCACGTAACCTATCGCCCACTTTGATATCTTGCTCCGTATGCTGAGCTTGAAGATAGTCCATGTCACGTTTAGACTTTTCCAAGAGTGCCTCGGTTTCAATGTGTCGAAATGGCGAAGAGATTAACCTTTCGAGGGGATTCCAAGGAACGCTTGGGGGCACAAGACGTGACTCAGACATGGAAGCATTGCCATGCGTTCGATCACAGGTTAATCTAGCCAGGCCGGAGACGAGCTGAGCAAACTCATCATCCCTGTCGGCCAACGAGGCCACGGTCTCGGGCTCAAAACTCCCAGCCTTTTCAACGTCTGAAGACGGGAAAGCTTTTATCCTTTCCTTTGCCAGGCTGATTTGAGTGTCAAGATCAGAGACATATGTCTTCTTGGCTTCGAGATCTGTTTCACAAAAGGTCTTGGCGGTCTCAGCCGCATCGAGGTCATTTCGCGTCTGTCTATGCTTTCCGGGGGCTGAAAGGATTATGCCTGCAAATTCTGTGAAGGAGACATCTTCTCCATCATAATCACTTTCACTCATGGAGTCATTTTCACTCATGGTGGGAAACGAGGATGTCAACGATGTGGAACTTGATAAGGAAACGGCGGTGTCCGTCTGCGGAGGATGTACAAAAGGTCTTCTGCGATATGTCACTCTCGAGTTGTGGAGGAAGAGGATAGCGGATGTGCGGTATGGGCATTTACACCCCCCCACGCACTTTTATATGTCGTAATAACACTGAGAATGTTCCATGTATAGACGGTGCGTTATTGCAAAGGGTCGTAAAACAAGACCGTAAAAGCTGTCGCCCTTTATCTTCTCTTCATCAAGCGGCGGAGGTGAGACCTGAGCTGGTACCTCTTCTGCTTCTGGGACGACGACGTTGTCAGAATCGTCACTCCGTGAAGCCTCCTTCCATGCCGACGCACAAAGAGTTCGAAGTTGGTCAAATCTGTGCTGTTCCCTTTCTTCGGCACCTCACAAACGTTTGCGGCCACAATAATATAGACGATGTGAGTGGAAGTCCTTTTTTTATTTGCCTGAGATGACATGTTACTGTCGGGAAGTATTGTTTTCGGCATGTCATAGTTGAAGATTGAGTGACAACGACGACAGTTGAGACCTAATACCACTACGGTCGTTGCAGCATCTGATAAAAAGAAAAAAAGTGTCACTACCATATTCTACACCGTGACGCTTATATGTATATATAAAGGCATGATACATAATGTTTTCGAGCTGTACGATCACCGTTAATGCAAGTCTGACCTCTTCTGATCATCCCTGTTTCGCTTCTTTTTCCGTGAAACCCGCTTCCGTCGTGCCAATTGAAACCTGACTGTTTCCTTCAAGCCATTTGAGCTGGGTCCACAGCTGACTCAGCTCATGCAACCTATCGCCCACTCCGGAATCTTGTTCCATATGCTGAGCCCGAAGATAGTCCATGTCGCGTATAGACTCTTCCAACATGATCTCGGTCTCTTCATGTCGGTATGGCGAGGAGATGTATCTTTCGAGGGGGTTCCAAGGAATCCTGGGAGCCAGACGACGTGAACGAGACTTGGAAGCATTGCCATGTGTTGTTCGATCACTGGCTGATATAGACAGGCCTGAAACGAGCTGAGCAAACTCATCATCCCTGCTGGCCAATGATGCTGCGGTTACGGGTTCGAAACTCCCGGCATTTCCGAGTCCTGAGACGGAAACTCATTGATCCTTTCCTTTGCCAGATTGATTTGAGTGTCAAGGTCAGAGGCATAAGTCTTCTTAGCTTCGAGATCTGTTTTGCAGGACGTTCTGGCGGTCTCAGCCTCGTCCAGGTCCTTTCGCGTCTTTCTATGCCATCCGGGGGCTGAAAGCAATATACTTGCAGCTTCTATGAAGGAGATTTCTTCTCCATCATAATCACTCTCACTCATGGAGGGAGACGAGGATGACAATGATGTGATTTTGTTGAGGAAACGGCGGTGTCTATCTTCAGAGGTGAAGTTGTTCAAGAAGTCTTCTGCGAAATGTCACTCTCGAGTTGAGGAGGAAAAAAAACAGCGGATGTGCGGTACGGACACTGAGATACCCCCTCGCACTCTGATTTGTCATGATATACATCGAAACAGACCTATTTATAGACGATGCGTTATCGCAAAGGGTTGTGAAACGATACCGTAAATCGTGAAACAAGACCGTAAAAGCTGTCGCCCTTTGTCTTCTCTTCATCAAATGGCGGATGTGAGACCTCATACACCTTCCATTCTGGCACAACGACGTTACCAGAGCTGTGACTCCGTCACGACTCCTTCCATGCCGACGCACATGGAGTTTCAAGCTGATCAAGTCTGTGCTGTTCCCTTTCTTCTTCGGCGCCTCACGGATATAATGTTGTCTGCGGTCACAATGATGACGATTTAGGACGCGGAAGTCCTCTTGTCTGCTGTGTGTGATGACATGTTACTGTCGGGAGCATTGTTCTCGGCACGTCATCGGGAAAGACAAGAGTCATAGACATAATAGCTAGCGAAGATATTGACTCTGACTTGTAAGGACGCGACGTTTGACAGTCAACATAAAAGAGGGAACGATATGCCACCAATAATGTCTCTTGGTAGGCCAGCTGCACGCTGACCGAGAGTTTTTGCCCACATCTGGCTGTAGGTAGGCTTATGATTTGGCCGGACAGCGATGCAGCAATCCTGCAGCAATCCTTGCGGGGGCTTCCATTCCATATCTATTATTCCTGCTACTTGTTCCGTGGGCTGCCATAGCCTCAATTGAACTGATCAAACACTACGATGGGAGAAACAAACCTTCGAGACTGGCTGTGGTGGCAGAACAACCTCAATGATGATAATACGCTGCCGCCGACGACAACGATGGCCAAACCCTAACACGGCCGACAGTATTCTGCTGCGGCGGGAATCTGGTCTGTGTCAGTCATTACGCACCATTACATGCAGTCTATGCATCCTGGTGACGAGCTTATTCAATCATTGTTTTACCATATTCATTCTCACATTCTCACTAGCAGACTACATCATTATTGCTCGTTTTCTTCCTCACCATCCGTCTCAGACGGACCAGTTGGAACGCCGACACTGTCACTCTCCAGCACTTGTAGCTGAGTATACACCTCTCTGTAGGCCTGTGCTCTAGATTGGACCATCTGATCCATCGCAGCCTGCTGACCCACAAGAGAGTCAGTCTCGAGAGAAGATTCTGTCAACAACCTTTGTGTCTCTTCGTGTCGGGATGTTGAGCTAGAGAATCTTTCGCGAAGGTTGGAGGGAGCGCTGGGGGCTACACGACGATGCGGTGATCGAGACTCAGGAGCGTCGTGTGTTCGATCCCAGGCTGATTTGGTCATACGCATCATCACTTGGTGAAAGTCATCATCCTTGACAACCGCCGATCCATCGGGCTTGGAGCTCGCCGTCGTCTCAGGGCCCCGAGAGGAATCATCATGGATCTTCTCCGTCACCAGCTCGATTTCAGCGTCAAGGTCAGACAACAGAGCTTCCTTTGCTTCGAGTTCCATTTGATTGCTGATCTTGAAGGTTTCGGCTGCGTCAAGGTCAGCCCGCGCCTGTTCATGCCTTGCGCGGGCTGAAAACCCGTTATATACTCGTCGTGGGAGATCTAGAAAAGAGGATGTTTGACCAGGATCCGAGGGAGGCACCGAAGAAGAAGATGGCGAGGAGCTTGCTGAGGGGGTGGTGTCCATCTTCAGAGGAGGTTGTTTGAGTCTTCTTCTGTGAAGTCTTTCCTTCAATTTGAAGGAGATAGCGGATGAGGTAGTATGGTCATCGGGAGTTTGTTCTGTGCATGTCCTTGTGGTATACGGTGTTCTATCTATAGACAGTACCTCCTTTGGACAAATTTCTCAGAAGACTGTAGCAGGAGGGCGAGGAAGTGCACAAAGCTGTCTACCTTTGTTCGCCGAGCGGCGGTGCGACCTGATACGTACAACTTCTACTGATATCTGCCTATCATCATTGGTACTATTAGCGACCTATCTTCCTTTCATGCTTGCTTATGAGTACTAAATCGGACTTGGACATCTGAGGAATGTCTGCAGCAGTCACGCCACAGCGCAGGATCGAGTTCTCTTTTGTTGTTGCGTACGGAAAACGTAATGGTGATGGTAGCACAAGGAGATGTCTCTGCTGACTTATGAGTTTAACACTGAGAAGCCGCTATGATACAGTTCCTTGTCGCCATTGACATGCCAGTAGGGGCTGCCGGGCGTCATGACGGGCAGTGTGCACTTACAACCGTACCGCACTGTAATGTGTCCGGCCATAAACCTCTTTCACGTTTATAGACCGCAAAGACTAGCTGGCCATCTGATATCGAGTAGAGTATGGCCGTCGCATAAGCATCGCATACTGTAGTCTAGTCGCCTGGGCTACTCTGCTTTCATTCAACATCATCCTCTTTAACAGCGGAATCAGATGATAAGAGGAGCGGGATCAAATTTCACTAACCTTTGGGTCGCGTTTGGTCCGCCGCCTGCTTGAAAGCTGCTCGAAAGAATTATTCTGCTCCTCTCGCATCCCTCTCCTCCCTCGCCTCTGTATACTCCATCCTCCAGTCCTCTGGAATTCCTCGCAAGCAGATATACCCTTGTGGTATCCCCCTACCCCCGTCACTGCCACTTCAAAAACCCTACGTCGCTTTCGAAACATTACGCGCACACGGCGGTCAATCGGGGTTGAACAACAGCTCATCTGAATCACGCCCTTCAAGCATAGAAGTGTAGACTGAGGACATCAGGACATCAGAGGGACCATAGCGAGAATGAGCTACGGCCAAGCTTTGCAGAAAGTCAACTCATGGGCGGATTTCGAGGTACGTTCGTCACCTCTGCGCTCGATCGGCTTTGTCTGACACGGAGCTCTCGGGCAGATCTTCATACGTGGACGCGTCTTTACCCAAACAATCCCAGGCCTCAAGCATATTGCGCTCATACTGCAGACGTATGGTAATGTCTACCCTGGCATACGGTCGTCTGATAGGAAGAGTGATATGGTCGACAAGTGAGTGCGATTACTACAAGTCTCTCGGCAAGACTGATGCCCCGTTAGGTTGAAATCCGCATTTTATGGAATCAAGTCCCGAAATGACTTCCAGACGTATGCCGAAGTGCGAGTCAGATGCGAGGCGTATGCGTTTGGCTGGTCGACCGAGTCATTGAATGTCGCCCTCGCCCAGCCATCAGCTGTCCCGCCAGCCAGTGGCGCCCCAGCACCGGCTGCAGGGCCTTCGACAGCTGCTGCAGGATCCACTGGATCAGCAGGATTTGGTGTGCAGAGATGGCAACCTCGTACGTCGTGGATCGTGGCCGAAGGGACATTCTCTAATGGACCGAACAGAAACGGCTACTGGAGGAGGATCAAATGGCGCGGCGTATCCAGCATCATCGGTTCCGGCACCACCAGAACGTGTACCGCCTACAACAGCGATTATGAATGCTTATCGTGGTGAGTCGGTCGGTCTTTACTTTGGGTGTAGTGCTGACATCCAACTGCAGAGGCGGCAAGACCCGCGGCTATCAATCACGTACCGAGAGGACCAATATTGCTTGAGTGGAAGACGAGTCCAATGTGGAAACCTGTACAGGCGATCACGAATATGGAGCAATTACCAGGTTGGTCGTCTAGGCTCACGTCAAGGCACAGCTGATCGGTCTTTAGATATCACGGCCCACGAAAGCCACTCAAATCGCAAAGAAAGAGTCACTCGTTTCGTTCTTCCAAACGACGTAATCGCCAAACTCAACATGTCCCACACCAACCCAACTACGACACCCCACTACTCTCTCCGCCTATTCTGCGCCTCCTCAGATCATTACCGCCCACTGAACGCTCGCACAAATCCGTACGGCACCAACAAGGATATACCGATCGAATATCCGTCTTTGCCGGATGTGTATGTGGATGGAGTCGGCTTGCCGTTCAAGGAGAAGGGACTGAGAGGGAAAGCGGGGAGTGCTCCGCCGTTTGATCTGGAAAAGGCGCCGGCGAGGCGGGGGTATATGCCGGGGAGGATGATTTCGGTGGCGTTCGGGCACAAGGGGCCGACGACAGGAAAGAACAAGTCCATCTCCAAAGTGAGTCTTTCTATACTGGGCTACTGTTGTTCGTAGGCTGATGTGCGTACAGAAATTCTTCTACCAGCTGGTCTTGGCGGAAATAACGACGAAAGAGGAACTGTTGACAAGACTGGGCAACCTTCAACCCACAAATGCGGGTGATTCTTTGGACCAATGTGAGTCTACAGTGCTTCTTCTCCATAGTATTGACCTCTCCCTTAGTACGAAAACAGCAAGACGAGGACGATGATATCGTAGCGGGAACGGCGTCATTATCGCTCAAGGATCCAGTGGGTACCTCTTTACTCTCATCAGAATGCGCTGACCACTGGCAGTTGTCGTATATGCGTATATCACGCCCAGTACGGTCCAAGAAATGTTCACATCTTCAATGTTTCGAGGCCCAGTGGTGGGTTGAGAGCAACGCCACACATCCACAGTGGTTGTGCCCACATTGCAGCAAAGAGCTGTTCTTTGACGACCTTATCATTGATGGGTACGTCTTCCTGACTCTGTGCATTACATTGAACTGACAATCGCTCAGATACGTCTCTTCAATATTGAAAGCCGTCCCGGACGATTACGACGATGTGATCTTGGAGCCTTCAGGTGAATGGCACACAGAAGATAACAAATATGCCTCCGAGGTCTGGCGAGCAGCGCATCCTCCCCCAGCTCCGCCTGCCCCCGCAATCCCATCCGTCCCACCTCCTTCCGGCCCATCATCCTCCACACCGGGGCTCGAGACGAAACCCAGTCTGACCCAGCTCAACGGCAACGACAGCAGCAATGGAGAAGGCGCCAAGCGAAAAGTGGTCGAGATCTTGGACTCGGACGACGAAGATAGTCTCCGTGGTAAATCATCGGCAGCCCCTTCTTCGCGCGTGTCCCTCTCCATCCCTCCTGTCGGTGCTCGAACAGGGCTCAATACGCCGATCATTGATCTGACTCTGTCAGATTCAGAAGACGAAGGCCCACCACCGCCACCGCGTGCACCTGCGCCTGTGGCGGCGAACCCGGTGACGGCGCAAGTACCGAGACCGCATACGTCTATGGGGACGAGCGTGAGTGATATGGCTGGTGAAGATGCGTTCTGGCGGGGCAACGTGAATGATGGGCAGGGGGCGGGGATCAATGGGGGCAGTTCAAGTCTCCCGGGGAGCTCGACGCAGTCTACGCCGGCTGCAGGGGCTGGGAGGATGCCGCAGATGGGGACTTGGGATTAGACTTGAGTAGCTTAGTGGACCGATGAGTGGGGTGTTGAGGTTTCTTAGGTTGTCATTGGGGATGTTGGCGCATACGATCATTTTTGTATAGGAATTTTCATGAAGGTCTTGACCGATCATCGAGTCTGGAAAGGGAGGTGGAGTGAGCTCAATCCCCTGATGTAAGATGTGCAAGATCCAGAAGTGGATAGTCAGACGGCGAGTCATAACTTGGACTCTTGCACGAGTTTGTCATCGAGGTGGCCGAGGATCATAGCTTATGATATGCATGAGATCCAGATCCCACATATCAAAACTTCTTTGCCTCTACACCCTCTGGCGGTCTGATTGGAGTCGTCTCTGCAAATGGTCAGCGGCAGCCCCATACGGCGAATGTGTGCCCACTCACGTTTGCCGATATTCGACCAGTCCGTGCTCAGTGTAGTACCACCACTCTCGGTGAAACTCTTGATCATCGCCCGGCGCGTATCATCGTCGGCATCTCCATACAGCTGGGAGAAGAATTTTTGAAGAGCAGCGTCGCCTCCTGCGTTCTACAGATACTGGTCAGCGCAGGCGCTTGAGGTGTAGAGGCTTGGGGGGACGTACAGGATCCGAAGCATTGTTCTCCTCTTCCTCCACGTCAAACTTGTCCCAATTCCTCTTTTCCTTCTTCTTCTGCGCGACCTCTTCAGACTCGGACTTGCTAGCACCACCGGAGACGGCGCTCGCTCCAGCGGCACGTGAGGAGCTAGGTCCAGCCTGCTGAGCGACAGGCGGCTTGGTGGGGTCTGCCAGCAACGTAGGCCAGCTGACGGCTTCGCCTTTCTGAAGCTTGAGCTCGAGCTTGGTCCCGAGTACTCTGAAAGAGCTGCCCGGGGCGAGCTCGCTGGCAAGGGGAGAGAGGGTGAGAGACTGGGTTTCTGGGGAAGGGCCGGAGGGCAGAGGCGGGAGAGTAATCTTGATCTGCGATATCGTCAGCACCCGCTTATATTGGTACGTGAAGCTCAAGCCTTCGCTGAAGACTAACTGAAGTGGTTTCAAAGTCTACTTTCACGTCGTCTTTGACCTTGTCGTACCCCTTGAGGTAGATGGCGAGGATGAGCTCGGAGGGGGTTTGGTAGAAGTCGTACCGGGGAATAGGGATCTCTGTGGTCATGCTGGTTAGAATATCAGATGTTAAAAAGTGGAAAAAAGGATGACAATCAGTGAAGGTGGTTTCGAAGAGCAGAGTCATCTTCTAGAACGCGAATGTCGGCAATGACCGCAATTATCTACCGGCCGCCGCCAAGGACGACCGAGCATACAACTGGCACCTGACAGTGAGGTCTATGCCACCTGATCAAACTTTAGTGGCCATCAAACCACCCCATGCATGGCCCATTATGCACAACAAGCAGAAAAGGATGGGAACCAAACATTGACTCCCATACAAAGCGGCAGCCGCCGCCCAGGGTGCCTCCACTCAAACTTGCCACCTTCTTCAATCTCGACTTCTTGCGCTTCAAAATTCTTTTGTCACGACAAATACCTCAAACCCGCCCATCCCACCATCTCAATTACAGCAAATAATGGCCCCATTCGGAGGACGTGGTCAATCTAGCGGAGGGTATGGTAGTCGAGGCGGAGGAGGAGGCCGGGGCGGTGGTGGTTTTAGGGGTGGAGGAAGGGGAGGCAGGGGTGGGTTCAGGGGTGGGAGGGATAATGGGCCAAAGTTGCCGGCAGAGCTGCTTGAGCAGGTAGACGCCAAGTATGGTATGTATTCTTCCTCTTCATGGGTATTAGCTGCTGACTTTGCGAGAAGGTTCTGGAGGTAAGAGAGATATCTCGCGGAAGGAGAAACGCAAAGCAGCTAGAGACGATAAGCGCGGACCTGCCCAGCGACCTCGACGTGCACCTCCATCAGAAGGCGAAGAAGAAGAGGAGGAAGAGCGACCACCAGCAAAGAAAGCCAAGACTGCCCCTCCTCCCGCATCATCGAAAGGCAAGGAGAAGGAAGGGGAGAAAAAGGAGAAGAAGAAGAAGCTCCCCGAGCTGACCTTGCCGGGGACGGACACGAACAATGATGTGGAGGATAAGGAGATTGAGTGGTTGGAGTACATGCTGAAGAAGGAGAAGAAGCCGAAAGACGAAGATGACTTGGAAGATGGGCTGGATGGTACGTTCTGGCCGAGTTTGAGTATGGGCTGTGCTGATTTCGGAGTAGATTTGCTGGACTTTACCGAAGGGCTGGGTCGGAAGGGAAGTACTGCCAAGGGGTCAGTGCTTGAAGAAAGCGATGACGGTTTCGATTCCGACGAGGACGAGGAAGAGATGGTTGATCTAGACGAGGAGGAAGAGGATGAGGATCAGCAGAGCCTCCAAGAATCGGAGGTACGTCATTTAGCTTGAGTTGTGACCATGGCTCATCCTCTGCGCAGGATGAAGGAGAATTCCAAGGGTTCGGGGATAGCGACGACGCTGCTTCAGAACCAGGACTCGAAGACAAAGACGAATCACCACCCCAAAACCCCATCGACCCCAAAGCCGAAGAAGCCGCTTCAGACGACCAGCCCGCCCCCACCAAATACATTCCTCCCCATCTCCGAGCTGCCCAACTCGCCGAGAAAGCCAAAGGCGACAAGGCCAAGATTGAGGCTCGTCTCAAGCTTGAGAGGAAGGCGCAGGGTCTGTTGAATAAGTTGAGTGAACAGAATTTGGAATCTATCCTCGGGGAGATTGAGGGGTTGTATAGGGATAACAGCCGTAACGGTGCGCTTCATCCTTCGTGAAGTAAGAGTACGAAGCTGACTTTTAAACAGATACGACCACGACCCTCACGGACTTGGTTATTCAGATGATATCAAACAAGGCCAACTTGCTCGACTCTTTCGTCGTCCTCTACGCCACTTTGGTCGGTGCCCTCCACCGTATTATCGGTATCGAATTCGGCGCCCATTTCACCCACACGCTCGTCATGAAATACATCCACGCCTTGTCCTCCTCTTCCTCTTCTTCCGACGGCACCACAGAGCCCAAGGAGAGCACTATCCAAGCAACCCTCTACGAAACGCCTGATGCGGGCAAAGAAGCGCTCAATCTGTTGACGTTGATTGCGGAGCTGTATAATGCGCAGGTGGTGGGGTCGAGGTTGATTTATGATCTTGTGAGGGGTTTTATTGATAGTGAAGGGAAAGAGGGCGAGGTGATGGGTGAACGTGAGGTTGAGGGGCTGCTGAAAGTGTTGAGATGTAAGTATACCCACTCCTCCCCTTACCCCAATACTAACCTCAAGGCAGGTTCCGGCAGCCAACTCCGATCCGACGATCCCTCAAGTCTCAAAGACATTGTCAACCTCGTTCAAGCCAAGACGAAAGGTAAAGAAAAGACCATGACGGCCCGTGCGCGCTTCATGGTCGAGACGCTCGTCAACGTTAATAAACATGGCAAGGTGAGAGCTGGGGCGGAGGGGGAGGCGGGGAATGAAGCTGCGCAGAGGATGAAAAAGTTTTTGTCTGGTTTGGGCAAGAAACGGAGATGTGAGTCCTTCTTCAAGGGTTTGTGGGTGAAGGGTATGGCTGATTTTTTATGATAGTACTTACGTATGAGCCGTTAAGAGTGTCTCTCTCCGACTTGACGTCTGCGGATAAGAAGGGTAAATGGTGGTTGGTCGGCGCTGGGTGGTCTGGAAACCCCCTGGTCGATTTGGAACAGCAGCGCGAGGAAGCGCGAGCGGGCAAAAAGACAAAGAAGAGTGCAAAGGGCCAAGATGCGGAGAAGGATAATGAAGCGGCGTTGTTGGAGCTTGCGAGGAAGCAGGGGATGAATACGGATGTTCGTCGGGGAGTGTTTGTGGTGCTCATGACGAGTGAAGTGAGTGTTTTTCCAGATACGGAGGGACGACACTGATCATCTTTCAGGATTACGCCCATGCTTGTGACCGACTCAGTCACTTTAAGCTAAGTGACGTCCAACAGCGAGAGTTTGTTCGCGTGGCGATGCACTGCTGTGGACTGGTATGCCTCTCCCACTATCATTCTCCATCACCACTAAACACAGACACAGGAACCGACATACAACCCCTACTACACCCTGATCCTCAACCACCTCTGCGCCAACTCTTACGACCACCGTTTCACATTCCAATACGCCCTGTGGGACTTTATGCGCGAGCTCGAGAATGGCAGCAGCGTCCCGAAACAGAAGCTCGGCAACGTGGCGCGCGCCGTCGCATACGTCGTCGCCCGGGGAGGGGTGGATCTGACAGTATTCAAAGCTATCGATTTCACCGCCCTCTCCAAACCTCTCACCAGATTTCTCATCACCTTCTTACCCTTCTTCCTCATCGCCCTCCAGTCCATCTCGCCGATATTCAACCTCCCCAAGGCGTTCAAGCAGGTGGAGTTTGATGAGGAGATTGTGAAGGAGAGGTTTGAAAAAGTGTTGAGTAATCCCGAGTTGGCGGGGGGGTGGTTGTGGGTGTTGGATCGGGAGATGAAGAATGGGGGGAAGTGGGAGGGGGAGGTGGGAGGTGTGAGGGAGAGGGAGGTTGTGATGAAGGGGGTGGAGATTGCCAAGGGTGTCTTGGGGGCGGCGGTGTGATCTAGAGCTTACCACGATGTATCTTATGACCAGAACTCGTCTACCATCAGCGTTGTCCCAAAATCCTTTATCGCCAGACTTGGCATCGGACACCGCGCATGGATATTGTGCTTTCTACTTATTGCATCATCTCGACAGTGGGCTACAGTTATTCATACGCGCAAACCAGTCATATAAGTCCTTGTGCCGACCTCCCATCCCCCCTCGAGATTCTCGCAGAAGGCAAAAAGCCCAATGAAACAACTATTCAGGCCGTGTTCGAATGTCACCGATGCAAAGATTTCCACTCGGACTCCACTGCCACCGTCGAGAGACCGCCCAAACCAAGACAAACAAAACTCAAAATCACCATCGCCACCATAGCCCACCAGTCAGCCCCACATGAAAGCATGTCAGAGCTCAAGCAAAGAGCAATTAAGACGAGCAGGACATATCACATTGCTCAACTGATACATTAATTGTGACAATGGCTTGGACAGTCTGTTTGTTTGTGAACTGTAGCGTTGGCGGCGGTGGGTTTCTCGCTCATTCCCATGTTGGCCGAATTGAGCTTTGCGTGAATAGGTGATTAAGTTCAACATGATTGTCTGCAAAGACCTGGGGAAAGATCCACCCGCCTATGCCCCAATGTGAGGGCCGACACCCCTATAAGGAGAAGAGCCGGGGTCACCGACAGAAGAGAGGATGGAGGGATGAGAGAGAAGGGAGAAAGAAGTGTTTGGAGAGGAAAACATATAGGCCGCTCAGTGCTTCGAAACATATCTATTGGGTATGTACCTCAGGACGAGAGCCGGATGGCTAGGAGATATATATAGTGGTCTACTACAGCGAAGCTAATCGGCAGTCAACGTACCACGAGAACAGCCCACCTCTTGCCCTCCCCCGTATCTCTTTCTCGGCGGCTCCCGATCCGTACATGCTCTATCTACTGCCCAGTCACTCATCTCGCTGAAGGCAGGAGCATACAGAAAGACAAAATTGGTGGGAACGGTCCGATACGCCGTCAAGCCCTTCTCGGCCGTATCACATTCCACCAAAAATGAGTCCATGTTGACTGACCTTTTTCGGTCCCTCCCATGCATCAAACACCCCCCAACTGCCTCCGTGTATTCACCCTTTCATGGCCTTTATATACGCTTGATGTGTTATGCCACTGATGTGTTTATGCATGCATGAAAGCCGAGTCACACGACTCCAGCAGTGCAGGAATCAGGATCGCCCATTTTTTTTCCCTGAGACGCGCGTCATCGGGAGCTCTGCGCGCATTCCTTCTCTCTGCAACCCTATTCTCAACAACTTTTCTTCCTCTTCCTCCTGTCTTTTCTGGTAAACAGTACCATACATACCCAAGAGGCAATAGGGGATAAAAGCAAATGCTTGAATACATTTACGTCTGCCGGCATGGGTTCAGGTGAGCTTTTTCCCTTTTCTGCATCGCACACGGCTTGGTGCGATCGTCCAGCTCGAGAGTCATGCTGAATGTGAGTTGTACAGGTCGAACTGGGTGGACCCTGCGATCAAGACGGGGCCTACGGGTATGAACCGTGATCCTCCCGTACGTCCCCTTCTCCCACTCACTCCTACCCCTACCGACCACCGCTCACCGCTCACTTCTTGCAGCTCGCAGCCCACGGCCTCCACCAATCCGCCCACCTCGCCTCCTACCTCTCCTCCCCCTCCCAAACCGCCCCTTACCCAACACCCGAGATCGTCTTTTCGTCCCCGTTCTATAGGTGTGTGCAGACGGCGTTGCCGACGGCGCAGGCTTTGGGGCTTGTGCTGGGGGAGGGGGAGGATGGTTGGGAGTATGACGAGCCCTTGGAACAAGAAGGGCAAGGAGATGGTAAGAAGGGGAAAGGCAAAAGACGGTCGAAAAAGGGTCTGCACCTCGAACACGGTCTCTCCGAATGGTACTCCCCCGTCTACCCCTCCACCGGCTTGCACCCCCGCCCCGGCCCCCCGTCCTCCCTCATCCCCCACTTCCCCCCAGGCAGCATCAACCCCGCCTACTCCTCCACGTATTACCCGTCAAGGAAGGGGGAGAGCTTGAAGGAGCTGCATGAGCGGATGGAGGGTTTTCTGAATGCGTGGGTGGGCAGGGTGGAGGGGGAGTATCCGGAGGTGAGGTGTGTGGTTGTTTTTATGCATGCGGCGAGTTTGATTGCTTTTGGACGGGCTGTGAGTTCTTTTTCTTTTCTTTGTTGTTGTTGTTGTTGTTGTTGTTGTTGTTGAAAATCGGGTGTAGACAGAGAGCTAATGACTCGGATAGTTGACAGGAGATAGAGGGATGGAAATCGTAGCAGGCTGCGCCTCTACCTCCCTATACCAACGTAAACGCCCTCCCCTCCCCTCCCCCTCCCCCTTAACCACCCACCTCCCCACACCAACCACCCCCTCCCACCCCTCCCCCTCCAAAACAAAATTACCACCCTGCGGCACATCCCAATACACCCTCCTCCTCTCCGGCCACACCTCCTACCTCCCCTCGGGCCTCGAACGCGACTGGTCCTTCGCCGACGTCGTCCTAAAGCCAGATGGGGAGGTTGTCCAGGATAATGGGGATGGGGAGGCGCATGAGGGGGAGGTTTGGGAGGAGGGGCTGGCGGGGGGAAGGGGGGAGGGGGGATGGGGAGGTGGGTTCGGGAGGGGGAAGAAAAGGGGAGGGGGGATGTTGGGGTTGGGGAGAGGAGGGCGAGGATGTGATTATGGGAGTGTTGTACTTGTATATTATATACTGTTCATGTAATCATACGTTACTTGTAGAGATCATTCACGCTATACTGAGCCATACCCGCGTTCTTCAAACAGGGCCTTTCAAGTGGGTATGCCGTATGATCACCCAGAGGCCAGAAGTTTAAATGACAAGATCGTGATTCATACCATACAATCATACAATACTTGAGATCTGGCCTGATAAGCAAAGAAATACTCGATAGGAAGCAAGCCAAAAACAAACACGGACAGTTAAAAGCTCTTGCGACATGAATTAGCGGAAGGACGATTAGAGATCAACAAACGACTCCACAGCCACTTGTCTATGAGCCAGGCACACGAAGTGAGGGAAAAAGATGCACAAGATAAGAAAGACATTAGTGGAATCCGTGATCATGATCTTGACGTCAGTGTAAATCATAATCATCCAAGACGTCAAAGGTCGATGAACAAGAGGTCGGGTAGGAAAGTATCCCGTCGGTGTTGTCGATTTGCGTAGAAAGCGAAAGGTAGTTATCGCCGCCGGGATGTTGATTATCCCAGTATTCCAAGGCATAAGCCGAAATATTTAAAGTGATTGATGCTTGCTGCTGCTTAGCCCCGCCGACATCAGCGCCATAATCCCCAATCGTCTTTTCCATGCCTCTCCAGGTCCTTTCCACCCCGCGGGATCCTTGCGTTCAAACGTCGAGAAAATTTGTCGAGTGTCGGATGCAAGTCGAAAAGTCGATGCCGCCCTCGATAATCATCACTCTCACTCCCCCACACCCACAGCCCGAGTCTTTCCCAACCTTTTAGAAGATCCTTTGAAAAAAAGTAGAGTCATGCCAAAAGTCATACATCCTACATCGTCTCGATCTAACGCGTAGAAAAAACTTAGGCCTCCTCGGTCCTGAGCTTGGCGGCGGCGTTGGTGACCCTGCAGTATTCGTCAGCCACATGCTCCTTTTTCTGTATCCATCCACCCCCTTCTCCCCACCCATCCATCCATCCACCCTCTCCATCCTCCTCCCACCGCCAAAGAGTAAAGAAGGCAGACTCACTTGACACCCAAAACCTTGGCCCTAGCAATGATCTCCACCCTCTTCTTGCTGCTCACACCGTGCGCAATAGAAGCGGCATACTTGCCAGAGTGCATCAAGAGCAGCTCGAGCTCGGAGAGATTGTGGACGAGGAGCTCCTTGTGGCCAGAGGGGAGGAGGTGGCGGGTCTTGGCGTTGGAGCCGTAGCCGATCTTGGGCATGGGGATCTGGCCAGAGAACCTTCGTCGGACCTATACTGTGTTAGTCTTTCTTTGCCAGACAAAAGACAGTGGAGGGGGCGCACTCTGTTGTCGATACCCTTGGGCTTCCTCCAGGACTCCTTGACACCATGGTACCTGTCGGACTGGTGCCTCTTGAAGTGCTTTGTGCGCTTCTTGACGATGGGGATGTGGGCGGGCATCTTTTGTGTTGACGGACGGAGAGAGACTGCTCAGAGTTGGCGGGACGTAGTGAAGGAGGAGGGAGGGGGAGCGGCGGGAGCAAATCGGGGAAACGGCGAAAAGCTGCACGGCGGGAGCAAATTACTTATGTCCGACACTTGCGCTTCTCTTCTTGTGTGGTTCCATATCACATGCATACATAAAGTACTACTGCAGAGCCCACGTCTTGACCACAAACAGCTCCTCCGGCATCCCCTCCTGCACCTCCTCCTTCACCACCCGCAGCCCCGCATCCCTGAACGCCTCCACCCACTTGCCACTGCTCCGAGTCAGCGAAGAGTCTTCTTCGTCCATGAATTCTTGCGGCTCGCCGTTCGGGCCCTCGTCGCAGCAGTTTTCTTTGACAAATATGAAAGAGTCGGAGGGGGAACGGAGGGCGGCGCGGGAGCGCTGGAGGAAGGATACGAGGTCGGCGTGGTTCATGTGGCCTGTTTTTCCATTATTAGCTTGTGCTCAGAAAAGAGGAAGGGGGACTTGCCGAGACACCATTGGCACCAAATAACATCATAAACCACCTCCTCCCCATCCAGCCCCTCCCCCCCACCCCTCTTCTGCCCCACCACCCCCAACTCCACCCCACCCCTCCCAGGAGACCTCGGGTCGAGCATCTGCAGTCCCCCCTGGATAAACCTCACCCTCTTCCCCCTCCCTGCCTTGGCTTCATTCGCCTGTCGGTGGGCTTCGGCGTAAGCTTCGATTTCGAGCGCGTTGTCTTCGCTTTCGACCGGTTTCGGCGGGAGCGCATGCACAGGCAAGGGAAGATCCCTCCACTCCCCATCGCTCGCGGACCTATACGCCTCTCCTACAAACTTGCCCACCGGCTCCACGAGCACGACGTCGTCAAACAGCGGCGCGAGGACTGTCCTTGTCACCCTGCCGATCCCTGCGCCGACGTCGAGCGCTGTCCTGCGGTGCGCTGGGAGGGGCGGCAAGGGGGCGGGGGTGAGGGGGGAGGGGAAGGGGGAGAGGGAGGGCAAGAGGGAGAGGAGTAAGAGCCGGGAAGACAGCTGTTCGATATGCGGTACAGGCCCCGTCCCAAATCCCCCAAGTACCCCATCAACACTCGCCTCAACATTGTCCCAGTACTCGATACCCCTCTCATAATCCGGCCCGGGGGCAGTGTCCATACTAGCCTTGTTCTTGAGAGCGGAGCCGAGGGAGGAAGGTGGGGCGGGGGTGGGGAGAGAGGGGGTGGAGGTGTTGGGTTTGTGGCGTTTGGCGGTGGGGAGGGTCATTTTGGGCTTGGGTTGGGGGGGTTTGGGGAGGAGCCGATGGAGGCGGGTTGTGGTGGAGAAGAGACGCGTGAGCAGGGTGGATGAGCTTCCCCTCTTGAGTGGAGGTGGGGAGGAAAAGAGGATGATGGATGGGTTGGGATGGGATGAAAGAGGAGGAATGGCGCGGGTCGGGAGCAAAAACGTGGCCTCCACTTTTCCACCCTCACTCACCGCACTGGCTAGTAGAAGGGGAAGGAGATGGGGAAGCGGAAGCGGGGAGGGAGTGGAAAACTGGGAGCGAGGATAGAGTACAGCGAGTGGGGAGCAGGGGTGACGAGAGAGAGTACTTGTACGTACGATAGTGCGCTAGAGGTAGCCAGTCTGCGTCTGCGAAAACCAAAAAGCCCCCAGGTATTGGTCTCTTTCCCTTTCCCTTTTGAGTAAAGTAATGTGCTTGCACAGAGAAGCAGAGAAGCAGAGAAGCAGGGGAGGTTGAAGAATGGTGGTGCGAACGAAACCAAAAGATGGACGACGCTGACTGAACGGTGTCTTGCCGAGTCTGCAGACTTGTAGCAGGGTTCACCATCCAGAATATATCGAGGGTGGTCTTGTCAGCAGGTGCCTGACCCCCGATGACTGCCGGACAGCCTCCATGGGAGATGCGCCATGGTCTTGTCGGCGCCGTCCGGGTGAGAATGGGGATATGACGGCGGATGAGAGACTAGAGATTAATGTGTCTGTTGACTTGCTGAATCATCCTTTTGAAACGTCATGCAAATCAGCAGAAGAGGCATGAACGCTATGCATGCAACGCCGCTGTGATGAATATGTGCACTGGTCAATAGCATAGTTGCGGAAGAGCAGTTGTGGGCGTCGAAGTGCGTGCAACGGAAGATCTCATTACTCACCTCCTACTTCTGTCGTCTCGCCCTTTGTCAGCTTTCGAGTCCAATCTTGTGAAAGTCCGATTGCGTCCTTCTACTCCGACCTTGGCGCATGCTGGACATGTGTATGATTCCATAGTAAGATGGCATGGCTTGACATGGGACACTGCGCTACATACATACCTCTGAGCCTTTCCGTCCCCGCTGATGATATCCTTTCCGTATCTTGACAGACGCGTCTTTCTCCATGTTGATGAGGTATTTTAGACTCAACTAGGCTCCCGTCTTTGAGGGGCTTTGTTAGGTCTTGTGTTGCTCAATATAATTATTATCGGGGATATGTCGGATCTACCTCTGTCCACGGTTGATGCGATCGGGAGCTCCGCTCGTGGAGATGCAGTAGTCCGTCCTTTCTTTTGAACAAGAATAGTTATGCAATCTGACTGAGAAAGAATGTGGTTGGCTCCTCATAAAGCAATCTAGACCGACAATCACATCCTTCCAGTCACAACTCACATCGGTTGACATAGCTTCATCTTCATTTATCTTCTTGACGAAAAACGCGTTGGCGCAGAAGTACCCACGATACCACTATAGGAGCGAAAAAGAAGCAATGCCGCTAACAGAACTTGGCTGGGAATCAGAAGCGCATTACGCAAAACGTAAGGCCAGAACCCGCTCGACAAGATCATCCCACCACAATACTACTACTGACAGTTCTGAACCACCACCACCACCACCATCATCCGGTAGGGTACACAATCTTCCTTGGGCTCTTTGGTGGATGAAAGCCGATTGCCGAGGCAGGAGGGACGGGTTCTAGCTCTACTAGGAAGCAGAAGAAGGACAGGTATAATTCACTGTTCTTCATAGGGGCGCCTTCTGGCTCTTCTGTGAAGGGGGGACGGAGTCGTGGTAGTAGGAGGAGGGGCTGGCGTACGAGGGAAGAGTCGGCGGTGGGTGTTGATGGGGTGGAAGAAGGGGATGGGGGAGGGGGTGGGGAAGAGGAAGGTAGTGGAGAAGGGGATGTAGATGTAGTTGAAGGGGAAGGAGCTGCAGATGGAGGAGATGCAGATGGAGGAGATGCAGAAGGAGGAGATACAGAAGGAGGAGATACAGAAGGAGGAGATGCAGATGGGGAAGCAGGCGCAGAAGATGTGGGTGACGAAGATAAAGGCGGACATGAGGGTGGGGACGGCGATACAAATGGAGGGGATGATCCGAAGGAGGAGGATGGCGGGGAGTCTTCTGTACCGATACCAGAGCCAGACTAGTCATACCGTCATAGATTATCCGCATCTTGACTTCTCATGATAATGGATCTAAACGAGTTAGAGTATGGTTGGGTGATGCAGAGAGATTCAATACGTTGGTGACGACGCTGCCACAGAGGTATGGTGAATTGGTTTTGTTAGTGTGTGGACCTTGGACGATATGACAGGTTATCGTTCACCATGGTGAAGGACTCATAAAGATAATTAATGCCCGTGTATACCCGTGTCCGAAATTCACATCGATCAACATGAACAAAATAATGATTCGGCAGATAAGACATGCAATGTGCGAGTGAGAGCTTGATCATCAAGATACTGTGAAATGTTGGTATTACTGAAATGATGATGGGAAGCGGTAGGTATTGGGACGCGTGGCTTGAACGGATATGAGGCGCTGGGACAATCACTCAAGGAGAGACCTTGCTGTCCATTTGGAGCGTGAGAATTGGTCCTACATATCGTTGCATTAACCCTCTCTCACACCTTGCCTTTATATGTGACAATAATTCTGGAATTTGATGACCATCATCTCATGACTTGAGCAGAATGGCGTCGTCCCAAGTCACATCCCAAGTTTGGCCCGTGAGCAACGTCCATCACTGCGAAAACGAAGCTTGCTTTTCGATTGGTGGTATACTCGAGAAGGGTGGCACTCAAAGTCCTTCCCAAGCTGGCGAAGAACACACAGAGAAGGAGAAAAAAGCACACATCTGGAGCTGCACGTTCATCGAACCCGACGGTGAACACATATACCGAGGTTCATTCACGACCTGCTCCCGTGCGAACAAAGGAACGAAAGCCGAGAATGCCGACTATATCACGAGGACCAATGAGTTATCGATGGCTCTCTACGATGCCATAAGGATGACCAAGTCCCAGTGGGTTCCTGCATGCCGTACAAGTGGGAACGTGGATCATTTGATTATTTGATTGAAGCGGAAGAATCGACCTTTCATAAGCTAGTGGAGGGTATGCCGGAGAGATATGGGGATATAGCTTGGCATGAGGCTGATCGTAGTACCGTGCGCACAGTCATGTTGTATGATGAGGATAGTAGCCAAGGGACCAGCAGCATGGGAGATGGGAGTGATGTGGAGGAGGTAGTCGCTGGAATGCGTCTTGTTTTGGCTGATGACGAGACTACTAACTAGGAATGAACTACTTGAGCACTATAATGATGTGATAGCATGCCGAATATGGTGGGTACTTGCTAATTCGACGAGACTATCCTTCGCATGGTGAAATGTACTTGAATGCGCGCATCGCATCCATCCTCAGCGCGTTCATGTTTCGATCATCGATTCTACAACAGCCCGTCGAGTAAAGAACGGAGCTATCCGCTTTTCCTGTTCGACGTGAGGTACATCCCACGTGACCACAGGCCAAAGAAAGGATGACGATACTTGTGTACAATGCTGCTTTCTTGTAAGACGTCGTTCCTACCAAGCCGAGGAGTTTGTTACTTCTTTTCATCAGACGCTTCTCTCGCCTGAGCGGCGGTGCTGGATACGATACGTTGTTTATCCGCACCATTTTCACATGCTTCTCTCGTCTGACCGGAGGTGCTGGATACGATACGATGTTCATCAGAGTCGCTGATATAATTTCGAAGGAGACCCGGTACATTACATTACCGGAGTCGCGCCGATTGGGGTCATGCCGATTGCATGAACGGAAGGTTGATGTCGTCAGCATCGGAACTTGTGCTTATGTGCGACTCAAGCCTGTGTTATTTATACCAAGCAAGCCTGTGCTATTTATACCAAGCACGCTTCCATACGTATATAAGAGATGATGGGTGCAGAGAGAACTTCTCTTTATCACAAATCATCATCATGTCTTCCCAAGTAAATTGCCAAGTATGGCATGCGAGCGACACCGATTGTGACGAAGACACCATCTGCATCAACGGTATCCTCGAGCGAAGCGCTGTCAAAAACTTCTCTTACAGACAGCCTACAGGAGACGAAAAGACGGCCTACGTTTGGACTTCCAACTTTATCGAGAATGATAGCAAGAATATATACAGAGCTTCATTCACCTCTGGAGCTAACGCGAGCCGAAATACAAAAGACCAAAACGACGACTATATGCAGCGGGCGAATGAGGTCTCGACATCCCTTCACGATTCGCTCAAAGAGTCTGCATCCAAGTGGGGTGCCCAGTGCCGTACCCAACACAGTGCGGATCCTTTGAGAGAAGCAGAGAAATCGACGTTTGAGCAGCTGGTGAACACGCTGCCGGAGAGGTATGGTAATATCGGCTTGGGCACCGTCGCCCGTGAGACTATGAAGCAGGTCTTGCTGTACGATGGGACTCATGGTGACTCATCGAGTGGCGGGAATGTGGTTGGGGCGAACATGGTGGAGGGGGACGATATGCCGATGGTGGCTGGGATGCCGTTTGTGAGGGCTGAAGCGAGTACCGGCTTTGAGTTCTTGAGTCATCAGCCTTCTTTCTATCACGGCGATGATAGAGATGCTTGATAAGGTACTTGATGATATGTCCTCGATTCTCTCGTGGCTCACTGGTGCAGTGCAAGTTCAGCTGGGATTTTGGATGGAAATGTGAAGGACAGTTCATACGATAGGCAGTCTTGGATGATCCATGAAAGAATGCATCTTTTTACTGCTGCCGCTGCGTTCGAAACTCAAATCGGGACAATAAGACGCGCAGCGTATGCTGTCGTCTGCTGAGCCAGAAATTGGCTTAAGACTGACTTGACGTCCCTCTTCTCATTTCGGACAGTCGACTATGTAGATCCGTCTATAAGCTCGGCGGCCTGGCCCCAGAAGAGAAGAGACATTGATCCTGGCCCGTGGTGCAGCCAAGAAAGATGTTGAAGTTGGTTGTACCGAGTACCATCTCACACATCATTCAACATCATCATTCCTTCCGCCGAGACACGTCAATCACCTCCCTCCATGGACTCTTACCCGGCCATTGAGAAAGAGAAAAGGCACCAGCATGGACGACAACCAAGAATGTGGATCCAGGCCGGAGAGTTCTGGTCGAACCGATAAGACAAGTGCTGCTGGCGCAAAGTGTGCTGGACTTTCCCGATATCTTTCTCAAGAGAAAGACCAGATTCATCCCTACGTAGAAGGAATGCTTTAGAGCCATTGTCGACTATATCAAGGCCACCAACCAGGGCACAGCATTATGATGCGTCTTTCACACGCTGATGAGATATTGTTCTCGTATTGTTACGGTCCCGTGCTGTTGCTACCAATATGTCCGGCCCACCGTTCACCTACAGTGAATATGATTATAAGCGCCGCTGGAAATGCAGTCCTTTCTCGCAGACAACTATAGCTGCCAAATTTAGAGAATGAGAACGATGATGGGTCATAAAGCATGGTAATCTAGACGATGTCATGTAAGCCACCACCGGGCGATACTATTTATGAGTTGACATAGCTTTCAGACTGTCACATCTTCACTCTTTCCTAGCGGTAGAGCGTCTGCTCCGTAGAAGCTCCTCGGTGCCACTTCTACTCGCACACTACTCGTACAATAATCAAATGCCAACACCACCCTCATCATCCGGTTCAGATCGGGACACCACACGGGTGCCCGAGTCTCTACCTTCACTGCCGCTTCAGTCTCCAATTGTCTTCTGCCCCCCGCCCCATCTCAAATCTCGTCGAAAAGATCAACACCAACATACCCAGAATGGCCCCTCCCTACGTCCCCACCCCGGAACAAGCAGCCGTCGCCGAAAAACGAAGGGCGGAGAGGGCTGCGAAGAAGGCTGCTATCGCTTCTGGGGCTATTGCCGACCCCAACAACGCAAAGGGGGAGGGGCAGGGGCAGGGGGAAGGGGAGGTGGAGTTCTTGAAGAGGGATTGGGTTGATGTGGGTCCTGGGCAGGTAGAGGGAGGGGGAGGGGGAGAGGGGCGGAAGCGGAAGGGGGTGAGGATATTGACTTGGAATGTAAGTGACCTCCTAATGCAGGTCGGGTTTGAAACTGACGACCCAAATCCGTCAGCTCCTCGCCCAAACCCTCGTCCGTAGGTCAACTCAAACCCCGCCTCGTTGATAGACATGAGAGCTGATAGAAGTCGACAAGGAAGGAAACTCTTCCCAGGATCAGATTGCCTGAAATGGGGCGACAGAAAAGCGCTCTTACTCGCCGAGATGGCGCATCATGGGTCTTGTGATATTATCTGTCTTCAAGTGTGTACCCCCTCCCACTCCCTCTCTCCTGTTTGGGAGACCAAGAGCTGATATAGGGCTTGTAGGAATGCGACAAACACTCCGAGATAAGCACTGCCCTCCCGAAGCACACTTTCGTGAAGGGTACAGGCCCTCACAAATCGCATGGCTTGGTCATACTCTATAACAAGGAAAAGTTTGGGGCCGAGTGGAAGGAGCTTGTGCATCTTGATTTCGAGGACCTGCATTCTCCTTCGCAGGGGACGGAGGAGGAGGGGGAGGAGGATTTGGGAGAGATAAAAAGGAGGAAGGGCGGGTCGAGGATGACGAAGAATGTCGGTCTGATCGTGGGGCTCAAGTCCAAAAATGAGAGTGGAAGGGGGATTGTAGTCGCTACCACCCATCTGTACGTTCCATCTCCATTTCTTTCTCCACCCCTCATCCCCCAACGAAAACCAAAGTACACAAACCAAAAGACCGGTGCTGACCAAGGGGACAGCTTCTGGCACCCAATGTACGCCTACGAACGTACACGACAAGCTCTACTGTTGGTCCGTGCGATCCGCCGATTTCAGGGGGTACATGGGTTGGAGGGGTGGCCCGTTGTTTTTGCTGGTGGTGCGTTTACCTCACCTTCTCTTCTTCCTCTTCCTTCCTCTTCTGTCTCTTTCCTTTTTCACCTGCACCTACTGATAAAAGAAAACTAGATTTGAACACCCAGCCATCCGAATCTACCTACTCCCTCCTGACGTCCCCACACTCGCCCCTCCCAGCGTCTTATGCTGCGCAAGTGGAGAGTTCCAGGATCGTACATGACAGCCTCAAGAAAATGTCATTTACCGCCCCGCGTACTTCACCCGTCACCACCCACGCCGACGCTTCTATCCCCCCCGGAACACCCGCCTCCGGCACCTCCACCCCCACCCCCGTCCCAACAAAGACGGACGAAGAAAAGGACGAGGACAGGGAAGACAAGAAAGACGACTCGACCGCCAACTCTCGTGCGCCGCTTGTTTCTGACGGGATCCCGACGACGGAGGAGATGGTGGGGCTGTATAGGGAGGTCTTCCCGGGGAGAGGGTGTGAGAGTGCGTATGGGTCGACGGGGTGGAGGGTTGGGAGGGATGTGCCAGGGTTTGGAGCGAGGGGAGGGTTTGGGGAGTTGGAAGAAGGAGGGGGAGGGGATGAGCCGGGGTATACGTGTTTTACGCCGTTGTTCAAGTTGACCCTCGGTAAGCTTCTTCTCTCAACACACATTACGACAAGACGGGGCGCTGACTACAACATACAAGATTACCTTCTACTTCTTCCCCCCCTATCCCCATCATCCGACCCAGAAGCGAGCTTTTCAAAGGTGCTTTTACCGCCGAGAGCGGAGGAGCTTGGGGAGGGGTTGCCGAGGAAGGGGATTTGCGCGAGTGATCATGTGGCGGTGGGGTGTGAGGTTGTTTGGTAAGATTTCTAGATGGGGAATTGGGGATTTGGGGTGAGGTGGGAGATAGAGTAGATGGTTAGACAATGCATTCATTAGAGCGGTAGACTGGCGATGATTGGGACTAGAGTTATTGTGATTTGTGACTGCTGACGAGGTTGAGTGACCGCTGATTTTGCCCCTTCCGTTCCATAGGACCTCGCCTACAATTTCCACTTACCCCCAACAGATTATTGACATCGACTGGAATCGATTGCGTGTTCATGCACTAGTCAACATTGGGCGAGGAGACGAGATCGTCGGGCATAGTGCGAATTGTAATGATTCTTGTAATGGAGTTGTAATGGATTAGCCCCCGTTGTAATCGGTGGTTATCGGTGGAATAGCCGACTTTTTTCGATCCTGTCTAGTCGACGTCGTCTCTTTCTTCTCTTTCTTTTCCTCGTTCTCTTTCAGCATCGCCATGTCAGACACCCCCCACCCCGCTCAGGATCCCCCCCAGGAGGATGCCCAGCTCGAGCAGGACCCCGACCAGCAGCAGGAGATTCAGTGTACGTCCTCCACGCCCGCGAAAAAGTCCCCACTCACCGTCCCCAGTCCCTGCTGTCGTCGTCAGGATCCCCGCGCCCACCTGCCCCAGGACCGTCCCCAAGCAGGACAGCGCTCCCACAGACCGCATCACCCTCTACCCCAAGCCGGGAGAGACCATCCAGGACATCAAGTTGCTCATCAACGACTGGGTCGGCGCCTACTGGCTCGGTCCGTACTCGCTTCGCCTGCCGTTCGTCAAGGGCGAGGACGGTAAGGGGCAAGTGTACACGAAGAAGAAGGACTTTAGTGAGGTGAGGGCGGGGGAGAAGCTGAATGAGTGGCTCGAGGTTGCCGACGCTTTTGAGCATGTCGCTGAAGGCGAGGAGAGGGTCCTTGAGGCTGTCAAGGGTGAGTATGCTTCTGCAATGTACCGAGACGAGCGCTTACATGGTCTCAGAACCCTATGGCGAGTTCAGTGCCCGTCAATCCATCCTCCGTCTCATCGAGCTCATTGCCCCCGCCGGTACCACCGCCAACACTCTCTCCAACCCTCTCGGTCTTTCTGCCGGCGCCACCATCTTTGAGCGTGTCCGCGACGGGCTCTCTGCCGATGCCCACTACGAAGAGGTCGAGGTCGCGTTGCCTTCGGGCCGCAAGGGCAAGGCCGGAAAGAAGGAAGTCGTCAAGGTCAAGCGCGAAGTCACTGGCGACCGCGCCCACGCCTTTGCCGACTTTAAGGACTGGCAGCCCGCCTCCTTCGCTTCCTTGCCCGTGTCTTCAGCGCCCTCCGAGATCGCGCCTGCGGTCAGGTCTATCCAGGTCTCGCCTTTCAACCCTCCTCCTGCGCATTTGCGACAGCAAGGCCACCAGCTTTACCTCACTGTTTCTCTCCTTGAGGGCGAGACTTTGACTTTGGTGTGTACGACCCGAGGATGGTATGTGTCCAAGAGCAACGTCAACAACTTTGACGCTACCCCCCGCGACGCTGCTGCCCCGATCCACTCCCTGGTCGACCTCTTGCACAGCATCTCTCCCCGGTTCTCCGAACGTATCTCTGCCCTCCCTCCCATCTCGCTCGAATCCCCCATCGCCGACCCCATCTCCACCGTCGCCCCCCCTCAAGCCCAGCCCGCTTACCCCTTCCTCGCATCCCTCCCCAAACCTGCTACCACCGCCGAGCAGCTGCGTACTCAACTTGCCTTCTTGCACACGGGGGCGTACGGCCCCGAAGGCGTCGATAGCGCTAGGGACTGGAATGAAGAGCTTCAAGGTATCCGTGAGCTCCCCCGCTCGACGATGCAAGAGCGCGTCATGCGGGAACGTATGCTCCAGAAAACCATTGCCGAATTCGATACCGCCGCCATCCGCGCCGTCCTGTCCATCTCTTCCGGTGACGTCCCACCTATCAACCCCGCCGAACCGGCCGAAGCATACATGTACCTCCAATCCAACGTTTTCGTCACGCCGGGTGACAATGATGCTCTGGATGCGTATGCGCATTTGGGCGGTGATGGGGCGATGAGGGTGTCGCATGGGAAGGATGCGGCGGGGATCAGGTCGTTCAACAAGGTTGATGTGGATGGGCTTTACACGCTTGGACATACTGTTGTGGACTGGATGGGGAAGCGATGGGTCTGTCAGAGTGTCCTTCCTGGGATTTTCTCCAACCGACGCGCTCTTGAAGAAGAGGTCGAGGCCAAGGAAGCTAAGGGTGAGGAAAAGGATGAGAAGAAGGAAGATTGGGTGGACGTCACTGCCTCCCCCAAGGCTGCCACTTCTGCTCTGAAAGAAGGCGAAGAAGCTGAGCCCGAGCTCGACAACCCCATGATGATCTACGGCCTCGATTCCGAACGACCCACCACCGTCCACTGGGACGCCCTCACCCACAAACTCTTTGCCACCTACGCCGCGCTCAACAAGCTTGCGCCTCACAGTATCACCTCGGGCACTGGGGAGAAACACGAATTTTATGCGTCGGCTGAGGTGAAGGGGTTGAAGGGGCAGGATGGGAGGCGGTATGTGCTTGATGGGCAGAGGACGAGCCCCGTGGATGTGGAGTGGCTTGAGAAGGATGTGGAGAGGGAGGGGTTGGGAGAGTACCCGCATAAGCTTGTGTTGCTCCGACCAGAGTTGGTGGAGATTTACTGGGACTTTGAGTTGAAGCGATGGGCAAAGAGCGTCTCGGACAAGGCTGCCAAAAAGCAGAAAGAGTCTGAAGACGCTGAAAAGGCTGAGGAGAGCGGTGAAAAGGAGGAGGTCAAGAGTGACGAAAAGACGGAGGAGAAGGCGTTGGTCGATGAGCATTCGCCTGCTGCTTCTGCCGCCGCCGCCCGCCGAGCCGAGGAAGACGCCCCCATCGACACGTCCGTCATCAGCGACATCAAAGACTTTAAACTCCTCTTCAACGCCGACGCTTTCGTCCCCCAGCCTCCCGCCAAGGAAGGCTCCCCCGCGCCCGTGGCCATCAACGACGAGTCTGACCCGTCCGTCAAGGCTGTGAGGGACGCGAGCAAGTATTTGAGGGAGCTGGCGATTCCGTCGTTGGTTTATGATGTGATGATTGGGGTGACGAGTGGGGTTATGGATGGGGAGAGTTTGAGCAAGCATTTGCATCTGAGGGGTGTTAATGTTAGGTATCTTGGTAAGGTCGCGGAGACTATTGAGTCGTTCTCTGCTACCAAGGAGGGGGAGGAGCAGGAGGCTAAGGGGTACCTCCAGGCTTTGCAGGTGAGTCTTTTCTTGCGGAGGAGTTAATATGCTGATGGGATACAGTCTATTGTGTACCAAGAGATGGTGTTCCGTGCCTCCAAGCACATCGTCAACGACCTCATCAAGACCCTCCACCCCGACCAAGCTACCCAAGCCGTCTCCCACTTCCTCAACTGCCTCCTCGGCTCTTCCCTCAACCCCTCCCCCACCGCGGCCTACTCCCCGCTCTCCATCGGCGCGACCGAGCAAGAGCCTGCGTATGTTTCCCTTACCGTGGAGGGTTTGAGGAAACAGATCAGGGAGGAGGTCAGGGTGAGGTATAGGTACGAGTTGCCGGAGGCGTTTTTGGAGGGAGGGATTAGGAGGAAGCAGTTGTTGAGAGAGTTGTCGTTGAGGGTGGGGTGGCAGATGCAGCAGCGAGAGTACTACTTCTCCAAGGAGGAGCAGGACGCTGTGGAGGAGGTGAAGGAGGACAAGAAGGAGAAGAACAAGAAGAGCAAGGCGAAGACAGAGGTCAAGAGGACGACTACATTTGAGCCTCAGGATGTTTTGACTCTTTTGCCTATCGTCAAGTCTACCGCTCCTTCGGTGAGTTGTTCCACTTTGATACATGACGATGCTAACGTACAAACAGGTCTCTGTCGCCGAAGAGATCCTCGCCGCTGGCCGAAACACCATCAACAACGGCAACGTCAACCTCGGCCTTGAATTCATGCTCGAAGCCATCCAGACATACGAGTCCATCCACTCTGTCATCCACCCCGAAGTTGCCGCCGTGTACAACCAGTACGCCCAGGCTATCCACCAGATCGCGCGTATCAAGATTGCCCAGCTTGCGCAGAAGGAAGATGCGAGCCCGGATGAGCCTTTGGGCGTCGATGTCTCTACTGCGCTCAAGTTGCAGAGGCAGGCTGTGGTCATTGCCGAGCGAACGCTGGGTATCTATCACCATGAGACCGCTAGTTATTACTTTAACCTTGCTATGCTTGAGAACCTTGAGGGTAACTCGCAGCAGGCGTTGAGGTACTTTAAGCATGTCTTGACGCTTTGGGACGTCATGTATGGTCGGGACCACCCCGAGGTCAACACTGTGCTTGTAAGTTCGACGTCATCCCAAGTGACCGTGAGCTGATGACTATACAGAACAATGCCGGTATCATCCTCCAGACTGCCATTACCGATCTCCCCTCTTCTCTTGCCTTGCACCAGCAAGCCCACGAGTCGACTTCGGCCATCTTTGGCCCGTCTCATCTCCAAACCGCCCAAACCCTCAACCAGCTTGTGCAATCCCATTTCCTCGCCGGCAACCACCGCGAAGCCCTCACCTCCGCCGAAGCCACCCACACCATCTTCCTCGCCAAGCTCGGCGAAGAACACACCCAGACCAAGGAATCGCTCCGCAACGTCGAGCTCTTGACTGCCTTGATTGATGGTGCGGAGAAGCAGAAGGAGAGGGAGGAGATGATCAAGAAGGATGCGGAGGAGAGGCTGAAGGCTGCTAGGGGCCAGAGCCAGGGGTTGGCGGGCAGGTTGGCGGGGAGGAGGTTGGGGCAGCAGGTTAATGGGAATGTGCCCTCTGGCGTGAGGGTCATTGACCAGCAGACGCTTGCTGCGCTTACTGCTGCTGCGCAGAATGGGCAGCTGCCTGCTAGCGCTGCTGCTGCCGTCGCCGCCGCTGGTCAAGCGCTTCCCAACGGTCAAAGTTCCGCGGAGGGCGCTGCTGATGCGGCCGCCGGTCAAGGACAAGGACCCAGGATCGGGGAGAGGGGTACAGAGAACTTGGAAGAGCTTGTCAGGTACATCCAGGGCGGTAGTGCCGGTGGGGCTGGTGGTGCGAAGAGAGGAAAGAATGCGTTGAGGGGTAAAAGAAGGACTGGCTCGAAGCGTTAAAAGCGGTGTCTTGCTCGACACTTGCTCGAAAAATGTAGACAAAATGACATAAAATCTCTCTCTTCATATCTCTCAGCATATCTTGCATCTTTCTCTTATACGAAGCATGTTCGTCACAGAACTAGTACCAAAAACACCTCTCATATATGCAAATGCTTTTCGGAACTTCTGGTACATCTTTCCATCCGGTACATACAAAGATCTACATGTCATAATTAGGGCAGTCCACAGTCGTTGACCATGACATAGTACGGTCCCGTGCCCAGCTCGCTTTTAAAGTCGACCACACCTTTAAAGAGCGTCCTGAATCCGTTCTTGCGGTACATCGAGGCCTGCTCAGATATGTATCAGCGTATGTCCTCAAGAGATCATCCTAGATGACGTACCGCGCCATCTGTATGCGTCTCCAACGCGACTCTCGATCCGTCCCTCCGGGCAAGCTCCTCAAGTTTCCCCAAGAGCGCTGTCCCTAGGCCTTTCTTCTGGAAGGACGGATGGGTAGAGACCAGGTGGACGTAGTATACGGCCTCGGGGCCGCCGCCAGGGATGAGAGACCGGTTTTTGTGCAGCGGTTCGAGCTCGGTGTCTAGCCATTGCTTGATGGTGGGGGATATCTTTGGGGACACGGTTTCTCGGATTTTTGTCTTCTCCTCGCTAGGATATCATTGTCAGCTTTGAGTTGAGGTAGAGCTCAATGGGGCATGGAAGAGCGATCGGACAAGAAGACTCACGTATCCCAAAGATCTTTTCCCGGTGGACTGACTATCCCTACAGACCCGATTTCACCGTCGAGCTCGACTACCCAGAGCTGCAGGTCGACCAGAGCGGCCTGTACACGGGATCTGAAGAAGTCTCGTGTATTGGCGCCGAGCACGTTCAGGATTTGGTCTGGAGGAGAAGGAGAAGGAAGGTGTGTCGGTCATGACGTGATCTGGAATGAAACTGGGGGTGTGATGGGGGATAAGCGTACCGTGTACGAAGCCTTCCTGATAGACATCGAGGATTCTCTCAAACTCTTGATCTACAAGAAAAGTACATCAGAGTAGGGTGATTGCTGGGATGATGTGCACGTTACCGGTTGGGTTCTGCAGAAGCCTGACATTGATGTCTCCCATGGTGCTCTATGTGCCAGTCGTAGTGGAAGAGAGAGATAACCTTATCTGCAGATGCTGCGTGTGATCGGCCTTGTCCGAGAGGTGCGTGATATCGGCCTTGTCCGAGAGACCGAAAGCGTCTTCTATGTGACCAACTTCATGAACTTTTCGATTCGAATGATGACTTTTTGACTCGAATAATCTAACTTTTGCCTAACTGGCTCTGCTACACACAAAACGAAGACGATATAGGGTCTCCTAGCGATGTACACGCACTCGACGAAGATCAAAGACTACCCCAGCTTCTTAAAAGGACGTGTTTCATCAACTCTCTACAGGCCAAGGAATGCCATCAGATGCAAAGAAGATGATACATGGATTGGCTATTACAAACAGCTATGTCGCTTCCGTAGACAGCCCACAGTCGTTCACCATAAGGTAATACGGCCCCTCGCCCAGGTCGCCGCCAAACTGAAGCACAGCATGGTAGATGATCCGTAGCCCATTCTTTTCGTATACCTTAGCCTGTATGATCATCAGCTTCCAACCTCAAAGACAAAAGATCACATATAGCCTACCGCTCGGTCCGAGTGAGCTACCAACGCGACCCTTGTCCTATCCCTTCGCGCGAGCTCTTCCAGTTTTCTTAAGAGCGCGCTCGCTAGGCCCTTTTTTTGGAACGAGGGGTGGGTACCGAGGGCGTTGAGATAGTATGAGGCGGTGGCGCCGCCGGGGAGATGGGATTTGCTTTGGCGATGGGGGTCCAGTTCGGTTTCGAGCCATCGTTTGGCGGCGGGGGAGACGTTGGACATTGCATTGTCGCGCAGCTTCTTCTGTTCTGCACTACAGTGTGTTTGCTGTTAACCAGGTATGTAATAAGGTTATAAGGTGAGCACGTACCTTCCCCAAAGGTCTTTTCCGGGCGGGGCGACTACGCCGACACAGCCGATTTCGCCGTCGAGATCGACGACCCAGAGCTGGCAGTCGACCAGGGCAGCTTGTATGCGAGAGAGGTGCGATGGAACGTGGTCGTTGGGATTAGTACCGTGTGTCTGGTTGAGGATCGGTTCTGAGAGATGGTCAGATAGAGAGTACTGATGACAAAGAAAGACTTTGCCTGTCTTGAAAGCCTCTGTGAAGACGTGGAGACATCTCTGTATCTCGTGTTCTGTGCCATGTCAGCGATATCGGACCAGGCGATGCTGCTTACCAGTTGGATTTTCTAGGAGCCAAACTTGGATTTCGCTCATATTTACAAAGTGACAATACAGACGTGATACATACAGACATGCAAACTAATCAGACTCTCTAATCCTTAGTGTTGTTCGGTCCGCCGATGAAGGTTTACGTAAGTGCAGATCTCTCCGGATCCGAAGCCGTATATGGCCGCTCTATGCACAGTGCATATGTGGGGAGATACTCTATTTTCAGGTCATGCTGATAAGAATGTAGCAGACCATTGCCATTGAGCAGCTCAAGTAGCCGAGGTGGCGCAGACCTGTCTCTCAGATCCGAGATCTGAGCTGTCATCATCATCACGACGCAGATCTCTCTTTGTTGCCCACCCTTGATCTGTCGACGGATCTCACGGTCAGGGCTACTATCTACTGAAACCACTGATGTTTGACGGCATTCCCCCGTCCCAAAGATCAGTGGAGCGGACTCTAGGCTCCAGCCAGATTTGAGATGCAAGAGGTGCTCGCTTCGACGGCCGGAATGGATCGGCGCCGCAAGGACAAGGGGGCACCTTGTGTACGCTTTCTCTCGAGCTCATGTATATATAACTTTTTTCCAAAGACAGGTTCGAAAGTAAGTTATCACTCCTTCTCCTCTCTCCCTCCCGCAACATTTCGCGAAAGCGACCAACATGCCTATCATCCTTCAACGGTTCCTGATCTCGACCATGATGGCGGTCTTGCTCTTCTGCAGCCTACCAGGTCGCGTTACCGCTCTCCCTTTCTTGGCCAGCTCAGGTCATACGGTAGTCCAAAACTATTTCAGCGGAGACCAGCCCATTTTGCCTCAGACAGTAGTCCTGCTCGGACAGTTGCTGGGTGCAGCAAAGACCAAGCTGCAAGGAGGAGACGCGGATTTGCAACAGGACTTGGACAACTTGGTGAAACAGGCAAAGAAGTATCTCAAGAAGGGTGAGTGGAAGCTTCCCTGTCGTTGAGAGATGTACCAAGCCGATGCAATTCTAGGGCCTTGGTCAGTGACCAATAACCAGATGTCTGTCCCCAATGGTACTATGTGCGTCTACTACTTTCAGACTTGCCTACTTATTGATCCTTGCTGACACATGTATAGCCACGATTATGCTTCCCAAGCACCCTACTACTGGCCAAACAATTGGGAAACCCCCGAGTCGGGCGAGGTGTGCCCGTATGTCAAACGCGATGGCTATGTCAACCCCGAAGCTTCTCTGTATACGTCAAAGCAGGACAGGGCGGACATGTTCACTGCGTCCTATTCCTTGGCACTCGCCTGGTACTATACCGACACTCCGGCTTACAGGGAACATGCGGCGCAAGTCATCAAGGCTTGGTTCCTTGACGAGGATACGGCGATGACCCCGCACCTGAAGCACTCGCAGATTATTCCTTGCGAAAACGACGTATGTCCCTTTTCGCATGACGATGTGACAATGCTGATTCACTTCGTATATAGGGAAGAGCGATCGGCATTTTGGACTTTTCAGAGCAATACACGACGGTTCTTGATGCCGCGGCCATTCTCAGCACAGTGTACGACGCGAGTTGGAACAGCGAGACGGAGAAGGCATTCAAGGCGTGGAACCAAGAATTCCTCACGTGGTTGACGGATAGTGAGTTCGGAAAGAAAGAAGTAAGCCGCGTGATCCCAATAGGTCGAGAAGCATAAAGCTCACAGACGTACAATAGCTGGCCGCCACGAATAACCACGGTACTTTCGCTCGTCAGCAAATTGCCGGTATTGCCGCCTATGTCGGGCAAAACGACCTTGCTGCTGCGATGGCACAAGGGGCCAAAGCCATCGTCGACAGCCAAATCGAATCCGACGGGTCCCAGCCACTCGAGCTCTCCCGAACACGCTCATGGCACTACTCGTGTTTCAACCTGGTAGCGCACGCTCGGCTTGCAGACATAGCTCACCAGGTTGGTGTTGATCTTTGGGGTTATAAGGGCGAGCAAGGACAGTCAGTGAACGTCTCATTTCTACCCGTGAACTGCAGCTTACTCTATCGTCATAGGTCTATCTTGGGCGCTATCGACTATCTCATTCCTTACGCATCGACAGATGGTGAAACGTGGCCATACAAGGAACTTTCATTCATCGGATACGGGGCAAGTGATCTTGTCAATGCGGCGGCGGATCAGGGAGACGAGATGGCCAAGGCTGCTCTGCCAAGTCTGACTTACCCTTCGACCGGTAATCAGTGGCCCTTGAGGCCCTCGGTCGAGAAATTGGACAAATCTGGCTGATAGGGCTTCCTTTTGTGATTTTGTTTTCTTCTTCATGAAAATCAGCAGTCATTATACCTATCAGTAGTTCTCGATATTGCTATGCAAGTCCTCATCAAACTCACATATAATGGCCAAAGCAGTGGACTGTCTGGAGGAAGCCGCAATGGGTGACGACGGGAACCCCTAGAGGTTTTGAGAGGGAAAAGGTCATGCAATGGAATGGTGCATTTACAACGTGAAAAGTAAAGGTATATACAACTACAGGTGAAACGTATAGATGAACAGCACAACTTTTGTTTTACACAACATATCTTTCTTTTACTCCACCTCAGCTCCTCTTTCGCTTCCCATTCTTTCTCTTCATTTCTCTCGCTGCTTCTTGTCGTATTTGTCGTATTGTCCACAAGTATCCCGCGGGTTTACACATCCACAACCCAAAGCCAAACACCTCTCCCGTCCTCTCCATCGGCCTCCTCCCGATCCAAGCTTCCAGGGAGGCTCTTGAGCTCGTGCACAGCTCTCGCTTCGCGCCACTGCCCGTCGAGATAGACAAGCGCGCGGCGACCATCTCGAGACGGACGGATAACGGTCGGCACTATCCACGTTGAGACCCTACTCTGTGTCAGCCGGGGTACTCGAGATCAGGGGTCAAGTTGGAGGAGACTAGAAAAAAAGGGAGGCTTACTCGTCCACCCACGTGCGTTTGTACCCAGTTCCAATCCCAGCACCTTTTCCTATCTCGTAGGACATGCCGGAAAACAAAGCAGCCTCCCCTTTTATACCACGCCAACCAACTCTCTTGAAGACCTCCCTCCCGAGATCTGTCTCTGACCTTCTTCTGAATACCGATAGCAACTCTTCACCCGGCATGCCGTACACTGGCGACTCACTCCCTGGGCTCCCATTCTCAGACACGTGGCGCGAATGCGTAGAAGTGGGAAACGAGAGTGATGAGGATGACGGGTTTGGATAATTGGGGAGGCGGAAAGTGTATGCGGCAGAAGTGAGGTGGCCCAGTCGATGACTGACGGAAGAGTAGAGCGAAGACGAGCCCACGCCGGGTCGATATGCACTCCCAGCGGTGTTGACAGAAGGATGAGGGGGTGGGGACGCCGGGGAGGAGGGAGCGGAATAAGCAGGCGGAGAGGGAGTGAAGTTGGTGGAGTTGAGCAGGAAGAACCATCTCTCGTTGGAGTTGGGATTGATGCAGAGGGTTTCAATCTCGGTGCTGCACTTCTTTGGTCCTGCAGCTGCCTCCTTTTGCGCCGATTTGTCATTACCTTCGAACAATCTTGTAGCCTCAACTATGGCCTTGTTCAGTCTGTCAAGGACGGAGGAGGGAATCTCAGAGGTATCAGAATGAGGAGAAAAAGCGCTATATGAAGCCTGTATGGAATGTCAGTCGGTGACAATCTTTGAAAGACCTTGATCATGGCTTACATAAGACTCTCCCTTCGTATCATCTTGAACAACCCTCCCCTCCTGCTCGGCATCTGACATTTCCTTCTCCTTCGCCTCCAGCTCCTTCTTTTCCGCCTTCTTCCTCTCCCGCTTCTCCTTCTTCTTCCTCTTCAACTCTATCCCAGCACTTTCCTGGTCGACTTTCGAATCCGATGCAACGGCTCCCTCGGTGGTCGACTCGTCGTGCGCAAGAGGGTTGGCGTATGGAGAAGGGGAACAAGTCGTAGTGTCGATAGTGGACGTGGACTCGGACAGGGGCGTGCGTCCGCTCGAGGTTTCGGCCACAGTGCCCTCGACGGGCGACGACTTGTACATGCGCGCGAGAGAAGCCCTAGTCACAGGCCCTTCAGGATAGGACTTGTTGGAAGCGTTGGGTATGGGGGCGCTGCTGGGGCTGAGAGCATCGTTTGCGGTGGCTGTGTCTGTTCCGGTGGCGGTGGGCTGGACGGGCCGAAGCTGGGTTATGTCAGCTCCGTCTCAGAACGGAATCTCACGATAAAAGACATTCATACATTTCCATCCCCCCTCTCCGTCTCTTTTCCCGTAATCTTCTCTGTATCTTTCTTCCCCTTCCCAGTCTTCTTCTTTGCACCATCCTTCGCGCTCTCATCGTCCTTCTTGGTATTCTTCTTAGTCTCAGCCTCAGCATATGTTGTTGCTGAGGAAGAAGAAGAAGGAGAAGCAGCATGTCGGCCGCTAAGCTCTTGTATAGCCGTATGGATATCCCCAACAGAGAACAGGTGATCACCTTCCTTCTTTTTGGGAGGTTGCAGCGGTCGACGAGGGGATAAAAGATCAGCTTCCGTATCCTTATAAGCAATCATCAGCCTATATCCGGTGAGGAGGGCACTGGGTGAAACGCACCTCCATCTTCTTCCCTCACTCCTCCTGCTTCTGCGCGGCAGAAAGTAGTCTCGCATCGCTCGCCCGAGTAGCGTCTTCTAGCACTTTACGAAGCGGCTTCTCATCGCCCGTCTTTGGCTCAGCCCTTGTCGTTGTCGATGTCGATGTCTTTGTTTGTTTCCCACCCACCGCCTGTTCACCTTCAACCTCAATCCTAGCAGCATTCATATCCCGAGCGAGCTGGCGTTTGGACGTAATGACGCTTTCGTGGCGACTCCCGGGGTTCGAACTTTTGGCAATCCCATCCCCATCCTCGTTCTCAGCCACAATCTCAGACTCAGACTTGGATGTGTGCTGGGCACGAAGCTCCGCCATAGCTTTGTGTATATCGCCCATAGCGTAGATGTGTTCCCTACTCTGCTTCTTGGCCGCGGGTGGGATGGATGCGGGATTCTAAGCTTTGTCAGTTGATGCGTTTGGTGGGAAGAAGGGTGGATTACGATTTCGAATTGATCCCTCTCATTGCCTTTGTTCTCGTCAGCGGCGGTAGCAGTATCGGGCTGGGTGGTAAGTCTGTGCGTGGGGGCGGGTTGATGGTGACGATTGATGTCGGCGGGGTTGGTGGTGTTGATGTGGTTGCCGGTCTCGTCGTTCTGGAAGCTAGAAGAATAAGATGTGCTATTGAGGGGTGCTGTGGAGGACTTGGAAGAAGTGGAGGGAGCCGAAGGAGTCTTGTCCTGAGAAGGCTGACCATCAGCGAGGATGATAGCGGGAAGGAGTGCGGGAAGACATACCTCTTCAGAACGTTGCTGCCCATCCCAGGAAGACCAAAGTCCTTGCTCCACCGACGCGGAGGACACTCCAGCATCACTCGACGTAGCCCCACCAATCTTTGCAGGAGACTTGACCAATATCCCTCGCGTCCCCAAGCTTCCCGAGCCAGCACCTTGCACCTCTTGGATACTCTTCTCCATGCTTTGTGTATGGTGCTCAGAGCTGAGATATCTGATCCTCCTCTCGAGACCCTTTACGCGACGCCGAGTGCGCAAGGCAAACCAGAGAGAACCCCCGGCAAGGACCGTCATGATAAGCGTGGGTCTTATTCCGGCTGGAGGTAGTTCGGCGGGATAGCCGGGGGAACACGAGTCTGGGGCATATCTCCTAGGACGGTCTTTGGCCATTGTTGATTGTGGTTCCACCGGGGCAGGAGCGGGAGGGGTAGAGGAGGAAGAAGAGGCGGAAGGAGGGTCGATAGCCTGGTGGGCGGCAAGGGCTGATACGCCTGCGCTATAGCCTTTGTGGTATGCCTGGCGGAGGAGAGCGTTGAGGATGGTGTGGTTGCGGGTGTCGCGGTCGTCGTCGTCGGTCATGATGCAGATGAGAAAGAAGGATACAGATGGAAAGTGAAGGGACACTGGAGGATGCCTTGCGGATCACTGGGACGCGTGACAATCACAGGTGGAGGCAGGGCGCATTACAACTCTTTCTAATCAAGGGCCGGTTATAGCCGGTTACAAATATCGACCCATGGACTGGCGTCTTTTCGCCTTGTGCGGACTGAACATAGTGCAGTTTACCCCCTCAGGCGAGCGTAGGCTGTATATGCACAGAGCGGGCAAGATGGAAGCACATCACCGAAGTACCCTCGCGACGAGCGTTGGTCTATACACAAGTCCCATCAATCCAATCTAATCTATACCTTCATTACTCTGTGTGCTTTGCCGCGTCCCACCTTTCACGGACACCCCGAAGCGATGGGGCAACCATACTGCCTTGGTCACACTGCCAAGCAGCCAGCTCCATACGACGTCGCCCAAGTGAGACAGAGTGGGCCAAAAAGAAACCTCGGGATCCCGAGCTTTCTCTCCGGAGTATCTGCTGTGACTGATCTCGCGACAGGACACCGGTGTGATTCTATGCACTGTACAAGACCAACGACAGCCTACTACTGGCGTACAAGCTGAGATATGTGAGCTGCTACACCCAGCGAGCTCATCATACAGTACATTGCTGAATACTCCCAATTTCAACGATGTTCGGGAGCGAAGCGGTCCTCGCCGATCGCCTTTCAAATAAATCATGCCATGCGCATCGATCCTTCTTTGTGGTCGCTCTTATATGTCTTCAAGAGAGAGATCAGAGTAGATCCTTGTCATTTCCTACTCGTTGGAAGCTGACAACGCCCCGCCACCTCAAAAGTTCCGGACACGAGAATGTCGGAAACAGACGGCGTCCAGATCATCCGTCTACTCCACCCCACCGGTACGTCCATCCTCCCCTCCCTCCCCTCCCGCTAGATGAACACTGACATGAAAGACTGGTAGATGAAGAAAAAGATCGATGCCAAGAAGTCCTCTTTGAAGGGTTCAAATCTAGTCCGTCCCTTCTTCTTCTCCTTCTTGCTTTCTTGCCCTCTCTCCTCCATCGATATCGGCTGACTATTTTCTACTTTCCACTCGGGGATTTTAGACAACTTATCCCATCGCATATCTTCACCCCAACACCCCCTCCCCCTCTCAGACCACCGCCGAAACGTGTACCACCGGCACAAGATCGATTGTGCCTCTATCGACTGTGAGATTTGGGTCGTCAAGGTGGCACCGGAAAGGGAAGGAGAGGGGCAGGCGGAAGAAGAGGGGGATGGGGATGGGGAGATTGTTTGTGTTGGACTTGTTGTACCGCCTGGGAAGGAATTATTCGATACGTGCGTACTTTTTTTGTTGGTTCGGGAGAGCGGCAAGGCTGACTCGCGGATTCGATGATAGAGAAGAGAAGGCGGTGATACATGAAGCAGCTCTAGACGAGCTCGACCCTTCGGCCAAAGCATGGTTCGAAAACGAGGTATGCCTCTCCCTTCCCCTTCCCCTTCCCCCTCTTTCACCTTCTTCACCTCCGCCCTCCACGCTGGGCTAACGCACGCAACAGTTCATCCCCCACGCCGCCAAAGAAACAGACCTCCTCCCGTACGGCAACGACAAAAGACACCACGTCCAAGCCCTCTCCACCCACCCCTCCTTCGCCCACCGCGGCCTCGCACGCCGTCTGCTCAAGGCGGTGGAAGAGAGAGCGAGGGGGCAGGGGTGTAGGGTGGGGTTGAATACTACTACGGCTGAACTTGTACGTCATTTTCTTTCTTCTCTTGAGAATGGGAATGGGAAAGAAAGGTGTAGAGCTGATCGGAAGGGATAGGCTGGGTTTTATGAGAGGTGTGGGTTTAGAAGGGTTTATAGTACGGTTTTGGATTGGCAGTTGGATGGGTTGGATACGTTTGATTTTTATATTTTGGTCAATGATTGTGGTCTGCAGGGAGAGGGCCCTTGACGCTATGCATGGTCGCGTTTGGACAAGATCCATTATAAATAAGAGAAATAGTTTTCAGTGTTGATGCCATACTAAGACACGCTGTTTCCCTCACTCCGTCTTCTCTTCCTTTGCCTTTCGCAGTTCATCCAACACCCTCCCACCTTGCCCCTTCTCCCCAGTCCCGGTCAACGACCCCATACTCCTCCAAGCATTCTCCAGCTCTTCCACCCTCTTGTGCAGCGCCTCGATCTCCCCCGTAGCAGCGGTGGGAGATGCGTTGGGGGGCAATGAACCCGCTGACCCAGGTGTAGCTTGAGCAGCTTGAGCAGCTTGAGCAGGCCTGACAACATTCGCCCTGGCAGACATCTGAGACCCACGCGTCAGATCCTGAACCCGCTGTTCAAGCAACTTCACCCTCTTCCTCCCTCTCCAGCCCCATACACCCGCACCAACAGCTACCATACCAGCAACCAAGCCCCAGCCGGAGAGGGAGCCCGAAGAAGCGTAGGACCAAGAGTGAATTTGGGGGCTGGGTGGGGTGGTGGAGGAAGTGTGGTGGGGTTTGGGATCGTTTGCGGCCTGGGGCTGGGGCAAGGAGAGATGGGGAGGGAGAAGGGAAAGGTCGTCTTCCTCTGGAAAGACGAGTCTCCCAAAAGAAGGCATGGGCAACGGGAAGAATGCGTCAGAAAAGAAATCTTCTGAAAGCCGCTTCGCCCGAGTATCGGTAGCCTCAGAGGCGTCGGAAGGGGGCTGGAGGAAGCGAGAGAAGAGTGCGTCGTTGATATGGTTGAGCCTTGCATCTATCCCCGCAGGTCAGCTTCTCTCTCTCTCTCTCTCTCGACCGTTGATAACTGTGGACGTACCTCGGAGAAGATGTTCTCTCTCCACCCCTCCATTTCCCACTCCTCCTTCCCCAGCACCTACATCTCCTCCCCGCTCCCCGGCAGCGTGAAATCCAGCCGGTCTTTCCCAGCGTTTGATGACGACCTTGCCCACCCCGCCTCCATCCTCCCCGCCCCAAGTACGTTCATCCTCTATAACACTAGTACCATCGGGGAGGGTGTGTTCGTTGTGTCTATGCTTCGGCCCTGTGGTGGTGGCCGTGGCGGTTGTGGAGGTGGGCAAGGGAGAGGAGGATGGAGGGGATGGGGTGACGTCGCTTGATTGCGTTGCAGGTGCGGACGAAGGTGTGGGGTCGGAAGGTGTTGAGGTCGTGTCTGGGTTGGTTCCGAATGAAAGCATGTCTTTTGTGCTGTAGATGTTACTGGAGATGGAAAGAGAAAAGAAGAAATGAGATACGATACGCACCATTCGTACTGGGCGGCAAAGGTGGAGGTCGTAGGTGGAGGCATCTTCGAGAGATTTCTAGTACCTTCGCTTAAGCTCTCGTCCGGTCCTTGCCATGGGGATTCTGGGGCTGGTGCCAACGCCATTCTCCCTTCCTCTTCCTGCAAAAAGTTTCAAGACGTTCAAGTTTTCAGGCAAAGTGCATATTGCGCTTCCTATAAACATATAAACAATAAAAAACCTTAGGACTCGGTCCGAGGACTCTCCATCTACAGATAGAAAAGAAAATCCCTTGTTGACCTTTTGGGTGGGGTGATATGCACTTTCCTATTTCCAACGCAAGAAAAGAAGACATGATACTCGAATTTTTCGAACGTAATAAAAGTAGGTTCATTGGATAGCAGAACATTACGAGGTGGGACGATTAGACGATTAGGGGGTGGGGAGGGGGAAGTGAGGGTGTGGGAGGGTGATAAAGAAAGTAATGAAAAAAGGAGATAGGAAAATCGAAGGAGAAAAGGAATACTTCTGACGACTCTTTCGCGCTGACCCCGCGCACCTTTTTATCCCCTTACATGAACGCCCTAATCTGCTCCTTGCTGAGCACGTTGAGGTCGACAAGCGACATGAGGAAAGACCCCATGTTGCTGACCTTACCCTCAAGCTCCTCGCACCTCCTCTCGAGGTACTCGGCCCTCTCAATCTTGGCCCTCCTCTCATCTCGCGACTTCTTCGCAGCATCCTTAGCCTTATCCCGGTTGTCGGCAATCTTTTCGCCAAACTCGGTGGCACCGGCGACGAGCTCAGGTCGGACCTTTTTCAGGAGCTCCTCGTATGTGGGGAACGACATGATCTCGGGGATGGTCATACCCAGGATAGCCTGGGCGGAACCGTCCTTGAGGAACTTGGCGGGGACAACAGACTTGGGACGGTCGGTGGATGGCTTGCCAGTGGCAGTGAGCCTGACGGGAGACATGTCGTCGTCAAAGTCGTCAAGAGGAAGAGCCTCGGAGGAGGAAGCGGGCGAGACGGAAGAAGAGGCGGGAGAGGCCTTGGAGACACGACGCTTGGGAGCGACAGCGGCCTTGGGCTTGCCGGTGCCGGGAGGTCGTCCTCGACGCTTAGGAGCGGGAGCCCCTTCGTCGCTGGCGTCAGAGGCCTTTCGCTTGGCACCGAGGGCCGCAACGGGAGCGACGGGCGAAGCGGGGAGCGAAAGGTTGGCGGGCTCGACAGCCATGGGAGCGTTGCCGACCAACTGAGTGATGGCAGCGTAGAGGTCGGTGTTCTCCTGGACAGGGGCAGCGGGGAGGGGCTGAGAAGGGAAGACTTCGGGAGAAGAGTCGAAACCAGAGAACAAACCAAAGTTGGTCAACTGAGCCTGGATGGTCTCGGGAGAGAGCATGTTCTCGAGGCGGTGAGACATGCCGGTAGGAGAAGAGGTGTTGAAGGCGGCGCCGCCGAAACCAAAGCCAAAGTTGTAATTCTGAGGCTCGGGCTCGAGCGCGACCGACTGGTCCGACTCAGTTGAGTTGGACAGAGCGGAAGCGGAGAGGGCGGGGGAGACGTTGGCAGAGACTGTAGAGTTGTCAGCAGTGTTCACAAGACTAGTAGGAGTGACTTACTCTTCTCGCCGAGGTCCGTCTCCACCAAAAACGAGTCCCAGTCAATGTCGTCGATGAATGACATGTCGAGATCGTCTACGGCTTGTGTGGTAGGGATAGTGTGGTCCAAAGTCGAAATAAGACTTGGTTGACGGGGTGATATCGTCTTTTTGGGAGGCTCTACGGGTGTAGTGCGACTGGTAGGAGGGGGAGGGAGGCGCGTCGGGATAGTAGGTAGATTGTACTTTAGTCTGGGAGGCGTCAGCACAATTGAACTGGGACGCGATAGAAGAGGCTTACATGTTTACGTCTTTAGACGGGGGCGATCGACTGGTTACGAAAGGCTTAGAGATTGGCTCGGACACCGGGCTTGGCAGCACGGGGGTTGTTGTTGTTGTTGAGATGTTTGTTGTTGTTGCGCTATCGCGGGGCGGAAGAAAGTGGTGGAAGCCATGATGGGCAAAGGTAATGGGAACCGGGTGGGGTTCGGATTGGGTAGGGTAGGTGGTAGTAGTAATTAAAGTGGAGGGCTGTTGATGGCTCTGGTGACGTCCTTGTTGGTGACGACTGTTATCTTCTTGGGAAGACGGGTTGTTTAAGCGGAGAAGAACATTTTGGATAGTAGTTGAATAGTAGTTGTTGGATGATAGATGCACTTGGCGGGGTGTGAAGGGGTAATGCCCGAGGCTGAGGTGTCGCTTGTGGTGAATGCGGGGATGAGAGGAGGATGAGAAAGAAGCGAGCGATTCGCATGGGTCCAATCAGGGACGGAGTTTCACCCGGCGTTTCTGTTTGCCACCGCTATCACTGTGGCACTGTATTCCACGTCACCCGCGCCAAACAACACACGTTCCACCGCCACGTTCTCTTTCAACCTATCTCAATCATCACAAACGTTCATCCCCGGCAACCATAGTGACCATGTACTGGCATGGCACTACTCGCGGTCTTGTTATCGGACTGGGCTCTCGTGTGTGGTGCAGCAAACATTGGCCATCGCCGCGACGCTATAGCTTCAGGCTGACTCGCATTATAAGGATGGGCTAGCTGATCTCATAGTCCCCACCGCTTCTAATCATCTTGCCACATACTGTATGTGCTAGTCTACCCTGTAGTAAGCCCGACAGGTTGTGTTTCTGGACGCTACCTCGACACTCCCAACAACAGCCGCATCTTATTTCGACGCGTCCCTCGAGAGCGCCATCGTCCCTCTTTTGGCTATCACGACAGTATCTGGACTCTCTATAAGACTTTCTGTTAGCCTCGAGCATTTAGCTTCCTCAGTTATCTTTTGCTTGCCCGCTTGTCATCAGAACATCCAACAACGTACGTCTTCAACCTCGTACGTCCACCATCCCTTGGCCGTCCCCTCTGCCTTATCTCTGACACTCCCCTTCCAGCCAGTGTCCTTTTACCTTCTCAGCCCTTCATTCGAACCCTTGACACCTCTCCATCACCTCCTACTCCACCCGACATCAACGAGGTCGACAAGACGAGCTGTATACAATGCAGTCCGACCGATATCCGGGGTATAACCCCCATGAGCTGTTGACTCCGCCCTTGACGCCTGCGAGCCCCTTCACCCAATCCGACTGTACCTCCTCCGCCATAGGAACACGCACGACAAACGGTATGGGCGTGGTCGACTCGGCGAACGCGTCGCCGGACTTTAGGCTGCCACCGCCAATGTCTGTGCCGGAGCTTGATCTGGATGATGTTGGCGGGGGACGAGCTGGAGTTGCTCATGGGGAGAAGGGAGATGGAAGGTGGGAGGATGATGGGGAGGAGAAGTATAGATGGAGGGAGGATATGACGGGGGAAGAGAGGGAGGCGAGGGAGGCGTGGTTGGCTAGTGGGCGGGGTAAGAAAGGGTTGAGAATCGTCATCGTGACCGGTGTGTCCTTCTACATCTCTATCACACATCTTGGAGCTGATAATCCATGACAGAAAACTTCCTACCAAAAGTAGACGGAGTCACCCGCACCCTCTCCCGCCTCCTCGAACACCTCCACGCCTCCGGGCACCAATGCATGCTCCTCGGCCCCTCCTCCTCCCTCTCTTCCTACGCCTCCCACCCGCTCGTTGGCACCCTCGGCATCCCCCTCATCCTCTACCCAGGCCTCAAACTCAATTTCGTGAGGCCAAAGTTTCTGAGGGTGATAAGGGAGTGGAAGCCGGATGTGGTGCATTTTGTGGATCCCATTTGGCTGGGGGCGCAGACGATGGTGGGGATGGAGCTTGGGTGGGCTGGGGGGGAGTGGGTCGGGGGAGGGGAGGGGGAAGAGAGGATTGGGGGAGGGCTTGGAGGGGCGGTGGTGGCTAGTTATCATACGTGTGTCTCATTTTCACGGGGTCGATGAGAGGCAAGAGCTGACGCGAGGTAGGAATCTGGCAACGTACGCGACCCTCTTCGGCCTCCCCTCCCTCACTCCTCTGATATACAAATTCCAACACCTCCTCTACTCCAAAGTTCTCCTCACCCTCTGCCCCTCCCCTTCCACACAAAAGATGCTGGAGGACCAATCGTTCGACGGCGTCCGGCTTTGGCCCAGGGGCGTCGATCTGGCGCAGTTTGGGACTGGCAAAAGAAGTCTTAAGAGGAGGGCGGAGTGGGGTGTGGGGTATGCCCCGGGGGAGAGGGATACGCCGGGAGTGGGGTTGGGGAAGGGAAGAGTGGTGGGGACAGGGTGGAATGGGCAAGAAGGGAAGGGGTTGATGACGCCGCCGATGAGTCCTGAGGATGGGGCGGTGGACGCGAAGCGTGGTGTACCTTTACCTGAACCGGAGATGTCAGCGGGGGTGGAGGGGTTGCCTGAGAGGGTCGTGCTCTTGTATGTCGGGAGAATGTGAGTTTCCTTTCAGAAAGTTCTCTCAGAAAGTTTTGTGGAAGTTTAAGGGCTGATGGGGAGATAGATCGTGGGAAAAGAACATCCACCTCCTCCTATCCGCCTACGCCCACCTCGCCTCCCTCCTTCCCTCTCAATCACCATTCCCATCCCCACTGCCCAAGCTCGTATTCGTCGGCGACGGCCCAGCTCGCTCAGAACTGCAAGCGACATGCGCAAAGAACGCCTGGGACGCCGAGTTTCTCGGGTATCGGCAAGGGGAAGATTTGGCAGAGTGTTATGCTAGTGCGGATGTCTTTGCGTTTCCGAGTTTTACAGAGACGTTTGGGCAGGTCGTTTTGGAGGCTCTTGCTAGTGGTATTGTAAGTCTTTTATGTTCAAGGGGAAAGTGAGGAGGAGCTGAGGGATTGAATAGCCTGTAGTAGGCCTCGATGCTGAAGGGACTCGCGACCTCGTCCAACACTCCTCTACCGGCTTTCTCCTCCCACTCAACCCATCTCCGGCCGCCCCTACAGCCCAGCCACTCACATGGCCCACAGCCTCCAACCCTTCTTCCCCCCACTTCAACCATCTCGCAGAAGAATACGCAAAGCTCCTCTTAGAAGCTGCTACGGATCACGGGAAGAGGCGGGAGATGGGCAGGGTTGGGAGTACGAGAGGGATTGAGGGGAGGACGTGGTGGGATGCTATGGAGGTGAGATTTTTTGGCTTTCCGAGGAGACAAGAGGGGCTTGCTGATAGGGAGGGTAGAGTTGTGTGGATGGGTATCGCGAGGCTATGAGGATTGCTCGACAACGGCGATCGATCAACATCGTCACTTCTCCCCCACCACCTGTCGAGCTTGAAGCCTTGGTACCGCCTGCCTCTCCAAAACACCCTAAGAGGGTCAGCGCGGTAGTTAACAGGGTGGTTAGTAGACGACTCGCTTATAAGGATCAAGATAGGCAGGGGCTCGAGAGGAAGGGGAGATGGGTGTTGCGGAAGAGGGAAGGAGAGAGTTTGTGGTTATCTGTCTTGAGTATGTCTGTGGCGTGTGCGGTGTGGACGATGCTAATGTGATGGTTTAGAGGTGTTGTTGAAAGTGTTTGTAGCGCTTGCGCTGGTGTATGCCATTTACGTGAATAGGATGGGGAAAGAGACGTACCTGCAGGCTGAGGGAGGTCTCTTATACTGAAATGTTGTTGTCTACTCGGCTCCTTGCTGCTTCGTGAGAAGGTGAAATGCTTAATGTTGTCAGTTATGAATCCTAGTCTGAACACTCTTTATCGCCGCCAACTGTTCACATCTACATATAGGTAAATCTACAAGTCCACGGCCATGTATGTTATCGCGACATCTCTCTTCTCCCGTAATGCTGCTCTCACCCCTCCCAGTTGAACCCGACGTCCTGAGACGCCAAGAAGTCCTCAAGTCGGCGGACGGGTTCAAAGCATATGAAGATGGATGGAAAGCCGCAAGAACTGGTACATGTCCAGGGGAATGCCACCCTGGGTCGTGGTTCATTCGGCGGCGTGACTCTCCACCTTCGTGATCTGACGAGAGAGCACCGTCATATGGGTACTCTACGGCGCCGCATTGTTTACTGTCGCGTCGTATCGTATTCGCAAGCTCAATTGTTTTCCTATGGAGGAATTTTATAAGGGGTTCACAGATACAAGGGCAGAGTGACATGTCGTCTCAAGCCGGAGCGCCGAGGACACACATGGCTAGGGCTTGCTTGGATCACGGCATGTTGATGAGCCATTGTGGCGCGGCATGGATCAATTCTAGCCTGGCTCTGATCTGAACTAATTATGGACTTGTTCTCTCGAAAGACTTATAAGCCACGTTCATAAGGACCGGAAATGGACTTTGTAGGTCCGGTATAAACACGTTTGACCATCCATTCACTTCCGCCGAGGACGGTCTTGAAGGAGTCCTCCTCCTCTCGAATCTTGGAAAAGAACCTCAAAAGTTTCAAAGGAGCTCCGTCCTTTACCAGTCATTATGATGGAAGAAACGAGCGAAGTGGCATAGTAGCACGTTTAGGGTAGGACACAGCAGCACTTTGTGCTAAGGGAGGAGTATATAATGATACTGGAGGAGGACTTTCGGACTGGCTGTGTCTTCTTGTTCAACCAAGCCCCAAATCTGTATCGTTTCACGATGACACCTTACGATGATACAGAGCTAACAGACACCCATACCCATACCACGTCTGGTACTACGGACGCAAATGACAAAGGCGAGTGCCTACTATCAGCCCCGCAATCCTTTGCGACTCGACTGCGGTGAGGACGGTATCCTCTGCCTTCCTCTCTGCTTGGCCCAGCCCCACCGCTTCGGGCCCCGGGAACACACGGGATGTTGACACGCCTCGCCCGGGTTCTTTCCGCGCCAGTACTCCGACCGCTGAAGGTGATGATGCTACCTCAACAGAAGAAGAAGAAGAGCCTCAGACATGGTTTACCAGGAAGATCCTTCCCTGGGAAATAACCTCCCGTCATGGGACTCGATGCTAGATAACACAGCCGATAGGATATCAGGCGAGATACACAGAGGGCTTTCAGCTTTGAAACCTTCATGGAAGCCCGCTTCCGAGGCACTTCAGAAGAGTGTCTCAGAAAGCGTACACTCTTTGCTTGATGGGAAAGCAAAGGAGGGCCAAGATTGGCAGGGTGACGTGTCTCGCTGCCGGAAGGAGATCAGCGAGGCAGGCTGGGTGGCTGACCGTAGAGCTTTGGAGCCTTTCTTACTTCGACAAAGCTTGGGGCCTGCCGAACCGAGTGGTTTGCAGATAGATATTATAGTAGGGGATAATGTCTATGAAGGGACGAGGCTGAAGGTGTACAAGTCGGATTATGTGGGGTCTCTCGTTCTGGGTGAGCCTTCCGAGAGTCCAACGGAACTGGAGGCGGGGAGAACTTTAATCATTGATGCGTGATGTACGATATAGTTGATATGATTATATCGTGTTTCTCATTCCCATACTATAATCAACGCCTCGTCATAATAATGAGGGACGACCAGACCACAGCTCTCTAAATGCTAATATATGGAGAGGACAGCAGCATGAAAGGTATCATTTGTGCCATGGGAGGTAGAAGATCAGAAGCTATATCATGTCATCCTCCTTCAGCCAGCGAAGTCAGATATCATAAAGAGCTCGTAGTGTCTGATCCCATAGACTTCTGATTTATCTCAGTACTCAATACAGAAGGCGAACGTGCCGAAGCCCCATTCGGCGATTCGAAGGCAGGACAATCGATGTTCTCTACCCTGCTCCTCTCGACGCTGAAGAAATTGTAGCTGTAAACGGAGGCGCAGACACACGAGAAGTGGTCGCACCCCGCTTGAAATCTCTCCTTGCCTCAGCCGACGCTTCGGGGACGGATATGCTGATGCGAGAGGATATCAACACTTGTGTGATCATTCATGACTCTTTTGCATCGGGTGGAAATGAGTTGTATTGGGCATTAGGCACACCCTCCAAAGTGTCTAGAGATTCAGAAAGTTTTCATGACTGACGATTGGCGCGAATGTCAGACGGAGTACTCAAAGCTTTTCGCGTGAGAGTTGCGGCCTGGAATCAGCCTGTCGAAGCACTTGGTGATCACTCAAGCAGCCAATATGATGACGCGGGATATACACGATAGTCTTGTCAGTCTGAAGCCATCATAGGAGCCTAAGCTTGAAGCTTTCGGAACGGATGTCTACAAAAGCATACGCTCAATGCTACGTAGGTACAAAGACGAATGACGACCAGACGTAGCTAAATCACGAGCGCGGTTGCCAAAGAGGGCTCAGTAGTGCGGGCTGAGTGACTGACCGTACACATATATTGAGCCTATGCTACTCGGTCAGAGTGCAGGGCTGCCGAGCCGGCTGGCTGCAGGTTGATATCAGAGTTGGAGACAGTGTATAAGATGAGGAGGGCAAGCTGAAGATACACAAAGTAAATCTGACTATGTTGGATCTTTTGTCTTGGGCCATCCTGCGGAGGAGACTTCACTAGAGCTGCCATCCGGGAGCACTTGATCCTTAATGTGTGATGCATATTGTAAGATTGGTCTGGGCGATATCAGAACAGATCTTGCATGCTCGTGCTCAGCTTGTTCTTCAACAAGACTTCGCGTCGTAGCTTTCAGAGTGACGCGTCTTTTCGCGTCTTTCATGCAGAAATCATGAATCTAGGTTGCTATTTACTGCATGGTCTAGTAATCTACCAACGACTGGTGCTACCGTACTGCCACTCTGCCACATACGCTCATAGCTGATGATAGCACGGGCGACCGAGGGGCGGCCTTCTCCGCCTGTCCCTGAAAGAACAACAATGGCGGCAAGACCGCTTGTTTCAAGACTCGTCAAGAACAAAAGAGATGTTTTAGCTTTTTCCTCGCCATCCCTGAGCCCTGACCCGCCCCTTCGCATCACTCCCTCGTCATGCAATTCAACAAACAACCCCAAGGACCCTTCCAATCAGTCACTGTGAAGCGTCAGGGTCCCTTTTGGGAGTAGTTTGTGATGCCGACTAGCTGCTGAAGGGTATGTAGGGTTCCCATATATGCGTGCTCATTCCCTGTCTCAACTGAGGGACGCCAGCCTTGTGGGCTTTTACTACAATGCCGACTTTCCATCTCTTCTCGAAAGAGACGAAGAGCGACGACGCTCCTGGAGGTGAGTCTTGTCTGTCGTCGCTTCCGATTCCCGCTGACTCGGGGTAGACTCTGGAGGCCATTGTCCAGCACCAGCACCGGGATCACATCCTCTCACTCGAGCATTTGCCGAGACTATATATCACAAAGGCTATAGTGAAGGCGCCGCCCACACCCACCAGTCTACCCCAACCACTCCTCCCCCTTTCGACCGGCTTGCCGTCTTTGCGAGCGATCACCCTCTCCTGACCGCTACAATGGTCCTCTCCGTCGCTGGTCTCGGCCTCGCCGCCAAGCCAGCTGCCTTCAGACGTGGTCATCTCTCGACGAAACCCCAAACTCCCGGGCTCGCACGGCTATTCAGTGGCCCGCATGGGGCGCCTTCTCTCCCCGCTGCGGCTAGGTTCCGCGACCTCCACATCCGCGAGGCTCCCCTTGCTGCTCCATCAGTGCTAAAGGTGCTTGAGAATGCTCAACATGATTTGGGAGAGACGCAGGCGAAAAACAGGAAGGAGACTCGCCAGGCGGAGGAAGCGCGGGAAGCTCGGATTGCGGAGGTCGAAGGTCGACTTGAGCGAGAGGGTGCTTTGGAAGGGGCCAAGACGCGTGGAGTGGCGGATCTTTCCCCTGACAAGTCTCTTCACGAGGCAGCTGAAGGATATCTGATAAAGACTACTGGCGGTATCTTGAAAAACATGGACAAGATGGTTTCAGCCGATGTAAGTGCCCTTTCTCCTTTGTATCGTTTGGACTGACACGCATGTAGGAATTTGTATTCCCCATCGAGCGAAACACTAGTACGAGTATTAATATCCACCGTGGCGACAGCGGCATCCTCTACGCAAATAAGTCATTCACCATCATCTCACCTCACCATCATGACATTACCGACATCTCTACAAAGGCGCGTAGAAACGGTCAGACGCATGTCGGCGTTTACGGTCTTGTCAGAGTATACACGCCAATCCCTGAGCAAGATATCTCTGTGAGTCTTCATACGATCTGAATGGAGGTGATGCTGACGGTTCGAACGTAGCTCCAAACGCGAAACGGCACGACCTTCAAAGCACACCTCCTCTATTTTACGTCCGCCGAACAAACCCTTGTCAGGATCTCTTTGGATGGGTACTGCTTGGCTACCGATAGTGCCCATCATGGGAATTACTCTAAACTGGGACACGTTATTGGGAGATTGCCGGACGTGTCTCGCGAGTGTTTGAAGGTTCAACCGGGAGAGCAAGATGGTATCAATGGTACATCTCCACCTCTTCTTCCTTGTTCGGCAATGGGAGCTGATATGTAGATGTAGCTGCGTATGAGAGACATTTCGATCAATTGCAGGAGCGTCTCGTCTCCTCTGCAAAATTGAGGTTTGAGAAGAAAGAGAAGAAGCGGAAGGAAAGCGGGGAAGAGGTCGAGGTACGCAGACTATTTTCTCTTCAAACGCTATAGCTAATTCTCGTATCAGCTATTCAAATTTCCCGATGTCTCGACCCAGCCGCATCCCAATTATATTGCACGAGGAGATAGCGGAATACTTTACGATAAATCCCGAGCGATTGAGATCATCCAACCTGATGATGATGATAAATTCTTCGACAGAAGCACGGATGGCCCGATCTT